TTTCACTTGTAGTCAAGCGAACTACACCCCCAAAAATAGGTTTTGGATACAAAGCATGTTCCCCCTTTGTAAGAAGTAAAAACGCCCTAGTTCAACAAACTAGGAATGAACAATTGGAAGGGACAAAACTGATCCCCAACAAGGTTTTCCCTTTGTAGTAGAACAAACTACACCTTCAAAAATTGTGTTAACCACAAAAGACCCACTGAAATCGCTCCAGTTCCACTAGCCAGAGCCTTCTCGCGCGCAGGTGGACACGTGGCTTCAGCTTTGGTCGCCCCTGGCTGGCCAGCGTGTTGGCTGGCTGGGGGCGTTAGGGCACACGACGTAAAAATAATTTCGTAATTTAGACGACGTCACTAAATTTAGTTTTGAAAATAATGAAAATAACCGACGACCCAGGAATTATTTTACATTGCACAGATTTATCTACCACTTCACAATATCATGTGAACGTATTGAACATACTTGTTCATTGTTAACCCTTGCGCTGTCAAATTGGTTGCTATGTTTCCTGTAGTCATATTCTATGTCAGGCCAAAACGGCAGTAATTACACGGTGTTTTATTGTGTGTTTATTTTAGTTAATGAACCATTGAGTATCATTGTATCCTTCTTTAGCAGGGCAGATCCTGAGACATTGTTGTGTTTTTAATGTGACTATGTCACACAGACAGCAAAGGCAAAGCGAATAGCCATTCTGAAGCCTTCTTACCAAAACCAATAAGGCACAACAAAAACAATAGAAAGACATACAGAAGTATGTGCAGCAAAAGCTATTGGGTCGATAGATGTTTTTAGTTTATGCCAGTCAGACAGCAAATGCGAAGAGAATAGCTATGCTGAAGCCTTCTTAGCACAAACAAGTAACAGCCAACACTGACATTAATACCAAAATCAGAAAGTAGTACAGGATAGCAGTATATACAATATGTATATATAGGTAGACAATGCCAATGCACAAAATGCCTAATACCAGTCCCCAAATCCAGATAATCCAAACAGTCCAACCCAATGGATGTTGGTGCAGCAAAGACTATTGGGTTTTGATTTGGGGACTGTGTCACAAACAACAATCCAAAAAATCCAACCCAATGGATGTTGGGATTTGCAATTGAAGTTTTCATTTTTTGGAAAGGTTAATCTGGAGAACCGTGTTCTGTATGTAGCGTTCACAATGGGGAAGGCCAGCAGTCTTGACTTAAGTACTGACTTTTGCAAATCGGCGTTCCATGGTGGTTTGGTATCCCACATGCAAAATGTATTATATAACTTCAACGGGCACCAGTATTGGGTTAATAGGTGTGTGTGTTTTTGTTTGATTGTGGTTTTTGACAGCAGTGCAGTGCAGAGATTCAGATATTATGATGATTGTGGTTGAGTGCAGTGCAACAAATCTAAAAAAAGAAACATGTACTACCGTGGCTCCAGTTCTCAAAAAAAATAAAAATGTCCCAAGTCTGGGAAAAGGATGAACAAATATGCTGTCCGAACCTGTCCGAGCAAAGAACTGGCTTGATGTAGGAATGTAGGGACTTGGTTGCCCTATGCCATTCGGCTAAATGCCTTTTGACCCGTTTGGAAGGGTTGGCGTTCCGGTGGAAGACTTCCCAACCCCTTGGAGGTATACTTTGGCGCCTCTAGAGGTTGGCTGCCGTGGCGCCTTTCTAAGCACTTTCCTCCTCTCAGGCATTGCAGGCAGAGAAAATGAGGGTGCTGGTATCTCATGCTTGTGAACCGCGAACTTGTGGGAATCTCCTGGAACACAAACTGGAGGAATCGACTAAACAACAGTTTAAGTTTTGACCTGAGTTGTGAGTAGTTCTTGCTACAGGTATTTGATTTTAGTGGCGAGGCAGCGAACCTATTGCAATTGCATGTCATATAGTAGATGACGTCGTAGTGGTTGATCAGTACGAGTTTAATATGCATTGCTGCATGCTGCATGTCACACTTCCAAGGACTACGACTGAATATTATATATATAGATATAGATATAGAGAGATATAGTGTTGTTTCTGTGCTTCGGCAGGTAACCTTGCATTCCTACACTTTGGCCAGGCAACGGGGAAGTGGGGAACAGGCTCAGTAAGGAACTTTATCCAGGGCAACCGTTGATCGCCCTAGTTCCAGCTACGGAGTTGCAGTTTTTGTTCTGGATTTGGGATCAAGAGGGCTTGTGTTCCTACCTTCTTCCAGATAAGCACACTTCCGGTTTGGGAAGGGAGGTTATGTCAATTGCAGGCGCGCTATGCGTTGGGGGCCTCTGGAGGCATTTGCAGTTCGGCTTTAATTCATCGCTTGGCTGTGGCATGCTTGGGCTTGGATTTATCCTGGTCTTGATTCAGTTGGGGATGAAGAACATAGTATTTTTTGAGCAAATCAGTTTGCACCGAGGGTATGGCAGCGGCAACCTAGAACAACAACTTGATATCTGGTGAACCCAACAAAACTCGCATGCTAGTTTCGATATTTCAGCGCGATGGCCGGATACTATGCAAGAACCGCACCCCAAAAATTGCCCAGAATATGTTTCATTATTGCATTTTTGACATCAAGACTTGTCAAGAACCAGCCGCCCAGCAATCACAGACATCTCCATTAGTTAGCAACAGTTTCCTCCATCAGCTACAATTGTTAAATTTCTCCAATACTGTTCAGACATGTCTAGACCCTTTTGCAGCCGGCAAGTCCCACGTTGTGTGCATGTCCGTGTAGCACCCGTGTGCCAACTCAGGTGGCCTTATTGGTTTTGAGTTGGTTTCCCTGCTGCGGAGTCGGCGCACCCGCGAATTCAATTTACTCCTCCGCTCCGCCTTTGGACGCTTGGCTGGGTACTGGGCAGCATGTTAGAGTGAGATTGTGAGACAGTGGTGCCATGTCAAATCAATGAGCATAATTAGATGATGCTCCATAATGCTGAGATGCAAAATGCACGGGAATCCTGCTGTAGCTGGATGCAATTGTGTGCTTTGAGAGTCGGTAAGCACATCACGCAGGACTTCATAAGACGGTTGACAAAAATAAATAAAAAGATGAGGTGTGCTAGAAGGGCAATGGCATTCTCCCACAGAATAGTCCTGTGAGAACAGTTCTTGGAGGGTGCCCATGTTGGCCGTCACAACAGGGCTTGACACCCTAAGACTGGCGGTTAATGGTCCCTGTCTCATATGGCCACTTCGCCGAAGAAATCTTGTGGGTAGCAGCTGGGGTCGGCAATTGGACACGGAAGTAAACGTAGAAAAAACCAAGAGTACATTTAATTTGCTCTCATGACATCAGCATATATTGGATTTGGCCCAGATCCTACAATCCGGCTAAACATCCTGGCGAAACATGAACAAACAAAACCAAACTCGTGCACCGACAGATAGGATACGCTAGCTCGATGCCTCGCAGCCCCAGGAATGCTGGTGATGGGGATTTTCTTGCCAGGCATGGCAGTGTTTGCTGCCCGTCACGCCGGCAAGCTTTCTTCCGGAAACCAGCTGAAGAACTACAGCTTGGCAGTTGAATTCAACAGCCGCAGGACCACTTGAATATGGAATTTTATGCTGTTTCTACTTGTTGTTGCTTGGTTCCTTTTGACGGTCTTGATTGGCGTGGAATGCCTCTTCGGAGATCTTCGCATCCATTACTGACCCACAAGCTTCTCAACCCATTCCAGAGCAGAAGATATATTATATATATATATATTATAATTATACGGCTTAGCTTGTGACGTGCGGTGCTGTTTGTGCAGCACTGCATTGTCCAATGCTCATACAAGCTCCTGACTGGGCTTCTGTGACTGGGCAGGCTGTGCCACTTGGTGCCATGCTGGGGGACTGTCCGCTGGCTTCCTCATTGCCTTCCTGGTGGCACGCCGCAGCGGCTATCGGGCACCCATTCTGCCATGGCCCTTGTTGATGGGCTTGTTGTCCTTGGCACCAGCTGGGCGGGAGTTCCTGTCTCTTGAATTGAATCTGGGGTTGTCCGTGCAGGGTTCAGGGTGTCAAGCAAATGAAAGCACCATGCTTGAAACAGACATCATGACATTTACAGTTTTGCAAGGGATTTTGAAGGCTGGTTTGCACCTGTTTTTTTGTTCAGCACATTGCTGGTTGAACGGCATACCGCCTGGCAAATCAAGCGTCCCGTCCAGCGTCCAAAACGGAAGGTTAGGTGCACTATGCTGCACTTGTGCAAAGGTTTGTTTGACATGAAGGGAAGGTTTTTGATAGATAAAGATCATGCCGAGCTAAAGAGCAAACCTGCGGAGGATGTCCTGCTCTAAAACTGATGCGGCTGCAACTAGCAGAGTGGTTCCTCAAAGGTCTCGACATTGCATGCTGAGGTCGACACTCATCAAGGCACTATGGATTGGCGCCCTGGCACTGTGGAGCCTCCTATTCTTCAGAAGGGGTGTGCCGACGAGGAGGACTTCCCCAACGGGTTCTCTACAAGATTCAGAGTGAAATTTTTGAGTGTAGATGCGACCAGTTCACCGTTGTATACAGCGGTCCTTGAGTCCGTAGAATATGGAATTACCAGGGCATCTCGCATCTACCGGAAAGGACAAAGGTGCTTGGATTACCTGGAACCAAAGTGCTTGGGTAGCGAAGATACTGTATACTTGGAAGATGTTTTGATCGTGTGAGATGGTACTGTATGGCAGAACTCTCTTTGAAGATACCTCTTTTGTTTGGGAGGGGTGCATGCCGTATGCATATGTTCGTTTTTTTTTGAAAGGTCAGTCTTAAGAAGAATCTCCTGGGAATCTGGATGTGCGGTGTTTGTTTTCTTTCGTTTGATGCTGCAGCTGACCCAGTTTTCTAGTAAGCCTGGTATGCAAGATTGTCCAAATGACATCCTGTAGATTGACTGGTCAACTTGTCCTTCATTGTGCTGGCTGTTTTTCCCCTTACAATCGCTGTGCAAGTTCGCAGAGCTCAACATGGACACTGCGTGGGTTTTGAGATCCATGGATGGTCGCAGGGCGCAACTTTAAGAGCCTTCCCTGGCGACCATCTCCCATGAGAACGAGCACGAACACGGTTTGGTGGGTAGATGCCAACTTAGTAGTAATGGCCTCCACTTGTTACTAGTAGCAAAGGCCTCCATCCTAGTTGAGCTGTTGGTTGAAGTTTTTATGGTGTTGTGCTTTTTGGTTCCAACCCAAAGAATTTCCTGGATGCTTGATGCTTAGTAATATTCCCAAAAACACATACAGTAATTCCGACCAATGTTCCACCAAGGTGTTCAGCAGCCTGGTGCGCTGGCAAGGGGATATAGCCTTTGAGTGGAGAAAGACCGCTGCGTATCGCCAAACTTCAGCCTGGTCAGCTTTTTTTGGGGTTCGTGTCCTCACATGATCATGTTCTGGAGCCCACCACATCAAGGGCGCGAGTTTCCAAGCCACCCACGCTGATCAGATCCGGGCTGCCGATTTGTAAGAAGTTGGACCAGACAGATTCTCTTTTGAAGGTGCGACTGCGACCATCGTTTTCTTTTGAAACGGAGACGAGCTATATCCCCCTTGCCTTCCACTCCAGTTGCCTTCCACTCCACTTGTTTTTGTGAAAAACTACGAGTTTGGGCCTCCTTATCCCTTCAATGTGTGTGAAAATATGCCAGGTGCATCGGCAACAGCGAACCATTGACAGCCAAAAATAGAACCTGCTGCCGGCCGTCACCCTGCTGAATCGCCTGGTTTGGGTTTCCACCAGTTTGAGGAGAAAAATCAAAGAGTCAAAGACACTTTTGAGGAGTTTGTTTGGTGGGACTTCCATGTTTTCTTTTGTGTTTTGATGGTTGGGGGGACCTCAAAAAGGCATATAGTGACGAAATAGGAACTCTAGACTGCCTTTATTGCAGCTCCAATTGCCGCGGTCTTTGGACGGCTAGGTGAATTGCCCAGAGCTGTCAAGTTGTTGTGCTGACCAGAGGAATCCGAAAAGCAGATCTTAGGATACCTTGAACATGGTCGTTTTTGCTGCACCCCTTGAGTGTCAAGTATTCTACCTAGGAAGGCCATCATTGAAGCTGGGCTCCCGACCCTGGGCTAGTCACCAGAGCAAATGTACAAGCAGCGCAAGCCCCTTTGAAGTTCATGGGCATGCTGGGCGGTGAGGGAGAATTGCATTTTTTTTCAGAGAATAATCGCGAATCCTTTAAGCCAGGACGAAACCTTCACCTGCAAGTGCGGGGCATGGCACAGCACATCGAAGGGAGTCCAAAGGACAACTTAAAGGTATCAACAGCACAGAGCCTTTGTCCGACCAACATGTGCTACAAGCCCAGAGGATTCTGTAGGCTTGCAGGAATTGCAAGTCCATCTCAGTTTTCGAAGTTGTATGTGTCTCACATTTGCAGCCAGAACTGTTGGCTTTGTAGTCCGGCCGGTGGTCCAAGAGCAACTCTGTCCTGGGTTGCTCGTGGGTTTCAATCTACGTCAGAAGCTCCTTGCATGCATTTGTTGGAGCCTCCTCATTGACTTACAGTATGCCATTTGCACACATAGAGAGTACTTTCCGGTGGTCAAATGTGATGACCGTTCGACAAGCCCTTGTTTTGATGCTGGCATCAAGCCTTTCAAAGCAGTGGATGCCTCGACCGCTTTGCAAACTCAATATAATCATATAATATATGTTATTTGCATGTATTTGATTCGAATTCCAAGGTAACCTGTCGCAACACAAAGTTGTGATTATACAACTGCAAGACCTGCAAGCTTGTGCTTTAAAAGTCTTTAAAGCATGCCCAGTCGTGCCCAGGACGGCAGAACCGACGTCGGCTGCCATGAAGAACGACGATGAAGAGACCACCGTTCCGACAACTCCCAACAATCCTGAAGCTTAGCTGAGCTGATTTGCGCTAAGAAAGCCAAGCAGATTCGCGCACGCTGAGGGAAACTCAAGTTGAAAGCATTTGAAAGCTATGCCCTACGTCAGCAACTTGATCCCGTGGTTGATCCAGAACTCTTCTCTTGGGCCGATTCATCTACTGTACGTAGATGCAAACATGTTGATTTCAACTTCCTAAAACGAGAAGAGCATTAATAGTTTGCATAAAACGTTGCCCGGAAAAAAAAAAAAAAAAACAAGACAAAAAACGGCAGTCCTGGGCAGCAGTTGCCCAAAATAGAATGTGCTTATAGGATCTCCTGGGATCATGTCAACTTCTGCCTGACACCACTATAGCCTATAGCACTATATCCTCTCAAGCTTTTCCTCCGCTTTTGCGGCGTATGCCAGCCCCAAGCCTCATTGCATCCACTAAGGATACCATGCTCATTGCGAGGCCTTTGAAGCCACGCCGCCTATCCATTGCGACCACAGCAAGCGGGTCCTTTAGTTGTTCGTTGGATGCAGATGCTCGATTCAAAAAGCGATCCATAATGATCCATATTATATAATTGTTTCGTGCGCAACCTGGCTGGTATACCACAGCAATGCACGTTCCTACCTGTTTGGGTACTCTGGGGTCTGTGCTCCACCTTCATCGGGCCTCGCCAAATGCAAAACATCATGGAATGCACAGTTTCGCGCAGTCCATCAAACGTGATTTCTGAGGATGGCGGTCACATGCGGTCACCATCTTGATCCATCTCGCAGAAAATCATCCCGCAAAAAGCTACGCAGTCATTGAATCAACGCGATTTCTGAGGATGGCGGTTGGGCCACGCCCCAAACCTCCGTCGGCCTCGAGGAGGTCGCGCTGACCGAGGACCGCCAGGACCGCGACCTGCGCGAGCTCCGCGACCTCCGGGTCGACCCACTCCGCGGAAACCGAGCTTTGGGGACGCCAACGGCAGGGCACGCGCCGGTCTCACCGCGCCTCAGCTGGAAAACCACCGAGTGTGAGGAGGGGAACGAAGAAGAGGTATTGAACTCAGATGAGTGTGAATGGTTTGAGTTCTTATTAATTCATGTACGTTTGTTAATTAATTGACATGTTAGTTGATCCCTTCCTACTTCGAGGGTCCCATTTCAGAGCCCCAGGTGCGGTTCAGGTCGGTGTTTCTTCACTTCGGCTTTCCGCGGGCAACGCGGAACGCGTCGGGCATGGAGTGACACAGGTGGCGTCTGACATTTCAACAGGGCAATGGAACACAACCTGCTGCAGAACCATGCGGCAACCCCTGCTAAACTAGCATCCAGGGATCGGTGATCAGGTGCCTGGTCTTTGTGCCACTCATGGGCCACCGGTTGTTCCCAGCATAGCTCCATTTAGATTTGATGGATACAGCTAACCACCACATGACATACTGCGCCACCCGCTTTCCCCATAAAGATGTCCCCTATCAAGTTCACTGGCTTTCGTATTTTGGCGTGCCTCAAGGTTTCAACGAACAATCCATGCATTTCCAACGTTTTCCATTGTGCACCTCGGTCGAAAGAGCCGTTTGGTTCCACTGATGACCTTTGCACAAAACCATCGGGAAAAGAACAAACAACAACCCCCAAATCTGTGACCAATCGCTCCAACCGAGCCTTTTGGAACTTCTCGCTTGGCCTAATGTTCACTCGAGCTTCCTTCGCTCCCAAGGTTCTACGAGACCTGGCCCGGTCCGCCGAAGTGGCTCGGGCCAGACGAACCGCGAAACACACGCGGAGGTCGTGGGGGTGCGGACGTTGGGCTCAGTCAGTTTGGAGATGGAAGATTCATCCTAGAAATTAGCCGCCTGGAGGCTCTAAAAGAGAAGCTTGGTACCACTTGGGAAGTCCATTCCCATCAATTCCCTTGGCCACTGGAGTTGGCCAAAGGTCAATAAGTTTAACCCACCCTTTGAAGTTTTACTGTAATCATTTGGATGAGATGATGAGACAGTGATTTATATAACTAAAACGTGAAGATGATGGAGACGTGGTCTTCAAGCAGATGGTACAGATGTGTTGGACATGTTGTTTCATGTTCCTTTTGTTGAAGGGCTTCTTTTTGACTTCTCTATTCACTCTAGGATGGCTATATACACCCAGATATGCATATTGCATAGACACCATATAAGCTGAAACTATTTATCGTGGCCTCCAGCTTTCTGCTTTGGGGGTTCACGTTGAGTCTTGCAGGCATGGGCGTGAAGGGCGGGCGACCTTCTTGACAGATTGATTCCCTTGTTTGGACATGTTTGCTTGCCTTGTTTCTAATCCATATTCAAACCAAGTATTTGATCTTCAGATGCAAGTTCCCTTGTTTGGACTGCGATTTGCAGCAAGTTCACTTGGTGTCTCCACCGGGGGAGGCGCGTGTCGCGGCAAGAAGCTGCTATAATTCCTGCAAGCAGGTCACATACGTCTTGGTTTGTACGTGATGGCTGTTGTTTGGCGCCTGCATCAAAGTATCCTTGTTCTCGAACTCAAAAAAAAGCATCGTTGAAGGGCCCAGATGCTTTGACACACAAAGATAGAGTTTTTCAGGAAAACTCACACCGAGCAACGAAGGTTGTTGGAAAGACTGCCTCATTCTTCTTGATGCGATAGCTAGTCAGATGATTCTAGTGTCACCATGTGTCACCATTGGTTTGTACAGCGGCTTGATGCAGACACCAAGAAACCATAGAAATCCATAAAGACAGGAACACCCTGTTTGCAGGTTCTCTCCAATTACCGGTTTGTTTCGGCGCGTGTCCCGACCCACGAACTTGCGGTCGACATCGTCCAAGGACGATGCCACCCAGCCCCGGATACATGCAGAGTCCTGGTGTGTGATTCAGAAGTTGGCGCAGGGCTGCACAACTTCAGGGCACTAGTTTTGTCAGATACAATACCTGAGTTGTTTCTTGTGAGCGTTGGGAAGAAGGTGGTCCCGAAAACCACTGCAAGGCGGTCGTGTGGGTGGTATTTTGTGGCCTTTGGTTTGCCTCCTAAATCTCCAGTTGGGGTTGCCAAATCAGTGCTGTTTTCAGTTTGCTCTCTCCTTAATGTCGCCCCCCCAGAACGAAAAGAACGGAGACCGATATAGTTTGTAGTATTGATATCGGGCATGATTTGCTCTTGGCATTGCTGTATGAGGGCACCTCTAGACTGGAGATGCCCCAAGACCTATATGGACTCATTTTGCTACCGCCACAAGGCTTTCCCACAAGCGCGTAGCCATGTTGAACCCCAAACAAACAAAGATCGAAGCGATATGAAGAGATGGACTTTCACTTTTGGCTTGCCACCACCAGTTGCAATGTTGGAGAACCACTTACTTTACCTGCTTGCCATCACGATTAGTATTTGCTGCATGATGCTGCTTGTGTGTAAGGAAACAAAACCTTGGCGCAAACATCCAGTCGTCCCCAAGTAGATTGACACTGAGCGGCTTTTGTTTTATCTATAAAATGGTGTCACTAGTGGTGTCACTATATTTGTGCAACTTCACGATGCTATATGATGCGATATAAGTATATACGACAATTGAACATATCGATATGTTCCCTTAAACTTTGGGCATCGCCGACGTCTCCAAGGAGACCTCCGCTGCTCTCGAGTGGCCCCCCCAACACCCCACACCGGAGACGCTTCGCAGCGCCGCGGCTTCGCTGAAGAGGAGGCGAGCCCGTGCCTGACGGTTCTTTTTTTGGAAAGATGGCACAGAGGGGTGCTATGGGGTGCTGGAGTTGGATTCTTTACAGTATTTGGTTATTTAAGCATATCTAACCTTTAATTATCCAGTCACAAGAAGATGCTTTGATCGGTTCCACTTCCACAACGTGGATGGAGGGTTTGCATGCCCCTCTCGGTGGATGAAGATGGATGGGACAGAAGGATGCTGACCAGTTCTCCTGCCTTGTGTGGCATGGTATGGATGCGTTCCCCGCCCGTCACCCTGCCCCATAGGACATCCTCACCGGCACGGCCCTCAAGTTATTGGCCATGCTCCTCAGCCGCTTGGCTATTCGGACATGAGCAGAATGCCTGTGGCGGACACATCAAGTCAACAACACAGATGTTTGTTTCCAAAGCCGGCAGATATGTGTGATATTGTTTGATACTGTGGGTATGGTTGTCTCCGTTTTCTCGGTTTCTAGGTGCTTGAAGAGAGCAAACATGGACTGAGCATTGCTCCGCTATCCATTTGGACTCTATTATATAATGGGCTCACACGTAGCGGGCGGCCGCCAACCATTGCCAACCATTGCTACCGCTGCCAGTCGCTCGCAGTCGCTCGCAGTCGCTCGCAGTGTCGCTTGACGCCTTGGGTTGTTTTGTTTTTTTCTCTTCCGTGAAGATAACCCAAGGGCGTCAAAGGACTGATTGCCGGGAAGCTTCGGACTCGCTTTTAGGTCATGGCCCCATGGCCGGTTTTGGTCGTTGCGGGCAGCCCACTGAAAGACCCAGCAAGGATACTTGACACAGACACATAAAGGAGTGTACCAAAATGCAGGCTCAGTCTTCGGGGACTGCCCATTTGGGTTTCCGTGGGAGCAGACGTAGGCAGAGACGAAGGTCAGGAGACATGAAGAAGGTGCGATTCTATCAACATGACTTTGTTTCGGGCACTGGAAAGTGGCAAACATGCTCGGGCACCTGAAGCTGGCATGAGAAAACGGAGAACGGAGGTCAGTCAAGCTTGAACCTACTCTAGTTCAGGATTTGAGGACGCTTCAGCCTCTTTGACTTTCCATAGGTAACGGCACACTGCAACCCAGTCCATATGCTGCCCAGTCCATATGCTGCCGTTGCCCCTGTGCCAGAGAGAATCTGACTACATTAATGGCATCAAATCAACTGACCAGATATACTTTTTTGCAGTGTGTGTTGTGTATATTGTTTCCAGATCATCATTGATTGTCAGCTCAACGCTGCTGACTTTGCCTTGGTGTTGGGCACTCTCCAGGCGGTCCTGCCATTCCAGCCTTACCACCATGTGGCTGCTATGGTGCGACGGGCCAGTTGGACGTGTTGGTGAGCATGTGATCGGGAACACCATGTCGTGAAGATTTGTGCGGGAAGAAATTAGAATTGGGAATCCGGAAATCTGTGAAGCACACAATTTGGGGCTCCTTCTATTTATATAGTGGATTCTTCGCGTTGGATCCGATCAGAGACCTGATTCGAGTTTTCTCGCCAGCAGGGTTTTGGAGCATGCTGAGCCTAGGCTTAGTAGCTTAGTAGCTTATCTACAGATAATAGAATATTCCCCCGAGGTCCGTTCCCCTTCCTTCGGGCCGCATTCCGGATCTGCACCGACGTAGCGAGTCGGTCCTTGCCAACAGCTCCATCCGGAGCGCCGAGCACCAGCGGAGCACCAAGCGGCACAGGTGGACTGTTGGTGTCCTCCGCCATCTCGGAGGGGCTGGGATTGCAGGCGGCGGAGGCTGCCAAAGCTGCAGCTGAGGGACATGGAGACAAGCCCGCCAGGGACTCACCTGGGGACGGGCGCCTGGATACACAACATGGAGAGAGGGGTGGATCAGGTGATTAGCAGCAACTTGAGCTACACAGCTGTGTGCAGCTGTTTGGGGGATTTGGAGCCGCACTGCCTGGCACGCGGTGCTTCTTTTCTCAGCTCAGGTCAAGGTGCTTCTTCCACGCTACCCAGATTTGCCAGGTCTTGTCGGGGCCACTTGGAATACTGAAGGCGAGGAACTGACCCTGTGGTTCAGGGTCTGAGGGGGGTGTTTCTGCGAGTTATTGCGAGTTGTTTCCTCACTCTGGTGAATTCGAGTCACTTTATGTCATTTTAAAAGGGCGCTTGAGGGTGTTGAGGCATAAGCTGGAGATGGCTGTTGAAATTATGAAACATGACTTGACTGCTTTGAGGTTTGTGATTGGGACACGTGTCGTGTCTTTTTTGCTTAAAGTTTCTTCTTGTCTCTGCGTTCTGAACGGAAAACATTTTTTCGCTGCTTCGAGCAAAATCCCGACTTCTCTCCTTCAACCCACCAAGGATCACACGAAACCTGCCAAGCTACCAGATCCAGATGCTCCAGTCCCATCTGCGCCACCAACGCCCGGGCCATGGCCTCCCACGCCGCCCGGGCCGCCCTTGGTGTTGCCACCCCCGGGTGCCGCGATGCCACCGCCGGTGGTGCCTCGTTAGACTCGTAGATCCCTTCCGCCGCACAGCACGGCCCTGCTCGGATTGGCTCGGGTGAAGCCGCAGGGCGTCGGACATCGGAACGAGCAGCGCGACTCGGAACCCGGGCATCGCGACAAACGCAAGGACGCTAGTAGAGAAACCTCTGAAACCTCTGACCGAAGGGAATTGCGGCTGACACGAGCAAATCCGAGGGTCTGACTGGACTGAGATGCTCTCACCTGCATTGGAAAAACGGCACACAGTGCATGGAGTGATACGATGGGTGGCGATGTGACTCTGTTTGTCTAGCCTCCAGTATGGCAAGTGGATCACTTTGAATATATTTTGGTGTCAACCGGTTTTAGTTGCGAATTGTTCAACTCCTGGAGGAGGTGGGGAAGACTGTTTTTTCCTTGCCAAGCGGTGGCAACGGTAACTATATCTTATATGCTTACAACACTGAATGCACACTGTTTTGCTTGCCGGCTTCCACATAGAGAGACAGTTTGACGGGTACTTGTCCATTTTGGACAACCTGCCATGCCATTCTTGAATTTGGCGCCCCAGCTCATCCTTTTGCATCTCTCTCCGTCTCTCTCCAACAGACAAGAAACTGCGTGATGTGATCCTCAACTCGATGATTTTGAACGTCCAACATTCCAGCCTTTTCCAACTATTCAAGCAGTACTTGATGATCTGTGGATGTGTGTTCAGGTGTGTTCGAGGAGGTCGACTTGGATCGCTTAGGCTTATATCCGCGGGTCGGCGGTCTTCGGTCATGTTCACTGCAGTTTTCAGGGCTTCTGAGAGTTCCGTTCAGTTTGGGCCATGACGCTTTTGGCCTTTGCCCTGCCACCCGGCGCTGGAACCAGCGCTGCGACCGGTGTCGGGACACCGCCCTGTCGCTTCAGTGCACAGTCCGCCTCTGAGGCCCGGTCAGCGTTCAAACCCTCGAGCCGACTCGAGCCGTGGAGAAATTCGGGTGAGCCAAGATATTCAGAAGTGGGCAATTGACATCAATTGACCAGATTGGCACATGGTCCAAGATTCCAGGATGATGTCTATCCAACACATGGGTTTGAAGTAATTAGACTGTGATTAGCAATTGCATGCAATTAGAGTGAAATAAACAATAGATAATCATATAATATCATATGAGCAACCGACAAAATTATTAAGAGGCCGCCTTGTGCTTAACACTTGTAGAGAAGTGAAGAAATCCTTGGCAACCGATAGGGGACGACCCAGCACCGATACCCCTATACTACCCACCAAGATTGTTTGGGTTGTTATTGTCCATTGTTTTTTGTTTTGTTTTCGATGGCTGTGAATTGGAATCCAAGGTGCTTTTCAAAATGAATAATTCTGAACCTTGATGGGTTACGTTGCAAGAGCTATCACACCATTGTCAAGTGAGTTCGCCGATGAGGTTTCATTAATTAACAACAGTTGGGTGGTTGCACCGTGGTAAGGGAGCTCTCATGGACAGCTCAACCGATACTAACCGATACCATGTTTTTTCAGATTTACATGCTTTGGTGCCCCTTGTCCCACTTGAAGGGTGACACTATATTATATTCAGGACCATTGCGGGTGTCTATGCAGATCTCTCATGTTTGTAGCTTCAGTTTTCATTTCTTAGAATCCACATGGTAGAGTAGTTTCACCTGATTGCAATGTTTCCCTACGGGTGTTTACAGTAAGGCGAGCAAAGAAGTACGAGGAGGCATTAGAAGATTCTGCAAACATGTAAAAATCACCAGATGATGCAGACAACCAAGAGGAAATTAACAAGAATATCAGCAGACTACAACTGAGGAGACTGAGGAGTAAACACAAGCAACAACTTTTGGCCAAGGAAAAGCAAAGCATTGTGAAAGCAGGTCACGGTCAGAGCACCAGCTCAGAATCCAGCTCCTCGAGTTCAATGTCAGATAACACCAAGTCGAAAAAGGAGATGCTACTCTGCTGTTTGCTTCCACAAGCCTTTCACAAGGTACTCGCAGTTTCAAGCCCCGAACTGGAAACACAACCGCGCAGCAATCAAAACGCAACATGGCAAGCCCGTGCAAGCCCGGCAAGCCCTTCACAACCGATGCTTCACAAATGACACCATCATGACATCACATTTCAAATGCCTAATTCTTCACAACCGATAGGGGACAACCCATTTTGGCATATGGCATATTGCATGAATAAATAATGTTGTCCGCACCTCATATATATATATATCATTAAAAACAATATATATATATATATATCAGGTCAAGAAGTCAGACATGTTTTATTCCGCGCGTGACTCGTCAACTCCCACGAGGCGAGACATGGAAGTGGTGCACACTGGGGCTTCTTTGCGTTGAGCGCGCTGTCGCTCCGCGCGCTGGCGCGCGGAGTCTCCGCGCGGCGTGCCTACACAGGCGTTGGAGACTACAGAGGTGGATATCGGGGCAACTATATGTCTGCGGAAGAGCAAGCGGAACGTACAGAACAGACACCTGGCCAGCGAACGATCGGACTGATGATGTTAAGCAAAGGAGCGAACGATCGGGCCAGTGAGACAAAACGGGCACAACCCTTCCACCACCCAACTTGGGAGGTTGCAATCGACCAGGGCCTGGTATCGAAGGGTACTACTAGGAACTGAGACAAACCTCGAAATGTCCATGCTGGATATGCTAGAGAGGTGTTCAAAGAAGGTAGTTAGGCCAGAACAGCTGGAAAGCATCATGCTGCGGTGGACGCACCAATCGGCAGAAACACTCCCGCAAAGAAATGCAAAGCGGCTAAAGTGTAGTAATTTGCTGTCCCACCGTGATTCGGGTCATCTCGGCCTCCATGTGGCAACTCGAGCCGCTGGTTGGACAGCATCGTAAGACTCAAAGACATGTATATAGAAGGGTGGGCAAAGAAACAGGTAGGTTTCAATCCGCATGTCTCCTCTTCAGGATTGCATATAATTAGGCCATGTCAAAAAACACCAACTGCACGCAGTCCGAAGCGCTCAGTCATCACCGGGAGACCACTCAGGAAGCGCCGGAGGGAAGCTGCGCAATTCTTTGCGCATCAGAAACGGCTCATTAGCACTGGTGTTCCTCCCACCGATGAAGTGCTGCTGAGCTTGCAAAGAGGAGGAAGAGGTTGGAAGAGGTCAGGATGCTAAAGGATCTAAGGATGCATCCAACCATCACCCAGTCCTAAAAATGCAAGTTAATTGGTATTCAATGTATATTCCACCCCAAGACCGGGTGATGCTGGATATACAGTACGTATTTGCAACCTGGCATGGATTTGTTCGGCGTTTGGTCAGTGGCCTTGAGGCAGCAGGATAATTTTGTAGGATCGGTAGCTATGTGTGATGGCCTGAACCGGTTCCAAGCAATGCAGGCGGCATCAAATTAGAGCAGAAAGTCGTTGGATTCCTGTTGTGGGGTTTTGTTCGATATGTTGTGTACCCGGATCTTTTCGACGCATGGTTTCTCCCAAATGTGTCCCGTGAACAAATGCTTCCGTGCATGAACCCTGGCCTGTGTACTTATTCGGTAAGTGTGCCATAAATGTGTGGCCAAAGGGGCTGCCAGGACAGACAGGAGTTTTGGAGCCAAAGAACCTACTTGACTCTTCAATTTAAGCATAGAAATTGACCGTGTTTCTACATGAGATGTGCGAATTTGCGCATTGCAGCTCCATTTGGGTTTCCTTTAGGGAGCAAGCAAAATCCACGATGTTAGTGTTTGTTTATGTTTTCATTGTGGTCCTTGTGAAGCAAGCCTTTTAACCTTTGAACGTGTTCCCTTCCGCTCTGTGAGCGCTCATATGCCGTCGGTTGCCATTGTTGCGGGCCTATTGCAAGATCTCTCTCTCTTGTGGAAGGAACAGACATTGAAAGACAGCTGGTCACTAGAGACGCAGAATTAACCAAACATTTTGCATGAGCGGGCACTACCCCACCATCTCGTACGCGGAGGTGGAATCGCAGCTATAGAATCACCCCACACATGGGCACTGGAGACCACACCCAACAATACCTTCTAAAGACTCGGTCTTGGCTCAGTGTTGGCTCAGTCTTGGCACGGGGTCCAGAAGTAGGACTTTGAGCAATGAGTCCTTTTGGGGTAAAGACGTGGTTGAGGGAGAAGACAATCACTTAAACATGTCCTAAACATATTCCACATTGTTCACACCAACCTCTCCCATGATGTTGTTTTTCTATATATCCACATTTTTTCTTTTCGGTTCTTATACTCACTAAAATTAAAGCTAACATGACTAACATGTCAAATCCCCATGTTGCAAGGACTTGGGCGCGAGAGGTGCCTTGGCGAAGAGAAGGACATGTGTTTCGCTTTTTGAGCCACTCAGGGTCACAGAGTGGGTATGGTCGGGCGGTTTGTGTTCAGCCTTTTTGTCGGGCGGTTTCGTTTTTTTGTGACAAGACCTTTTTGATCCATCAAGAACTGTTCAGGGCACCATGGTCACCATGGCGTTGCAACAAAGTCTTCAGCTAGGTCCTCCAGCTAGGTTGGTAAGTCTCAGATGTTGTTGATCTTCCCAAGTGGCCAGGTTGGGCGGGTGATTTTTGCCCCCACATGGCCCCATACTGGGAAGACAGGATGGAAACGCTTAGCCGAGGCCGTTGTTTACAGCTAGCACTATCACTATAATCTACCAGAGTCATCATCACCATCATCGCGGCCAGTCATCATACTGTATTTGTTGTTACCCGTACACTGCAAAAACCGCGCGCAGATGAGGAAAAGCGCTTGTTCGGCGCCAACCACGTGGTGGCTGGCATCAACTTCTCGAAGTATGACAACATCGAGGCAGGACCATTGAAATTTGGGTCGCTTTGGGGCAACGTATGGCACGGGGTCTAGCGAGTCTAGCGAGTCTAGCTATTGCTTAGGATCAGCCGGGCGATATCCAAATTTCATCCATGAACTTCCCCATTTGCTACGGGTGCAGGCAGAGACTACATTGTGCATTGTTGTAGAAGTGGGATTGATGCTCACTTGGGAAATATTTTAATGTCAGAACCGTACTATTAATAAAGGCACCCTCCTCGCATTTTTTCAGGTTTTTTTTTTGGGGGGTGTAATAAAAAGACTGGTAGTGGTAGTAGTAGTAGCAGCAGTAGTAGTAGTAGCAGTAGTAGTACTAGTAGGGAAGCATTCCAAAGCAAGCCAGGAGCCACAATTGTGGATAGGTTAGCTTCACAGCAGAAAAGTGCCCATAGGACTTGAGCTCAAAATCTTTAGCTTCTGAACCCTACAGTGATACTACTAGACCACTGACTTTTGCGACAACAGGGGGGGAAGTATGACATTTGCTTGCCTGACAGCTGAGTTATATAATTTTTCCCTTTGAGCTGCAAAACAAAAAGCACCAGCCAACACAAACTGAGCAAACTGCCTTGAGAATTCTCTTGATCATTGAGGGTGGTTAAGCCGACCCCAAAATGAACAGTGCAGAAAGTGGCTTGGTTGGTTGTTGGCTGGCTTTCTGGCCCTCAGCCGCATGCAGCCAAGCCAAGACTGACAAGAAATGAACAGATGTAGCCAGCACAAACAAGCTGTGTGCCCATGGCTCCAACAGAACAGGTCTTGCTGGCTGCTCTGTCCTCTTGTGACTGAGTGAGGACGACACAGGCTTTGTGGGTAACTTTGGGGTGTCTTTGCTCATTTCTGAGCAAGGATGCAGGACGTCACAGGGTGTGGGCTGTCATGCTCCAGTCTGTCTGGCCTAGGGTGTGCCGCAGCCATACCCCAGCAGTCCCACACATGCTCCAGGATCAAAGGCTGTGTGTGTAGCCGCAGGGTGGAGCAGGGTTGGGAGCAAACCCACTGGTTGAGGAGAATGGCTGCTGGTGTGGCTGCGACACAAAAAGACCAATATATTGCTGCTGCTCTATGTCCTTTGGTGACTGAGTGAGGATAGAGCTCAAATTGTTCCGTTGCTAGAAGACACAAGCAGTGTTTTCATTGCCCTAACAGGTCTTGCTGGCTCCTCTATGTCCTCTGGTGACTGGATGAGGATCGAGGCACTTCCAAACATTGCTCCTGTTGCCAGAAGACACAAGCAGTATTTCCATTGCTCTAACAGGTCTTGCTGGCTCCTCTATGTCTTCTCATAACTGAGTGAGGATCGCGGCACTTCCAAACATTGCTGCTGTGGCCAGAAGACACAAGCAGTGTTTCCATCGCTCTACCAGATTCTTTGCTGGCTTTTCTATGTCCTCTGGTGACTGAGTGAGGATCGCGGCACTTCCAAACATGGCTTCTGCTTCCAGAAGACACAAGCTGTTTTTCATGGGTCTAACAGGTCTTGCTGGCTCCTCTATGTCCCCTGGTGACCGAGTGAGTGTCGAGGCACTTCCAAACATTGCTTCTGTAGCCAGAAGACACAAGCAGGGCTTCCATAGCTCTAACAGGTCTTGGGTCTGCTGGAGCATGGCTGGGACACACCCTAGTAGGCCAGACAGGCTGAAGTATGACAGCCCACACCCTGTGAGAAAGACTCTCAAACCAGTTTGCTCAGTTGTGCTGGTTGGTGCTTGTTTAACAGTTAGTGTGGCCTAGTGGTAGCACTGTAGGACTCAGAAGTTAGAGGTCTCGGGCAATAGAGAGAGAGGTGCCAAATTGTGGATCTTCTCTCTATTGTGGGTCCTTGGCACTCATAAGGGGTACCCTTTGCAAGACTGTTGAAGAGTGATGTTTTGCATAAAGGTGTTCAATTAGAGATCGATAGCTTTGGAAGTTGGAAGATTTAGATTTTCCTTTATTGTGCATTCTTGTGTTAGAAGAGAAATGTGAAGGAAAGCATTCTCAAGCAACGCAGGAGCCACAATAGAGAGAGGTGCTATAAATACAGATCCCCTCTCTATTGTGGATCCTTGGCACTCATAAGGGGTACCCTTTGCAAGACTGTTGAAGTGAAGCTTTCCATAACGGGTTTCAATTTTTAAATCGGCAGTGCGGGTCCCCTTTGCAAGACGGTTGAAGTGAAGCTTTTCATAAAGGTGTTCACCTACTTTGCCCACCAGCAGGAAAGTGCATCCAATATCGTCCACTTATTGGCTAACAACTTTGACTCTTGCAGCTATAGGTATTTTGGAAGAGATCCGGATTGAAACGGCCTGGCGAGCCGCCCCCCCCCCCATGCCTCGGCGTTCCCACGAGGTGACCACTGAGGGAGGCACTGGTCGGGAGCAGGCCATCAAAAGCTTCCAAGAAGCTTGCGCCTGGATCGAGATGGAAGTGGAAGGGTGTCGGTGTGTCTGAGACTGACTCGGTGTACTGGCTGAAGGGTGTTCGTTTTCCCGCCACAACATGTCCGAGTTGCCATTTTGTGGGTCTCTTTGGCCGTTGGTTCTTCTCGGGAGCTTCACGAGTTCGCCCTTCCTGTTCCGCTCGGCGCCTCGGGACATCCATGTGTACCTCCAGTGTGAGTGTGGCTTGGTTAAACAATCCTTCTCTCTTTTGAGGCATGTTGGTGGAACCCCATTCACCAGGTCACTTCTCCATGAGCTTGGCTGAACCGGAAAAAGAGGCCCAGGGCCTTGTAGGCGACAAGGTCTTTCTGGTTGAGCAGTGATAAAAGGCTGTCTTCACTTTAGCTTCACCAAAAGCCGACCACACCTCAGGTGACCGCTACAAACTACCCGACGCGCTCACAGAGAACTTGAACCGGCCCGGGATCGGATGGGCGGATGGCGGTGAATCAGCGACTGCGGGCCATGCGGATCAAGCCGACGATTGACTCGTCCCAGTTTGGTGGTGTGAAGTTGGTTGGAAAGGTTGGAAAACCCAGATGCTGTAAATGATAATATTGTAATGATTGATTCTGAATGGTCTATATATGGCGTTGGATGCTGTCAACGGGTGGATATAAGATATTACAGTAAGGGATTGGATCCTGTCGACAGGTGGGTGGATGCATGAATGGGTAGATGGGTGTGTATGAGTCACATCTTGCGACTCTTGATTTGTTTTCTCCAGGATGCAACAGTAGTATATAGACTGAAGCGTGGTCAGCCTGGCAAGGGGTTCTTGAGATGGCTGGCACGTCAAGCTTTGGATACTGTATACATTGCATACATGTTGCAGATTGAATTGCACAGGGCGTTGGGAGCATCACACCGACATCAGAGAGCTGTTTCTTTTTTTACTCGGCTGGATTGCAGTCGCGCACCAGCACCCCCAACATCACACCGTCCACGGCAAGGTGTAGCTATTCCATTCCCACACCCGTGCAGAAGTACAGCATCCCAGCCGTTTTGGAAGGCGAGAGCTGTTTTGGAGATGCTGGATGCATCTGGGTTGTGTTTCTCGTTGAAGCCGAGAAACACGCAGATCAAGAAAGGAACACCTCGAAACCACTTGAGAGTTACACAAAACACTGACACCAACATTCGGAAGAATGACACAAATAACACGGGTGATACGAATGACATGTCCGGGAAAGGCTTGAGTCGGAGAGCCGGGTGAACGTGTGAGGCTTGGTGTTCCCCATCCCTCGCGACTGCTATTCGCTCCGTTTCGGTCAAAGACGTCGGTGAATAGCACGGTCACCTCCGAGAGTTCGGTCGGCTTACCGCCGTCTCGGCAAAGCCGGTGGTCGGAGATGTTTTGTTTCTAGAACTGTGTATAGATTTGTACAGTCATAGAGTTATCATGACGTTCCTATGGGAGATAAGTCGGAGTTCTTATATACGTAGATCTCAAGACAGAATCAATACGTTCCTTGTCATGTCACGAAAGGTAGCTTGAGCTACCTGAGTTCTCCTTGCTTTAGCAAAAATGTATTACAATCTGGAGTTCCCCCCCCCTGGATCAAATCCCCCCTGCGCCGGTTCACGCCGTCATGGACTTCTACCAAGGTTACTTGTGATTGCCTGCTACCTTTCGTTCACCCCCTCCTCTCTCAAGTTCTTACTCGGGCAACGGGGGCATACATGGCTTGCTTTGGCGCCATCGAAGTGTTTAGCAAAGCTCTTGCATAAAGCTGTAAAAGAACTGATAACCTGAGGGGAACCACAAACCGACGCATTCTAGATTGTACGTTTTGTGCTCCCAGAAGCATGTCACGGTGGCCATGTTGAACCGTGACTGTGGCGCTTGTTCTTGGTTCCAGCCCCTTGATCGAACGCCATTTGTGCAACACCTCAACAGCCTTAACACTGACCTTTCCTGCACCGTGAGTCAATGATTTGCCGTTGAACTGCAATGAGCATGTCACAGTTTGGAAACTGCATAATTCTTCTACTCTTGTGCAACTTTTCACTTTTCCTGGCCTCATTGCTGGAAAGTCACCGGGATATGTTGTTTTCCGGAACTTGACAACTGGTAACTGGTTACTATGTCCCAACCCTCTCCCAAATCCATCGGATTGCGCTGGTGATGGTCACCGTAAGGCAGTGATGTGATGGTCACTGCGCAGACGGGCAGCGGAAAGACCGCAGCTTTCTTGGCTCTTTGGATTTATCTAATGACCTTGTAGTGACGGCTTGGAAGCTGGATTGGCTTGGAAGCTGGATCACCAAGACTCGGATCACCAGGTACGCCAGCACAGCCTATATCACAGCCTAGCATCATGATTCAATTTCGGCCAATTGCAGCCACTGTTGTTCATTCTACATCATTTGTTGTTGAAAAGTCATCCAGAGGCTACAACTGGGATGGGCTACGACGCTTGAAGTAGCTGATGTTTCCAGTGGAAATCCAAGTCCGACTCTGGCAGTTTCTGAGGTCCCCATCATCACAGCAGCACTGCAGGCTGGCCCAAAGGACGGGATAGTGTTTTGTGGTGCGGAAAACCCCACGAAGAGTCAACGTATAATATCGATATATAACTCAGTGAAGAGTCAAAGATTCGGTTGGCCCCCAACTTCTCGTGCGCTGTTCACGGGGTTGCACATGTTAGATCTTGTGAGATGTCTCGTCTATAACTAACCTGGCAGGGTGGTTTCAGATATGTGTATTTTCAACCTTGACTTGGGACTATTTAAACCCACTGACTCATACATTTTCAAGTGAGTAGAAAACTACCAACCAGGTAGAATGTTGCCTTCATCCACGAGATTTCTGCCTACGATCCAATGATTGTGGCCCCCTTTTTGTGCATTGTTGCATGGCTGTGCGAGGCACAAGGTGGATTGTGGCCTCTCAACTTCTCGGATTGGCACCAGAGTTTAATCGATTGATGTCCCAACTTCCCAACATGTTTAGGTTTTGCCCAAACTCCACCGCCCCACACGTTTGATCCCATTCGTCAAGCAGAATCAAACATGTGGTCAGGCTCCGGTGATCTCTTTTGGAATGACCCGAGGCTGGAAATCCATGAACATCCAAGCCAGGTGCACGGGGAGATGCAAAGGGGCCACCACAAATCGCGTGTGCACTTCTTTCCAGGTCCAATGGGTCCAAATGGTTTTACTACTTGTGGGCTTCCTGGCTGGGTACCCATTCAATGCTCCAGGTTGATTGTCCTGTATAGAGCCTGATTGTGGCGCACAGAGAAGCTCCCAGGAGCTGAAAGAGGGCGCTGTGTGTCCCACCAGCGTGGTGCTGGCGCCCACACGCCCGGGAGCCCGGGAGGGCGCTGTGTGTCCATCACCTTTGGTTCGGACTTCCCACGGATTGGTTGGATTTAGTTGGCCTAATCTGGAGGATTATATTTAGTTACAACTTCGTTTGGGTTCGCTCCTCAGCCATCTCCCAAAAGGATCCAACAAACATTCGCACCATGTTCAGCAACAAAAGCAGCCCATGATTGCAGGAGCTGTCCAGGGCCTTAGGGACCTTTGCCGCTTAGTATATGTATATAAATTTTGGCCCTGGATTCGAAGGTTTGTTTGACCTAAGTTCAGCTATGCCCACTTCCTGCTTGTTGAGAGCGATGGACCGTGGCTTTTCCACAGTTCCCGAAACATGGTGCAGGCGAATGGTTTTATCCTACCATACTTGCACACATTAGTATGCAGTACCAGTACGCTGCTGAGTTCGCTGACTATTGGACATACTGGTATGCTCCAAGACCCTTACTTAATGTGGACTCTTTATAAATCAAATTCTGCATTTGGATTGTAAAGCCTTTTTATATACAGTACTTTTTCATCAACAGTCCTCATATGCTGTGTGAGTACTGTAACTAAATGTACTCACATCCTCATCCAAAACAACGCGTTGACGCCATGCGTCCAATGCTTGGGCGTTGACGCCCAAGAGCCCAGGCGAGCTGTGTCAGCAGATCACCCAGGAGGCCAAACGCCTGACGTATCGCAGCGACGCCCGGGTCGCGTGCATCGTCGGGGGCACCTCGGCAGAAGACGACCGAGTGGAGAATGAATGGCTTCGTCACTCGTCGTGTTTCCGGTGTCCAGTGCGTTGGTTGAAAATCAAAGGTGAGAGTCCACCTGAAGTTTTCAAGGTGAAATAGTGTGTGTATATATATTATATTTATATACTCTACAGCTCCAAAGGCCCAGTAAAACCTGGTCCCTTTCCTTAATGAGTGGTGTTTTTGTATGATCAACTCTAGTAAACCTGACCTGTAGGGCCGTAGGGCTACAGCACCATGTGGTCCATGGGGTTCCATTGCAGCTTTGGAAATATGAGATCATTTCTCCAACATATGCTGGGAAACATAGATCTGTGACGTGTGTCAGCATCGAGGGGTACAATGACGGAACTCCCTGAGAGACCCAAATAGTGGAGGAGGTCTGAGTGCAGGGAGGAAATGACCTGTTTGTTGACTTTGGAGTCCTTTTCGCTCCAGCCGAGCCAGCTGAAGTCACTCTAGACCTCATAGCAGCGAATTTTCTGAAGATTTGCGGTGGCTGACTTAGGGGAAGATGCTTTGACTCAGCTCCGAAGCATTGTTTCTGGGATTGCTGCTTGGCTAGCAGCTTTTGATTCTGAATGTATGGAACGGTTGGACTAAAGGTGCAATTGCCAAGAAGGCACCCAAACATGAGCGGTTTGCTTTGGGTCTCCCCGCGGCAGTCGTCTTTGTCTGCACAGCCATTTGTGCTTGTGTGCTTCTGAGAGTTGTATACTCGACCGCGAGTTCGACTGCGGTATTCTGTAGTCATGTTTTGCTTGCTCAGAATACATTCGAGCCATTCAGATCCAACGTTTCGTTGCTTGAGGCTCCAGGTGTAGTTAAACTGTGTTATGTCATGCTAAAACATGTCACGAAAGGTAGCTTGAGCTACCTGAGTTCTCCTTGCTTTATCAAAAATGTATTACAATCAGGAGTTGGGATTGTGCATTGAATTTGGTCCTGTAAGAGTTGATTCTGTTCGTCCGGGGGGGGGGGCCCCCCGTGGCTTGGACTGTTGTGGTCTATGTGGCGTGGACTCTTTCTGGTGTACATAGTACTGGCACTAGGGCTGGCAGCTGTTGTTGGGCAGCGTCAAGTCAGCTGGCCACGCGGGATCTTGTGATGGTATGGCCTGGTAGCTGGGCTAGTTTCGCCGGCCCTTCCTCACTGGGTGCCCGCATTGTTTTACAGCGTCCGCGGAGTCCGCGGGGTCCGCGGGGTCCGCGGGGTCCGCGGGGTTCGCGGGGTTGGCGGGGTTTGCGGGGTGTGCGGGGTCCGCGGGGTCCGCGGGGTCCGCGGGGTTCGCGGGGTTTGCGGGGTCCGCGGGGTCCGCGGGGTTCGCGGGGGCCGTGGGGTTTGGGTCCGCGGGGTTTGCGGGGTCCGCGGGGTTCGCGGGGTCCGCGGGGTCCGCGGGGTTTGCGGGGTCCGCGGGGTCCGCGGGGTTCGCGGGGGCCGCGGGGTTTGCGGGGTCCGCGGGGTTCGCGGGGATTGCGGGGTTCGCGGGGTTCGCGGGGCTTGCGGGGTCCGCGGGGTCCGCGGGGTCTGCGGGGTCCGCGGGGATTGCAGGGTTTGCGGGGTCCGCGGGGTTCGCGGGGATTGCGGGGTCCGCGGGGTTTGCGGGGTCCGCGGGGTTTGTGGGGTCCGCGGGGTCTGCGGGGTTACAAGACTGGGAATGATAAGTCTCTTATAGTGTTGAGTATCTGAGAAGTGTTAAGTGCTCTTTTAGTCATGCGAAGTGTGATTGTCTCCACTCCAAAGATGCCGGTTCTCTTCTAATTGTTTTGTGTACTTGTACAGATGATTGTTTTAAGTTGTTGTGTGAAAAGTTGTCTTGTATTGTTTTAACTACTTGTGTGCCGCATGGTCCGGAACTGTCCAACGAACGGGGGCCCCCCCCCCTGGATCAAATCCCCCCTGCGCCGGTTCACGCAGTCGTGGACTTCTACCAGGGTTACTTGTGATTGCCTGCTACCTTTCGTTCACCCCCTCCTCTCTCAAGTTAAAACACGTCTAGCTAGACGTATGGTTGAAAAAAATACACCCATACATTTCTGCTACATTGGGGTTATTTGCTGGTTGCTTTGTGGCTTATCACCGAGGAGATTGTGGTGGCAGCCCCTGGCCGCTTAGATGATTTCCTGAACCGTGGCGTCCCTTGGAGGAACATTGTTGAATATGCTTGGTCAAGAGTGCCTTCTTCATTGGACGAGGGAATCCGAAGCAAAGCACACTGCAAAAGAATAGAAACCACTGAAAGCAATTCTTCGGTTTTGATATCCTACAGAGGTTGCATGAGGTGCACTCTTCAATCTCTCGTAATCACCCGAAAGCAATGCCATATTCTTCCATTCTTGTATGGTAGCCTGGTAGCCCATGAACTCACTCGCGGTTCTGGTTTCTCATCACCGGAGAAAAAGAACACACTCACCATACTCATAGACTGGCAGCACAGCCGGATCACTATCGGCGAGGTGATCAGTATGGAGGAGGTCAAGCTGCTTGGCGACAGCATAAGCCGAGCTCGGATTGGCAAATGGACCGAGCAGACGCCACCGAAACTCTCCAATGGTCCCTTTCTGTGAGCACCAATCCTAACCAAGCAACAAAAATTGAACAGAACTGACGACCCGTGGCCCACGGCCATATGATGCTTCAACAGATGTTCCCAGGTTCCTGGTGGTCGACGAGGCTGACCGCATGCTGGACATGGGCTTTGAGCCGCAGATTCGAGCCTTGGAAAGGTTTGCTTAAAATTTTTGTGACAAGTGGGTCAAATCAAGTCACTGGTGCGAAGGAGCTGGGGGTATCAATCGATCATATGTGCCAGAGAGGGACCACGGAGATAGAGTAGAGTGTGTTTGCGAGGTTTCGGGCCATATTACCACAAGTAAAGATTCCAAACGTGAAATTTGGGCAAGCAGAATGGCCAGACGACTGTTGTCTGAACACCCCAACGCGAGTGATCAAGGAGGCAGCTTGGACTAGGGGGCTTTCCAGAATCCTCGATTTAAAGGCCACGACCAAAAAACGAGAGAGAGAGAGATTACAAAAACAACAGTGAAAAGATATATACTGTATTTTTATATATTAAAAAAAATATATATATGCAAAACATGTATGTTTATATATATAGTACAGAGCGTTGATGTGCAACAGCCCAGTTCGTGTGCCTGGTCACCGATTTGAGTACATTATGAGTTGTTGTGAACGCCAATGAAGTTTTAGATAACTTTACGCATCAATTTGGCTACGCAGCATGTAAACAGTTTCATTGGCAGCCACTTCCCCCCACACCCACAGTGTGAAGGAGATGTTGCAATTCACCTTTGCAGCTCTGAAGAAATAACAATACTATGGTTTTCATGATGGCCTGCGTGTTTGCTTCGCCTGTTCTGAAATGAGTCAGTCTAGGAAATATTATCGAGAACTACGGCATGCCGGAGCCTGGCGAGGCAAGATGTGAGAGTGTTGGGCGAACAGTGCGGATGTTTTTCACCTTCATCCCATGGGATTCAGCAGGTGTGCACAATTTTTCTAAATATATATATATATAATCATGATTGTCGTTTGTTTTGTGTTTAATTCTTATATGATGTTCGTTGTTGTTTTCTTTGTTTTCCCGAAACATGGTTGATAGGTATGTGCTTGCAATTCATGATGCAAAAAAGGCCTCGACAAGTTATTACTTACATCTAATTACAGTGCAGGAGTGCGTCAACAAAAAAGTAGGACATGTAAATGGTGTTCCTCCCGAAGGTCACCTTTTTGAAGAGACAGTCCTGGTTGAGAGAGGTGAACAACTTTAAATTTTGACCTTCATCGATCGCGTGGGTGGAGCGTTCATCGATCGCCGCGAAGAGTGGCGAACCAAGGGTGGACGTCAGACGATGATGTTCTCAGCCACCTTTCCGCAGGAGAGTCGGCTTTAGTCGGTTTTAGTCCGATTTGCGCATGACAAGAGATGTGAAGAGATACAAGTTCTTTGCACTAATTGGCAAACAGCCTCAAATGGCACATTGTGGATAGTGGATGCCATGCACAAACTTACATACTGTAACTAATTAAGGGCATCACTACTATAGTAACAAGAAGCTACAAACGTAGCGGAGCCCATGAGCGGACCAGTGGACTCGGGTTTCGACTCAGTGGACTCGTGGACGACTCCGTACGTGGACGACCGTCGACTCCCAGTGGTTTGCACCGGTTTCACGGCCGCGCCCATGGATTGGGGCGCGCAGGAGATGCAGGATATGGCACTGGACTTTTTGGACCCAGCTCCTTGGTGCACTTGGAGGAGGGTTTTTCATCAAAAACAGGGATCCGGGATGGTGGTGGACTCGCCAAGAGGAAGCAGGGTAGTTCCCGTAGTTCTGTTTTTTTCCAGGTGAGGTGACAAGAGGAAGCTCTTCGAGTTGAATGTGCATTTGCATGGATGTGTGGCATGCCATGGGGAGTGAGTCTGACCAATGCAGCATAAACACCCATTAAAGGCAGTATATATCAGTTTTTGGTGCATAGAAATCAGAGATGCCCAACTCGTTTGCCCAAGTGGCGTTGAAAAACACCCATGGAGTTGGATGACTCCATGCAATGTGACTCCATGCGCTGTCTTGCCCTCCGTGCGCCAGCCACTGAGTCTTACTATGGCATTTCGGTGGGCCAGGCGCATGGGGTCCGGGCGTGAACAGGTAGAAGAGCCGTTGACGTTACAACTCTGACTTGGCAAGGTGGGTAGGAAGTGCGATGTAGGAAAGCTACTTGTAGTAGCCACCTGTATGCTATTCACTGAGGATCCATGTAAAGCAAATATGTCCTACATTCACCACCAAAAGCCACCAATGTTGGCAATATTTGCTTACATGGATCGTTTGGGATAGGTGTGCTCATGAAGGATCAGCAGCAGGCGAAGTGAGGCGAGGACCAGCTGAATAACTGTCATTGCGAACTAAGAAACGCTTCAGCACAAAAGAAACAAGGGAACCAGACCCTCCGACATGTCCAGGCCCAAGTGCAGTGGCTGGCTGTGTGACTGAGACAGCTTTCCTAGCGACCGGAGGAGTTGGCTGCAGCTGCAGGAACTCTTTGCAGTTCAATTTTGTTCAATCAAAGTCCTTGTTGATCCATCTTCCATTGCCATGGCACCAGAAACATCCGTTGAAAAAAGCCCTGCGAAAGCATGGCGCTTCAGTCGGTTCGCCGTAGATCATGGGTTACAGTGCTCATGGTGTTTTCGCGCTTGAAGAGGTGGGCCACGCAGCGACCGATGTGGACCAGCACTTCGAGAAGGCGCACGGCGCACGTGATTGGTCAGTTTGTCTACGAACAGCTTTGCAAACGGATCTTCCAATGCTTTCCCTGGCCTTGACATCATCGAGTTTTCATGCGTTTTCTGATTCCTAACGGTCAATGTGCTTCATTCGCTTGCAGATCTTCCTTCATTTCAAGCAGCGCGCGTTTCGCAAGTACGGCGCGCTGCGCCCCGACTCAGGTGAACTGGAGCGAAAAGTTTGACAGACTTTGCGAAGTTTTGGACGAGGTGCCGGAAAAACCGAGCACGCTTGCGCTTGGGATCCCCTTTCACCCAAAAGACCTGGCAAAATGGAGAGTCGGACTTCAAATCCATGCAATACATTTCATATTTGTAGCCGAATTCTTTGTTGACGAACGACAACTGGGCATTTTCTACCTGAGGTTGCAAGACTTCGCTTCAACGCCGACTGTTTACTTCTTCAGTTTAACCAGGAAGTCGATCATGCATATGTTCGCTCAACAGGCATTTAATGAGAACTTGGGCAGGATCCCGTGCATGTTTGCTGTGTTGTATTTGTGTATCAAACCTTGATAAGTTATTATCAATCATTGTTTGCAACTCGTGAGTTTTATTCGCGGTATGCACTGGGGCATGCAGGTCAGTGAGAATGGCTCACCAAAGAAGACAATCGTTTTCGCGAACACGAAGGACGCGGTCTATGGCATGTGGGCTGGTGTTTGTTGCATGTTGAATTTTGGAAAACCGTCCGATAAGCCATGTGATTATGGCGCAAGATGAATATATGATATATATATATATATGAACGAAAGTGTGTGAATTGTCTATATATATATATACATACATGCGTATCCTACGGATGGTACGGCTCTCGGAGTAGACATGAAGACCAGACGGGCAACTCTCTCCGATACTCATGTTGCGGAAGAAGTCAATCAAATGGACCACCCCTCGGGTGACCAGGTGTCCTTCCCCCTCACGTTTGCCACGCGCCCAGAACGTTGTGGACGACATTGCCAGTCAGCTCCGGGAACGCGGCATCAGTGCAGCGCCAATGCATGGAGGCTGCTCATTTGGTCCATGTTGTAGGCCCCAACTCAGAGTTGTTGGTGCAATAGTAAGATTTTTAGTAGCTGTGCAGGCTATGTTTTCTGAATTTCACCAAACCATTCAAACCTGTACATGCTGGGAAGACCATATTCAGCGACAAGAACGCTACAATAGAGCATGACCTTTGGATGAACGCAAAAGAGCGGTGGCGGGAGCAACACAATGGAATTGGAAATCCAGTCGCAGGAGAGAATCCATTTCTGGCTTACTGATTAGTTGAGGATAGTTGAGTTGAGGTGTCCTGAATAGTATTTGCACATGCGCGCTAAAAGCCCTGGATTACCTTATTACAGCTTCACCATCACGCTGATATTGGCGAGAATTGGCCGCTTTTGCTCCAGGAACCAACCAGATGTTCCGTAACCGGGCGCTGGCAGATGTCAAAAACGGACGCATTAGTGTGCTGGTGGCCGCTGGGCTTGTAGACTGGTCGGTTTGGAGATGATTTTGTGTTCGTCGGTTTGGCTTGCTGACGAGCTTGGGAAGCCACGAAAGCAAGCGACCTCGAGACTGTGTGACCATTTCTGGTTCTAAACTTTTTGCTGCCATCAGATGTGCTATAGAGTGCCCAAACACAAGAAACAACGCCTCTACCGCAACGGCACTGACACAGATGATAAGCGCACAGCATGAATCCAGACTTTCAGAGAAATTGCTAGGTATGGTGAAGTTGAGTGTTTCTTTTTTTTTTGCGACTCAACTTCATACATGTGTTTCTAGCTAGAAGTTGAGTGTTGTCTATGTCATGACTGCATGTTGATCAATCATGTTCAAGCGACTCAATCAGGCGACGGACGTGGCAGCGCGGGGCTTGGATGTTCCAGGGGTTGAGCACATCGTGAACTACGACCTTCCAATGGACGGCTCTTTGGCTGCCGTGCAGGGTGTGGCTTCGGAGTGGCGGGCGCTGTGGATGCGCTGCAATCTGATGAGAATCTGCAGGGTGTGCGTGTACTGACGGGCTTCGCCAACCGGCGACGCCCTTGGGGGGACTGCGCGTATCCGGAGGCTCCTTGCACAGCATTGCACAGCAAAACGCGACGATTATCACAGCTTCTTATGCCTGCACACTCCCACACAGGTGTGCTCACCAGGGTTTGATGGAAAAGCCAGGAAACCTCAGCTTCAGACACACGTACGCACATGCACACCCGCACAGGCATCCGCATGGACACGAACGGACACGCACTCGCGCAATCGCACGAACACGCACACGAGCGCGCACGCATTCACGCCCACGCACGGCTTCTTCAAAAATCAGGACTTTGTAGCGGAAAACGCTGAACATTTTTTTGTGTATATATAATATAGTTGAGCATATTCCAGCCTAAAGCTATTTGCATTTAGGCTAGAAAATGCTTATATTTTTTTAACGTTGTCCATTACAAAGTCATGATATTTGAAGAAGCCATATAAGCCCAGGTGGTGCTAGAAATGTCGGCCGCAAACCGACCTTTGAACATCACAAGGTCGTATGTAGTTTAGAAAAACACGTCAAAAGCACAGGAAAATGATGGAAGATGATTTACAACATGCTACTGTAAAGTTTTATCTCTAGAGAAGAAAGTATGCTAAGAGGAGAGGAAGTTTTGAGGGTAGCAGTTGTGTCGAGCACCATTGATATCACCAGAGTACGAGCAGCATTGTTCATAAACTACATTGACATACATTTTGCAAAAACACTGTACAGTGTTTTGCGCCTAGTCATACACCAAAGGACCAAAGGATTTGCATTTTTTCCTGCTGAGACTGAGACCCTGCTGATGCTAAGCATCCTCGACCAAAGTTTGTCCTCAACAGTTGTCTCCATTTTCAATGCTTTATTTTCTGGAGGTTTTGAAGCTATAATTAAGCTTTACAGTCGCCATTGTTCATCCTTTTCCATCAGTTTTTGACGTTTTGTGACGAAGCCACATGAGCCCGGGTGATGCTAGAAATGCGGGTCGGCGGCAAGAGCGCGCCTCCGTATAGCAAGCTAGGCTTGATATGGGACAACGGCACGGCTCGCCGGATTTTACAGGCTACCGCCTGCAGCTGCCGACCCCGGAGCTGCGTGCAGGGAAGAATGATGGGAAGGGGAGCGGCCGTGTTGAAATATGTATAATGCATAGTTGCGATGGAAGCAGCGTACGAGTTGTAACATGTTGGAAGCGTGTATGCTGCAGCCAGTGCTGCAGCCATATATGTAGTGTGAGCCAAGAATGGCGGCAAGGCCGGCGGCCGGTTGCAAGCTTCAAGAGTCCTGTTCCGGGACGCCCAGTGCGGGCCCACAACACAATGCAATAGGGTTTTGCCGCTTTTGCCCCACTCACAGGTCAGATAAGTTTAAGCATTCCGAGGCCCCGAGACCCCACGAGGCGACGGTGCGCAGCTGCCCTCTGAATCGGGACCTCTCAATCGCGAGAGGCGAAGAAGGATGGGGACGTTACCATGCCCCGATGAGAATAAGAGGGAAGATGAGGGAAGTAAAAAATCAAGGATTGGCATATGGGATTATGGCACACTTGGGGAGAGCAGGAGCCAGAGTAGGTAAAAATTTCCGATGTGCATGTAAGATGTGGATTTGATCGAAGATTTCAACCAACGATTGACCAACAACAATGGCACAAGCAGAGCACGCCAGACAACTTGCCGCGGGCAAGCCGCAGAGGGAAAGACGCAGACGTCGCGCCTGGCGCAAGCCGCAGAATGTTTTCGCTCCCACGAGGCGTTTGGCGAAAGAGGAGGCATACGCAACGCCAGAGACCTTGGCGCGGGCAAACCAGAGAGTTTGCGACGCTGAAACGCACGAAGCCAGCCGCTGAAAAGCAGAGATGAAAGGGTTCTTCCAGTGCCCACTGGTGGGTGACAAAGCAAAATCCAAGGGACCCTAGGCCGAGCCTACCGCAGAGTTTGCGATGGGTGTTTGAAGGCTAAGGAAGAGCACAAGGACATCCACAGGAGCCAGAAGTGCACCCAACAGGGGCCCGCGCTGTGTTCACAGCTGATGTTTGCACCATGATATGGGTTTTCCCGCTGCACCATGGGACCAAGGTGCAGGTATCATTGACGGTTCTGAATCATATATATTGAACACTGGGCCTTCAATGCATCCCCACAGTTTTTTTAGAGCATGTGAGCAGAAAGATGCAAGAACTGTTGATTGTTGTTTGTTTTTGATGTCGCGTGGTAGATTTACATGCGACTATATATAGTATATTAATATATATATATATAACTGGTAGGTGTGTGTGTGTGTGTTGGTGTGTTGTGTGCGTGTACGCCCGTATTGCCACCACAGAAGGCATTCATTGTATTTGGCACTCCCATCATGGGTCCTGAGGAGACAGCTACGTGCACCGGATTGGCAGGAGCTGTAGGGGGTGGGAGTGTCGCTGAGTTTTGCGTCCAGTTCGCCTGTTTGAGGACCGGGTTCCAACGGGCCTTGACCGCGTGTGATTGGTTTGATGATGGTTTGCTTGGTGCACTGGCATGCAGTGATGATTTTTGAATGTGTGTGAACCCTTGCATCTACTCGTGCCTCTTCTTTTGACGAGTGTTTTTATGTTTCCGTGCTGGCTCTACAACAAGGATCAACAGACTATACAGACCGTTTAGCTTTGTGGTATTTATATTTGGTATGTTCAGGCTCGCCGCTCGTGAATTTGCCAATGAAGCCACCCACTGAGGAACTCCAAGGGTTCTTTGCGTTCAATCAGTCGTGGAACAATTCTTTTCCAAGACATAATTGTTCAGCCTACAGGACCGGCCGTATTGGCAACAAGGGCCGTGCGACCTCCTTTGTGGGAAACAGCTCCTTGGACCGATCAGTGCTGTGGGAGGTTTCTGTGGAAGGACGATGCATGTAGCGAAAAGCATTGAAAAGCAAAGGCACTTAGAACTCCCCAAGAAGATCCCCCCCAAAAGCGTGGGGCCGTTGAGGAACACCATATTAAGTGGACATCACCACATCCAGCAAAGTTGCCTGTGGGTTGCCACTGCACACGTGCATGTCCGGTACCTAAGAACTTTGCTAAGCAAGCGTTTTGGCACTGCAAGATGTGGAAGCTCAGGAGAAACAGCCTTGAGGAGCATTGTACGGGCCATGCAGGAAGCTAAGAAAGATGATCCTGAGTCCTCGGATGTGCCTGAATGGCTGGAGGACTCGGCAGAGAGGAGGAGGCATCAAGCAGCAAGCAGCAAGCCGCACTAACCATCCTCCAGCAAGTAGATTACACTTACACTACATCACGACGAATTCTACTGTATATAGCCATACTGTAGCATACTGCAGATTGTTTTAACACTTTTTTTTAAACATGTTTTGATATCACGGTAGATCCCCTGAGTTTTGACCCAAGCTTCGCGTCAAAAAGTCACACAGGTGTGTGTGTGTGTGTGTGTGTTTGTTTGTTTTCGGGCGCCCTCTGGTCATCCCTCCGGCATCGGGATTTTTGCGGTATGGATTGTTTGGATCCTTCCAACTTACGAGTCAGGTAGCTTCATGACGGGCTTGATGTCCGTTGCAGTAGATCAAAGACAATGCTGGTGCTGTTCAGTTGAGGGGGCCCTCTGTCGGAAGTTGATTGGTCATTTTCGACCCCTCCTCTGAAGTGTGATCGAGCCACATTCCCTGGTGTGCATTGCACGGTTCTGGTATCTCATGGAATTTGTTTGGATGGTCACACCTGAAGAATGGCAACTAGGCCCATGCCCACCAGCTGCATGTTTTGATTTGCACACATCGGGAGGGAGAAGTCAGAAGAATCAGCTCACGAAGATGGCCTTGTCCTGGGAGTATGATTGCCTGTTTGAAAGGCAAATCATTTCCAGAAACCGCTTTGACGAGGATGTCACCTGTTTGTTGCCATGAGATTTGTTAGAACAACCAGAAGGTTCATCAACATCCCAGCCAATACCATGAACGAATCACCAAGTGATATTCAACAATCGAGGGACCCAAATAGATCAACACAATTAGGGGGGCCTTTGAAGGGATACATCTATTCTACAGGAGCTTGACTTCTCTATCGGATTCCATCCACTTGCGGATTACTTATATACACCTTCCCAGCTTCCATCTCTTGTTTTCATGACCGAACGCCCGAACGCAGGACATGGCACGGCAGCCTGGTGGGGGTGGTGGGGGAGGTGGACCTCGCGGTCGAAGATACTGAGCCTGCCCGGAGCTGCAAAACGGCCCAGCCTTCGCACCCTGGGTTACACTCAGCCTAGTAGCCACTCATTACGCATGCAGGTCTGGGGGTCATAGAGATGAGTGCCGTCACCTGTCCACAGGCATTTGTGGATGGTTTGGCCGGCCTGTGAGAGAGGACAGAGATAGTCAAGGACACCATGCTTATGCCAGGACCCTTACAGACATGAATGATTTTGCACTAAAGTTTTGATCTCAGATTTTGTTGCCCAGAATGGGGCAATCCGGCATGGGGATGACACGCTGTGCTCATTTGTAGACGGAGCAACCGCTCCAGACCCGTATGAGCTGGCAAAAATAGTGGCCAATGGATCCAAAGGAGTCTCTGATGGGGTCTCTAGTGTAATGGGCTAAACTTTCCTCACGATTCACACCAGCTATGATTGCGAACATATATCGCTCCAGAAAAGAAGAGGAACGGCAACGGTCAGGAACAGCAAGAAAACACAAATTGACATACTGTACATACTTCCAAGCAAGTTTCGTACAACCAATCTGAGTGACCTATGACCTAAGTATTTTCCTTTGTTTAAGACCTTGTCACTTTTCCCTGTCTTTGTTTGTGTCTTTCTTTTGGGTGTGTGTCTTAGAAGGCACAGCACAGCTCACTGTGCTTTCGCTCCTGAGCTAAGGGTTCTGACCCCTCTTCAATGCGTTGTTTGATAGGGTCATGGCTCAAAATCAGGACCGAAAGACGACCCAGGAAAGGTTTCAGCCTATTGGCAACTGTGTGTTCGCCACCTCTACCGAAGGTTCCAATACAGAGCTTCACGGCATGTCATCCCGTGGTCTTCAGCCTTCGGCTGGGTGAAGGATGGCGCTCACGTGGCGACGACGAATCCGGAAAAAGGCGACGAAGATGAAAGATGGACACAGCATCGTCTTGCTACTAGTCGTAAGAATGCTCCTAGAAGCGATGCCAGGAACCCCTAGTAGCGTCCTTGCTCCTAGTAGTAAGGCCAGGAGCCCCTAGTAGCTTCTTGTTGTTAGTAGCATCTCCTCCAAACATTTGAGCCAGATTACGTTCGGAACCATATATATATACTAATAAGGGTAGTCTATTTGGGTACCGATGAGGTCATGAAAGATGGACAGAGTGCAAAACAGGCCGTTACACGACAAGGGCAACACCGGGCATCACTTGGTTGTTTCCTCGCTTGGCTTGGATCTTAGTATAGCATACCCTTTGGACAGTGTGGCTCACATAGTTGAGTGTTTTGTTTGAGATTAGGATAGATTAGGGATGGAAAGAAGCAGACACCTGACATTTGACTTATAAGCACTTAACTATAGTTCTGACCACCGAGATACTTGTGTATCAGCGTTGATAGACCAGAACTCATGCCACTGATTGCAGTGTTTGAAGTCCTCGATTCACAGTCATCTCCCAATCTGTTTCCGGCAGCTATGGCCACTCGACCTTGCCTTCTCACCCGCCCCCGACGGTCGCGGGTGTTGTTCTGCGTCATCGCAGTGGTCGCCACTACGTTGCTCTCAAATGGCTTTGCCTTCCACGGCACCGTCTGCACCACGTCACCGTCTCCACCCGTCTCTTGCGACGAGGGGCGTGGTGCCTTCCCACCTGCCTCAGGGAGGGCGGAGGTCGAGAAAACACGAAAGCTGCAAGAGAGAGGATGGGTGGGAGGCTCGGGCGGGCCATGGGGTGGAGGTTGCAAGATTGTATGCTGGCACTATCACATGAACTCTGCTAAACCAAGAATCGCTGACCCTTGTTTCAGGGCTGTTTTGCAGTAAAATCAGCATTGCCAAGCACGATTGCAGTCAAACGAATTCGTTATTCCTACACTGCCTCCAACTTCACAGCTACTCTATGGCTGGAGGTGCCATGATCGTCGCCATTGGCATCGCTGGTCTTGGAAACGCAGTTTCCAAGAGGGACCGTTCTGCGGTCAGCGCAGTTCCCGAAAGATGCTTGGCGCTTTTGTGGCGGAGGACCGTGTTGAGGGGCGTGCATCCTCGTAAAAGAGAGGCGTGCAGAGGTGTTTTCTTGGCACCAAGACTAGAGATGAAGCATGATGAAGCAGTTGACCAAGTTTGTTTGGGATATGCTTGGATGCAGGCATAGAAAGTGCCAAGTAAGAGTCACCACAACAATCAAGCTGACTTCCCACTAGCCAATTCACAAATTGTAAAAATACCGAATGTAGCGGAAAATATAGGGCGTCCTTTGAGGGACCTTGGATGCTAAGGAAAAGAGGCCAGGAGTTGGGTGCAAGAATCCATACCAGTTCTGCTGATCATGATCCTGGTAGCTCAAAAATGTTCTGCAGATGCTTTGACTTGGTACACCCGTGCAAAGCAACATGTGCCTTACTCTGGAAGTGACTTGGCTGGACGTGTTCTAGCTCCGGAAGTGAGCGAACGTTGTTTTGGCCGCCGCTTCTCGGCCCCTCTGAAAAAGGGCCGGTCGACCCAGTCGCATGCACCACCCACTGCACCAGGGTTGACCAGCTGAAATGCAGGCGATGTTGCACGCACATGTGCCGAGGGTTGTTGATGTTAGTTTGGCGAAGGATTTGTTCCCGACAACTCTGCCTTTTCCCATGCCGCGCTCCCGGCGGGGTCCCAATTGCAAGAGTGATGGGGTGAGAAACGTTGAGAAACATCTCAACAATGTAACGGCATCCCACATACAAGGGGTGACAGAGGATGACCAGCCAGTCTATTTGAGTCATTCTGAGTCTTTCTCCATCTTTCTCCCACAATCTTCCACAATTTGCCCGAGGTGGACACAACCAAGAAAGGAACAGAAAGGCCTTTCTTGAAGGTGAACATTCATCACATGTTTGCGCATGTTTTCCAAGATCCGACTCTTTGGACCATGTGGCGACCCATCCGGTCAGGTTTGGGACATGATTGAACCACCGTCGTTGAACACGTGTCAGGTGTGACCTGTGTCCCTCGGCCTCATTCGGCCTCATTTGCTCGCTCGCTCGCTTCCAGGTAATGTGGCTCTTCTGAGCGAAGTGTTCAAGTTTCCTGTGCTCATGCTGGCGGTGAGCATCTTCAACTCCCCAAAGCAGGTGCTGCCAACCATTCGGGCTGCTTTCACCGAGTCACCCTTCACTATGTGGTGGTTGGGAGCCTTGGGATGAGCAGAGAAGGCAATCAGAGAAAGGCAGAGATTTGGGATGGGTTTGTTTGGTTTTGTTGAAAAAACAAGCCACGTTTTTGTCACAGCTCTCTGAGCTCACGGCTTGGAAACTCAAAATGGGATATATAGCAGAGGGTCAAACGTATGAAGCGTACGTTTGAGAAGATTTGCACCATGAAGGACCCGTGTTTAACCTACAGTCGCCAAGATCAACCCTTGTACAGTAATGGAATGGTATCAAGCAAGCGAAGCAGCAACCTCTTTAAGCTTATTGCCGAAGACGCTTGATGGAGAGTGTGGGTAGACTTGAAGAATCCCTGTACTGCACGGGCTCCTCATCCCGTTTCCAAGGACTCCTTTATGCCGTGCAAAACCTCCTCTACTTTGTGTGCTTGCAGTACACCTCTGCAGCTGCCTATCAGGTCCTCAGTCCTTTGGCAACCAAGATGCTTTGCTATGAATTGTGTGAAACCCGCTGCCGGGGGCATGTCGGTGTCCCTATCTCAAGGCTCTTGATCAGTTAGTGGCAGTTATATATTGGCTCAAAAAAAAAAGCCAATTGAACAAATCGACGGTCAAAGATTGTCAAAGCGTATGAACAAAACTTGTTCTCAGTTCCAGGTGCCAGGTACTTTATCAGCTTGGGATGAACATAGACAGATAGTGTGAATGACTCTATATAATTATATAGTGACGTTTTTCCCACTCACTATGGATCTGGAAATTGGAAGTACCCTGGCAAAAGCGGATGTGTTCTGCGAGAATGCTTCTCTCCGCTTGGCTGGCCTAGGACCTGGGTGGCGTAGCATGTCAAAGGGTGAAATACCAAGCCCTGTATGATCCCTAGCAGTGAGGAATTTTCATGTCTCCAGCCGATAAGGGAATGACGACACCGAGCTTCAGGTCAGACCAAAATGATCTTCACAGCAGCCTTCATGGGCCAAATGCTGGGTTGTTTGGCTGCATCCAGGTGGGTTAAGTCGTGGCGCCCAGTGGAGCACCGTTCGATTCACTTTGCCATGCCACGATTCCAGAGACCCAAAGGTGTTGTTTAGAACGATCGTCCGAATCACACACCCACACACAGGGCTGTTGGTGATATGCGCATCACCACGTCCGATCAATTGAATCAAGCAATGTCAGGTTTGACGAGCTTTCATTCACACAGCCTCAACACGAACAGAAAGGCTTTCTTCATGCGAGATGTAAACAGTGAAGCCAGACGGCGATTTCGGTCTCAGGTAAAAAGTTTTCTCAAACTCAGATTCTGGCGTTGATCATGCTGGTGATTGGCAACCATGGCAGCATTGAATTTGCTGTTTTGCCTTTGAATCCAATCCATCAATTGTCAAGCACAAACTCTGTGTCAAGCGCAAGTTTGCTAGTGCGTGAAGTTGATAATTCTGTACATAGTTGAATACGCTTGATAGACTAATACTAGTTTAAAAAGCCAACTGCAAAATGGCGATGGCACTACATAAGGGAACGTTAACGATTAGCTTTAGGATCTTTCGGACCAAGTTGTCCTGGCAATTCTGGTGTTGTGTTGGCGTTGGGAAAGCCGCTTCAGCTGGTGCCAATTTGGTTTAAAACCATTTCCATTGCCCGGTTCAAAGATTTTTCGCCATATTTCGCCCAGTATGGATTGACCAGTGAGTGCAGGAGATGAGAAGGACTGTGTTCCTCTAGCAAACTTGATTTGGTAAAGACAGGAGGCTGTGCAAGATGGTCATGTACTGCATTAATACTCTGTCGTGGTGTCCACGATTGTTAAAGTTCTTTCAATCGAGAAGAGGCACGTGTTTTTCCACACTGCCCACACCAATCGTTTTGACTGGAGCGATTTTGTTAGCCTAACAGCACTTTGCAGAGGTACATCCTTCACTCAACTGGCGGAGATTCAAGGTCCAATGGTGGCAGGCTGCGAGTGCGGAAGCGAGGCTATGTGTCTTGTGGAGGGGTGGAGACAGAGAAGCCTCCACAAGTCATGCACAATCCCATGCAAAACCCCTACGTCACGTACTTAACAGACCAAACATGGGTCATTCTAAGATGTTTATCTTAATTTATTGCAACATTTTGCAACCTTGTTCTTTAAGATTGACATGCATCCTGGTAAGTAATGACGCAAGTTTGCCCGCATGTCAAGCGGCGCAGGAAAGGGTCGGGGAGATGCTATTAGCCGTGGCTCTCGTCACTTCGACATATCATATACCGTAATATGTAGGTGACGTTGTGGCACTGCTTTCAGGAACCCAGGATTTCCCTGGCCACATGCAAGAATTTACATGTATATATATATATAAGTATATATATATATACATGTTGTATCATGTTGTTGGATTACACTGGATTTAAGATCACCCCCCCGCCTTGTGCACTTTGTAGCGCCTTTGAGGCTTTCTCGCATGCGTTCTCGCCCGCATGCGTTCTCGCCTGTGTTGGCGCATGTGATCCATGGATCGGCAGGCTCCCGGCCATGGTTGGGTGCTGGCCTGGCAGTGACTCGGAGTCGAACAGTGCAGCCGTCCCGCCGTCCCGGACCGTCCGACGGTGGGCCGTCCGTGGAACTCGTTGTGGCCAAACGAACTCCAACGAAGCGCCGATTCTTGCAGGTGTTCCTTTCCAGGGAACTATAGCTTGACCCAACGGTGAAGTAAAAACCGCTGACCCTGTCGGAGGACTTGACTTCTTTCTTGTCTGGTTTTGGCATCACCCGGCAGAAGGTGCCAAGACCAACTGGGCGTGCATCAGGATTGGGAAAACGTGTCCCATTGTTATTGTTTCATCTTTATTACTAAACATGTTCCATTTCACTCAGCCATGCTCTGATGGGTTTAATGTGCTCCTTGGTTTGAAAGTATGCTTCATGCAAGTTGGTTGGGTCATGATCCAATTTAATCAGATACATGGACAACATGAACGACAATGTCAGAGCATGGCATGGCGCAAGTATAAATTAGCAATGCAACATGCCCAGCACGTATAATCATCTCAACTTGTCAAACCTCTCAGAATGGAAGCGTTTTCGGCAGATATGACGTCAACCAATTTTGTACCAGTGTTTGAATCTGAATGTGTCCTTCTATGTGGGTTTGTTAGTTTGGCCAACAAAGCAAGGCGGCCAACAGAATATCCTCAGCAACCAAAAGGCAGCTGCATGATGTTTCATCACTCGCAGAGTCTCAGGTTCTAAGCGCCTTACTGAGTGCTTTACCGAATGTTTTTTTACGAACGAGTACTCAAGGAGCAGCCCGGACAGCATTGTGTTGGCCACAGCTGAGGTCATAAAGGTCCTATAATCTCTGCAGGTCAAATCAGCCATGCGCCCTTCTTTCTAGACAAATGTTGCAGCCTTTTGGCACCCTTGACCCGAGACGCAGAACTCCCAAGTCACAAGCGCAGAATCCAGGAATGTGTTGATGCGGGTTGCCGAAACTGCAGGGGATAAGAATGGATATTCAGCAGGTGGCAGGTGGGCTGATATTTGATCGCTGTTGGTCGAATCAGGTGTTGATCGCTGTTGGTTCACCAAGCTAAGAGCCCAGGTGCAGTGCATTTGCTTTGTTGTTTCTGCTCTTCAGCCCACTTTCTCCAGTGGAGTTCTGGACACAGGAGCAGAAGAATCAATGGGTCTCGAACTTGCAAATCACCATTTGGATTGCCACATGGGTCTTGATCATCAAAGGGCCACTTGGACGACTCGACATTCGACTCGTGGGACTCCTTCGTCCGACTTGTCCGTCAGGAATGGCAAGTTCGAGGGTGCATGGCCAGGTCGCATATGGCAGGGATTGGCCTCTACCCTGGAATCCATCTCTCAATTACAGTATTCAAGATTATTCAAGACATGGTTCAAGACAGGTCCCAGCAGCTGATACTTGAGAAGGCTACTGTACATCTCTACGTGAAGTGAAAAAAGGCGGGCGCCTTACATCACCTACTTGTGATGCACAATCCCAGTGAGCAACCCCCCCTGCTTGTTGGAGCCTGATGTTCAACGGGTCAGATCTCAAACCACGTCGTCATCGGCGGAGCGGAGCCGATCCGAGCCGCCAAGCTGAAGGTGCCAGAAGTGGATAACCTTTAACATCAATGTTGATCTCTATTCTGGGATGGTTTAACAATGCTTAACATCATCAAGAGTTGACATAAATTATACCGCATCGCATCCTTTCACCTGTTTTGGGATTGCTTTCCACCGCTATTTTCCAGGCAAACTGAGGGAGTGATGTGTGTGCTCTCTGTGTGTGACACAACTAAACCGTGTTTTCATTTGCTCAGGTGTGGGATGTTCTTCGGTGGCACTCGAGGATTCGAGGTTTCTGGCATGCTAAGTGGCTTCAACATCATGGTTTGGGTCACTTGGAGAACGCGGCGTTGAACGCAGCGAAACGTCGCCCCCGGATCGAGGGTCGCGAAATGTTCCGACCGGCAGAAGATGGAAGTCCCGCTGGAGTGTGGATGATCGGAGTGTGGGACGATTCAAAGGGGCAGACTTGATTATATGTTAAGAAGTGTTGCCATGCTGTAGTTTTTTTTTGTGTGTGTGTGTGATGTCAAGCGTTCTCAGATTTGAAGGCTCTGGAAGGATTTGCTTTCTTTGCTTTCACTTGGGGTGTGCTGGTGTGCTAGAAGATACCAGAGTGGGAATGTCCTTAAGGTTAGCTCACCACACCCCACCAATCCTGCAAGCACATATGAGGGTGGATGAGGTGGGTCATGTGTCAGAAGCCTAATGGGCTGACATGCTTGCTAGTCCATGTTCGTTTTGGGAGTCGAACACTCTGACAAGGCCTGCATACTATGGGCAAGGTGGTAGAGTTGTGTTTTGGCCCATGCCCACTCGGAATAGCATGCCACGTCCTACAAAAATTGAGCTTCGTGTATGTTGGAGTCAGTGTATATACTATGCATAAAGACCTTAAATGCATCCAAATGTTAATAAAGGAAAGTGGGTCACTGCAAGCTCATGCCAGAGTTGCCTGCGCATCCTGCCGGAGTTTCATTGGATTTGAGTTATTGTATTTTTGTAACTGTAGCTTCCCGTGCGCACTTGACCGCACCCACGATCGCAGAATGAGGCGGTCAGGAGACAGGAGGGTTTCATTTGGGGGGTTGTCCAAGTTGTGGTGTCTCACAGGTGCCGTTTCCTGCGAAGCAGGTGATAGTGATGCTCAAAACTCTGAACTGCATCATCATCCCAGCTTGCCTCAAGTATGCAGACAACATCCTCTATGGATATGCCAAGCCCATCTCTATCGCTCCTTGGCAATCAAGACGTCCACCTGCTGCAGATCATGACAAAAACAAGTTTTGCAAGACCAGAAGCACACGGGAACCTTTGCAGCTTCATGTGCTGGAGCCAATGCTCAAAGACCTATGCAAAGGACTTTGGTAGCGGCTGAGTTGGTTTGAGTGGGTCACCGCTTGCAGCCAGCAGACATGACATGCTGGTGGACTTTTCGGGTCATTTTGCAGGTTCCAATGGACATTTCGAGATTGCCACAAGCACCTGAAAGAAAAGTAATGCAGAATACCGCCAGGATAGGATGCAAAGCGAGGATGTGCTGATATTGTTTCATACTCCAATATTGGATGACTATTCAGGTATTGGTCTGAGACCTTCCAGCAGTCAGAGCTTGCACAAGATCCTTCATGTCGACACTCGAAAGGTCGAGCCCAGAGGAATAGAGGAATCAACTGCTTAACTTCCTTTCAAGCCAAAGGCTTCCAGGAGGGGGTGTACCACTTTGGATCCGCAGTCTTGGGCAAACATAAAGTGCAACATCCTCAACATACGTAATATATTTAATGTCGTAGTATTATATAGTATAGCCAGTGGTATAGCCCTTGCATGCCCTCACAGCAGCTAGACGCACTTTCACAAGCTTAGCACAGCCAGCGCCTCCCAAGCTTGAAGCACTTCCCCAAAAAACAATAACGCATGGATTCGCTGGTGTTTCATGTTCCGCTCGGATTGCTCTTGGATGTGTTTCAGAATTGAGACCAGCTGCTGAAGCAGTCGAGGTCTTGACGGTCATCGTGACCAGCTGCTTAAACTTCACATTGCCAGCACCCACGATGCTCATCGGTACCTCACTGGTGCTGACCTCCATTGTGATCTATGGTCGTGGTTGAGCTGGTTGAGGTCCGACCGGTGCGCAGAGCAAGGTGTGGAGCGAGTTGAGACAGTTGAGATGGATTTGCACCAAATGAGAGAGGAAGACAGAGTGACATGAAGGATTTGGACAGGTATGTTCCTTAAGTGGTCACCACTGTAGTCAGTAAGATGGTGGTTCACAGCACCCCATGTCATGTTCTGATGAACTCTACCTTTCACCACATTTTGACTGCGAAGAACCTGCCAAGTAGTACAGGCCTCCATGCTGTGCTGGTGTTGGAGATGTTTGAAATATGTTGGAAATCAGCCACCCGGCTCAAAATCTCAATGGACGTTCTTCAAAATCAGAACCACCTCATGGCGGGGAGGTCTGATGTAGGAGCGCGGCCCGAGACGCACTGGAGCGGTGGGGCCGCGGTGTTGGGGCTTCGTTAGGCTGGTGTTCGAATCGAATCTATTGATGATCATGGCATATCATGGTTAAGTTGCATGATAAACGCACATCCTGGGCTAGACGGCTAGACTGCTTTGGTCGTTCGAGGGGATTGACCAGCAAGAGATGACCTTATCTGTTACTTCTGGATTCCAGATGTTTTCATAGAATGTCCTACACACAGCTATGTTTAGCTGCTGTGGCAATGCAGAGTTTCCGGTACCATCCGGTACCCGGTGCCAAACCGACAACCAAATCCACACAGGATCCATGTTACTTTATGTGTGTGTGTTTCTTGTGGGTTTGCCAGGCAACTTTTTTCCTGTTGAAGTTGGCCTTGTATCTACTAGTTGTATGTTGCTTGAGCTGATTATATCATAATTTAATAATATGCATATATATATATATTTACTGTATATATATATAGTACATATTATGTCTAAATGCCCTCCAATCATCTCAATTAATCGGTGCCCTCAACCACCGCAGAGTGCTTCCAATCATTCAGATTTCTATGTGTTACGGGGTTTTTGATATGTTTTCTTCATATTAAACACGTGGCCACAATGGCTACTTGCTGGTGTAACATTCTTGACATCAGCATGCCACAATTGTTTTCTACTGGTTTTGTTGACCAACACGGCTCCGGTGGACTTCTTTCCCATTCGCATGACCGTCCACCGGAGGTCCGGTTGGGCGGATTCGATCCACCAGACCTGCGAGATGTAGACGGTCGATTTGATGCCGGCACTGAAAGGTGAGAGACTCACAATGAGAGACTGATGACTCACATCGTTTGGGATGAAGGATAGATGTGAGTAGTTTTGGGTGTCCCCAGATTTTCAGTTTTGGGATGAGAGGATGAGAGGTTTGCCAAGTCCGTTTTTTCCTCTCCGGCTCAGATCTATGGAACACATTCAAAGACTGTGTAGGAGTGCATGAGTCAAGAGAGAACGAACCAATACGCTTGCCAGAAATCGGCCCCAGGTATTATCCTGCTGTCATCATTGCACCACTCCTCAGGTTTTCGGAACGGATGCAGCAGGTCACCACGGTCACCACTACTCTGAAGTATCCATGCCACTGTGGACCCACTGTAGATGCAAACCTGGACCATTGAACAAAGTGTCAGACATATACTCCTGACATTGGGCAAGAAGATCCATCAGGCCCACCTTGGAGGGTGGTGATCGGGCCTGCAGGTGTCACCTGTTTGTTTCCAAACTGGACCGATTTCATCAGGGCATTTAGCTGGAGCATGAGAGGCCATCAGTGCTGGTTGACCGTGGCGCTGGAGGACGGTCCAGTTGCGCTTGCGGAACCGGGTGAGTTAACAAGCGGGCGGAAAAAGACAGTCCAGTTTCCCACGCTGAGCGCCTCAAACATCCTGATACCACAAGTGATCACCGGCTGGCATGCACCGCGCGGCGTTCTTGAAACTTCCGAAGATGGGGGAGTTGCGTCACCATTTCCCCCAATTCTTCGTCAAACGCACTTGCAGCCCCAGCTGTTGAAAGGCAATGGTGGTCTTTCGGGCTCAAGCTCAAGGTGCATCATTTCAATTCGAGCTTGGGCATTTGGCTCCTGTACTAGTACTGTAGAACCAACTCCAAAGGCAGCCCCGACCAGCTGCGAAGATGTCTTAAAGTCTTAAAGTGATTCTTGGCCTTGGCACGCAAAGGCGAAACCAACATTTAAGAAGCACTGGCAGAGTATGTAAACAAACTGCTTTGAGCCCCTTAAGCCCCAGATCCAGAACGAGTACTGTACCCTTTTTTCAGAGTCGAGGTGAACAAGCGGATTAACCCACGTTGGCGGACGTGAAACCGAACAGAGGACCCAATAGAGAGCAAACAGTGAATCCCTTGACGGCATGAGCTGGCAGATGACCGCTGTGTCTTGGATGCTTCCCTCACTTTCATGCTGCATGATCACTGCAATGTGGTGAGCAGGGGGTCCTAGAATTCATGTGCGGTCGGGATTGGCCCCAGTGGGTTTAGCATCTGAGAGGCTTGACTTTGCTGTGGTATGCTTTGACGATTCAGCTGCATTGCTGTGTTTTCTCCATTTCGGTCCGGCCCGAAATGGAGAAAGTGGAACCTTTTGACGCAAGCCTTCATTAAACACTGCCATTTGGGGCAACTGAATCCACGTGGCAAATCTTGCCTCCGCCGTTCCAGGTGTTTAAGATTCGACCGGACACCCTCGTCGGGCGCAACCATGGGGAAATTGACGCAAGAGGCGCCAAGAATGGCACGAGGGCAACATGAGCGAGTTCAGCCGAAAGAAAGCCGCCGAATCAATTATATATTTTAATTATGTTTAATTCACCTCCATATAAGCTTCTGCATTGGTTGCACTACTACATCAGGCAGTTCCTCAATTGTCCAATTAGCCCTGCGAGTTCTTGAAGACGGATCAGCAGACTTAATTATTTTGAGGTCGATTCATCCCTGCGTGCAGAATCAATTTTGTGGGAATGTGGGCAGAGATTTCGCGTCCGAAGTTGAAACAATTGCAACAGATTAGGCTTAGGCCAGCACTTTTTGTTGGCCCTTCCCCTTTCTCCGTGGCAGGCACGGCTGCGGTTCCGGAACGCGCGGAGGCAGCCAGCTGCAGCATAGGTATGAATTCACCAGCTTCAGGTGGAGGGGCCACCTCATCAGTTGCCTCTGTCAGGGACTTTTGATGTATTTGGGGAATGTGCAGATGTTTGCCTCACCACACTGCCGAGTGGCAATGTGTGTACCACTGTCGGCAGGCGCTAGACGGTGTGTTCATAATATGCGGTGACACACAACCAAACATAAGGGCCAAGAATAGACGGAATAGATGCTGTATGGTGCAACAGAAATTTGCCACGAGCCTTGGCGAGCTTGGGCCAATGCTGGGTGCACATAATGTAACAGTAACACATAACAATTTAAGGGACTTATCCGGGACTAGCTGTTGTTCAGCACAAGCAGTTCAAATTGAGCTATTGCCATGCGCTAAGAGAAGCATCGTCGCACCGCGTCGCCACTCAACATACTAAACGTCCTATCTCAACGGTGGATGCCGCTATCACCGCTATACAAGTATCCAAGTGGCACCAGAATGGCCAGAGAAATGGCATCGCTTCTCCCACCGGGCTGGCTGAAGCGATGAATGGGTTCACTCATGGTTTGGTTCAGAAATGATCAGAAATGGTTTGGTGCACTATTGAGGTGGGTTTCCGTGAAATGTTGGTTCTGGAAGGCACCAATTCAGAGTGGTGTGTTTATTTTTTTTTCCTGAGGTTTGACTAGTAAAGCATAAGTTGTTTCTGTTTTGTAAACGAAACTGTTTTGAGGGCTTATGAGGTTTTGGATGGTTTTGGGTTGCAGCTCTGTGCAATTTAAAGAAAAAGATCTGCTGGGAATAAAGCAGTTTTTCCGGTTGGCGCCCGAGTCTCGTCCCGCCAGGGACTTGAAATACGACAGGATCAATGCAGCCTTGGATGAGGCAGCAAAATACACGTGTTGACCATTTGTGTTTTTGGAGCTAGTAACTGTAGGATTTCATGTGAGTCCGCTGTCTTTGATACTGTTTTGTGTGAATCAGACTTGGGCCAAATGTTGAGGAAGAGAACAAGACAAGAGAAAGGTTCAATTTGATGGAAATGTTGCATTTAACAATAAAAGCAATATATATATATATAACTATATATATAATACTATTTGGCCGTCGATTGCGGCAAAGTTGCGGTAGATGTGTATGATTCTTTTGCGGCGATAGCGCTGATCGACATCTTTTGGTCCCGAAAATGTGTTAGATCGCCCTCCTGAACCGAAGGACACTTGGTGAAGTTGCCGGGGTTTGTGAAAGACAATTCATATATAGGAACAAGAAGCTGACTAGGGGCTTCTGGCATCGCTACTAGGAGCAAGGACGCTACTAGGGGCTCCTGGCCCTACTACTAGGAGCAAGAAGCTACTAGTAACGAGGGCATTACTACACAAATCTTATATAATAGACTTATTGTTTCAACCTCCCAGGCCTGAGGTTTTGCAATCATGCAAAAGGATGCGTTTTGTTAATCAAGAGTCTATATATGATGTTTGCTGCCTCCCTTTCGGCTTTGCTGCACATCTGAACTTATTTCACAATGGTGCTGCCACATCGAGTTGGCCACGCAAGCCTATGCCCTTCATTGTCATTCAGGCCACGCAAGCCTATGCCTCCTTCCAACTCTCCGGAGATCTAGATGGAATGGCAGAGTGCGTGCGCATCGCGGCTTTGCGGCAAAAGTGGGAGAGCTTTGCGGCAAAAGTGTAGTCATGTGAGATGCTTGAGATTCAGCAAGACACGGCACATGTGGCGACACTGTCAGCTAGCAGCGAGGATTTGCTGAGATCACACCTTCGCATGGATTCTGACTGTCACATGTGTTTTTTAACTTCGATAGCGTCACACATGGTGTTTGGACCTATTATATAGATTTCAAGACACTCGCTCATGAAAGAGGATTATTGTTTCCATTTCTATATAAGAGCCAAGAGTTTTGTGTGTGTGTTTCTTCTGCAGCATGTGAACCTCAGCCTGTTCTGTTTGCAGCTGAGTTTGTTGTTTTTGTTTTTTGTCCAACTTCGGAAACCAGCGTGACTGACCATGACCTTCTTTTGATGGTCCCAATCATGACTTTTCTTTTGTGTGTCGGACGCATGTCGTGTCGATGTTCCATGTCAAGCGATCCTCCCGGTGTTTCTGGAAATTAACATTTCTCCCCCCCCCCCAGACACGGATGGACACCAAAAAGTTATATAAATACACCGCCTTAATTGCTGTAAACCAACACATCATGCATATTATGATGCTTGTCGCGCCAATGAGACCCAGTCTTGGCGTGCCTTGGGGCATCCATTCTTTCCAATCAGGTCAGCCACGCCCTCGGGCGACAGGGCTTGCGCAAGCAAGCTGTTCAGCTGCTTGTACAAGCAAGAGGATCAGTGTTTGGATGTGTCTGGGAGATGGAATCATGTTGGTTATAGTTATATAATGTTAATTAATGTTATATATATATACATACTGGTCTTCAACATGCAAGCAGGTGCTGTTGGCCATCCATGCATGATGAAGTCAATTGGTGCATATTGTTCCAAATGCTTGCATGTTTGTAGAACAGTTTGTTGCGTTGGAGCGTCAGACTGTAACACTGTAACACAAACACAACAAAGAGGTATTGCAATGACAAAGTCAATGCCTAGGATGGCCACAGAAGAGTTGGAGAAATTCAGAGAGAAGAATCAGAAGCGAGCAGAGGCATGACAGCGGGCTGGGATCTTTTACATCCAATCAGTTGGGCTTGCGCGTGTGTTCAGGTTTCACCCTGAAGCTTTGGGCGTGAAGGATGGAGGTCCTGGAAGCTTTAGCATAAAACCTGGTACATAGTACAGACTTCAACAACTTCAGACATGTCTTTTTATGGTGCCATTTGAGGTTCGAACGTTGAACACTTGAGGATCTTGAGGTTGGGAGGAGTTGCTGACGGCCAGCCCTTTGAATCATTCATCACTCCAAATCACAAGGTTTATGTTTACCATTATATAGCAGTACCAGTACCATTAATTTAATGGAAGGTGCTTGCCGGGGACACCAATTTCATATGCCACAGCAACAACAAGCAGACGAAAACAGCTGCGCTTGCCCAGCGTGTGAGGCGCTGATGTTGGTGACCTTGGCGGAGATCAAGCTGAACGCGAACCAGAAAGAGAGTCGTGCAGACCTTGGCTGAGCGAAGGGGGCTGCCGGGGCAGACTGAGTCGCAAATGTGTTGCTGTTGTTTTGCTTGGTGAGCATGGTTTCATTGAATTTGACATGTAATATCATGTAATTCCATATATCGGATTATGTATACTAATTTATGCTATATTACATATATATATATAATGATGAGCGCAATGTGGGCTGACCAGGCGTGTGATCCTTTCCATTTCTTATTTATTCAAGGCGTTTCACCGGTGTTTCACCATGTTTCACCTCGCCAGGGGTTTGTTCAATCCAAATGGGCATCGGCATGGGCAACGATCTACAATGACCGGTTCCGCGCGCTCCACTCCCCTTCTTTCACGACCAGACTCTCAGACTCCAGAGGCGAAGAGGCCTGCCATTTGGCGAACCAAGCGCGGCTGGCCTTCACGAATTTGAAGGACATTCAATCCGATGGTTGCTCTGGTTCAGATGCGATCTGGTTTTTTGGGGGTATAATACTCACCAAGAAAGTTTCACATATATATATATATATCGAAATCAATGAGGTACTCTATCCACAGTCACTGTGGGGTCGCCATGTGCGCAGCAACGCGGATTTTGTGACACGGCTTAAGCATCTTGTACTGTATGTGCAGGGTCATATAGACAGTGCATCATCATCAGCATCCATTCATGATTTTCATGCGGGCCTATGTCGGCCTTTGTTTGGTTTCCGTGTGTAACATAGGTGGCTTCCTGGAACTCTTTCTGAAACGAGGACCGGAAGATGGAAGGCGAAAGCTGCCTGGTCAGGAGCTCAGGCTGAGCTCCTGGCTTTTGATGAAAGAAAGTGTTGGATGCTTTGCCTACAGAAAGTCAGATGCCCCCAGCTTCTTGGGTTTGGCTTTCAATAAAGCCTTCCCGGGAAGACATGGAAACAGTCTTTGAGGTTTGCACCGCTGAGGCCAGTGGAAACGCCCTCCTAAAGTGCGGCGCTTTCGATTTCGCCTTAGAGGCCAACATGGTTGTTGTGGAAGAATTTGACCGACCGATGCCCACTAAGGTGATGTTTACACTTTTGGACTATGCAAGTCTACAATCTACGCAGAATTTGTCCGGTGTTTGCGTGGTCTACTGGCATTGGCATCCCACCTTAATTACAAGCAGAGAGGAGGTTTGACATGACGAATGGTTATTGGATATTAATTGCTATTAATATTATATATATATATATGTTTCGATGTCTCACGCAAAGCGATTGAAGCCAAACTGGACTATTGCAGTTTGGTTCAGAAGAATTGGTCTTTAAGCTATATAATTGGTGCTTAAGTTTGGCGACTCATGTTTTCTTTGGATGTAGGATAACGTCAAGAAAGTAAGACTACCAAGACCCTCCAAGAGGAGCGCGGGATCCCACAAGGTCTGAATTGGACACCTGCTGCAGGACTTTACATGGATCAAGTTTCCAAAGCTTAGATGGAATATTATGGAATGTCACCAAAACATGCTGGCAGCTTTTCTGGGCCCAATGCGGGCATGTCGATTGCCAGGCTTTTCAGCAAGCCCGTCCAATTTTTAAAAGCTTGCAGCAAGTGCCAGATACCCAGCGATGCCGAGCTGCGATTCAGATGATGTGCTGCAGTCCCAAAGCTTCTTTGGCGTGGCGCCAGAAACATCCTGATCCTAAATTCTTCAATAAAGTAAGGGTCAGGGGAGCTTCTCCATTGCTCCCTCACTGTTGGTGATGGAGAACACAAGAAGCCCAGAGCCACCCATATTACCGGTACAAAGGTAGGGTGTGCAAAATAGATGCATTGTCTCAAGACATGATGCGTCAATCTCTTTAGCTGCAGTGTTTTTCGATCAAAGCCGGATCTTCCCTAAAGTTTTTACTCTCAAACAAAGTGAAACGCACACGCACACACACACACAAGCTTCAGGTGTTTAAAAGGCACGCCTATTTTATAGATATTGTGCAAAAGATATTATATATATATATATGCTATGCATATCTATGCATATTATATTCTGTATGTAATATTACTGTATATACAATATGAATTCACATGCTACCGGTTCCAAATTCAGTGTAATTCCGCTTGCCCCAGTTGTCGTTCAACAAATGTGCGGTAACAAAATGGTTTGGGCGTATTTTGGGTTTTGGTGCAGGATTAGTATTGGTTTGGAAAACCCGGTGTTTTCTGGGAAACCCAGTGTTGTTTGTAGGACAATAGTGAGTTTCAGTATAATAGTATATAATGGGTTTGGTACGGTTTAGTATGAGTTTTGGCACCCATCCGGGTGTGAACAGCTTTTCTCGCCCAAGCTGTCGGATGAATAGGAATACAATGAACAACAACACAATCTTGGATGAGTGTGTTTGAGTCGAGGAAAAAAAGACAGATGTTTTCACAGTACTGTCATGAGTACACAAGGTTTCAGATCAGACCCTTTCTTTTTTTTGAAGCGTAGGGTATATGTGTAATTATTGTTTTGATCACTGATAGCAGTGCCCTCATGATCTTCATTGTTTGAGGGGGGCCACTGTTTTGTGCAAGAGCTATACTATTAGAGTGGTTGGGTAAGGGAAAAGAGTCTCCCTGCAACTCATCCACAGGATGGAAAGCAGAGGCCTATTGGGTTGTTCCCAAAGGATATGAACAACAGCTGTCCCTTTATTGAGCAACAAATTGTTCATTTTGAAGAGGGGTCCAGAATAGTCATCACCCATTATATACTGTAGCTGATATTGTTTGTTCATGTTGATTCTATCATTTTTTGTCATTGAGTCATGGTCCATTTCCAGACGTCACCGGACGGCGAGCGAAACGACAAGGTCTTTGGAGGGTAGAGCACTCCATGGCTTGGCCTGCTGCCATGCAGCAGGCGAGAAGGGACTTTGTTGAGCATCGGTTGCTGGGTGTGAAGTCTCTTTGTTTTTGGTTGCTGGGAAGTACGGTATACTTCAGATCCACCAGTTTGCAAGAAATTGCAAGCCACCCTGTTGAATGGCCCAATGATACACTTCTTGGGAGGGGCCCTTGCAAGGTTGAAATTGCAAGTTGGAGAGCATTGAAAAGCATGCGTAGCCACAATTCGTTTAGGTGGCCTTTATACCCGAGCAGTAGAGCAAGCCAAAGAGGCGTGGCGCGGTTGGAGCTTGGGTGGTTTGTGCAGAAGTGCTGGTGAAAACATGCCAAAAGGGATCAAGAGAGTAAAGAAGATTAAGGAAGAACATTTTGTGAAGTTAAAGGTAACAAAAGCAAAACTGTTTGCATGCTGGGGAGTTTCGGAGACAGGCTTCGAGATACTATATACCCATACTTTCATTAGACAGAGTTCCTCAGGTTCGAGTGACAGAACTACCATTGATGGAAGCTTCTCTCATAGGCGTCGGCCTATGATAAAGTGGATTGTCATTGTTTTTTTTGTTTTCTTGGGTGCTAGTCAAGAACTTGTTTGTTTGAGGTTCCGACTCGGTCTAGAGTCTAGACAACTGGACCCCTGGTCTAGAGTCTCAGCATCCAGGTGAGGAGTCCAGGGGGCTTTCCATGTTTTCCGGCGTATTCGGCGTTTCACCTCCATCGGCACCACGGACCAAAAGCGACCCGAAGTGCTTTTCGCGCTGTTTGCGTCTTGCTTCGAGGCCTGCAAGTGCTTCGAAACCTCTCAAAGCAGCATCTTTCAAACTGCTGTGTTTTTGCCTCAGGTGACAGACGATACAGATGCTACTGCGGGTGCGCGCATGTGGAAGTTATAGTGCTCATGGCCGGCGAACCCAAGGGCCCTGCCATCTCCTGTCCTTAATGCTTCCAAGCCAGGCTCACTTCCATGCAAGGTGTGGCTCAGCTGCCTTTGATGTTTTGCCCAGCCAGTCCTTTTCAGTTCTGCATGAGGCTTGAGGCAATCAGCTCTTGGTATGTGGAGGCATCAGCGAATCAGAGTCGGTTTGTCGGGGCTCACTTGGGAGGTGTTTAGCACGGAATTGTACTTAAGGATACTTAAGGTTTCTACTTTACTATATACATTGTAATATAGTATATTATATTATATATGTTTTGCAGTTTGTTGGGGATGGACTGTTGAGTGGTCAATATATACAGTACCACATGAGATTAGCTCTCATGTTTACACAGCACGTGAAATAGACAGGTGCACGGTTTGACGCCAAATGCATCTTTTCAAGTTGCTCCAAGACAACTTTGGACATGCAGACTTCAACTGCAAGGGTGACAACTTTGCTTGGTTTGGTATGCTATGCAAGTTGGAGATCACAGACAGTGCCTTTCGTAGAACTATATGCTGTTTTCCGGCCAGAACCTAGTTACACTCCGTGCCTTTCATTGCTCCAGCACGGTTAAAGCATGTACATGATACTACCAGTGATACTACCATATACTACCCAAGATTCCTACTCTCAGTCTTTGCACCCATTTGGTGCAAAAGAAACACGAGGAACTGCGTGGGATCAACGTTTTTGAACAAACTCGACTATTTGCCGACCCGAGAAGAAAAAACCATTCGACAAAAATGCGTACATCAGTGTGAGTGTTTGGCCTTCGTGGGATGAGGTTGGAAAGCGGTTCATGTGTTGGGAGATGGCCTGATAATATGGGAACATCATGAAGCATTTCCAGAGCAGCTAGATCTGCTCTTGCGCTTGATCATTTTTTCTCGGTTCCATTGTTTCACCGTGTCCGTATTGCTAGCGTCCTTGCTATCCTTTAGTAGCGTCCTTGCTCCTGGTAGCGATGCCAGGAGCCCCTAGTGGCTTCTTGCTCCTAGTAGTACGGCCAGGAGCGCCTACTACCGTGCTGATTCTCAAAATCTCAGCATCCTATAGTTCCCAAGAGTGTGCCGTGACCAGCAAGCCATGTGAGCGAGCACCCTTATGTGGAATCTAGTTGGTCATTATCGCTTAATATTCTTCCCAGGAGCAATGGTATTATACTGTATACTGCACTGTCTCTCTCTCTCTCTATGTATACACACATCAGGGACTATTAATTACTCGCCTACAGTAAATAAATACTTATACTATCATAATATGGACTTACCTGTTTGCTTGGATCAGCGCACCGGTCCTGGCTGATCATCCAGTTCACGTGGCGTTGCTTTGCCATTCGTTGTTTCGCTCAGCTTGGCAGTGTGGGGAGCTGCAGTTAGCACGAAGCTTTGCGGAGCAAAGCCTGGCAATGGCGCAAGAGGCGAGAGCGATCTAGCAACCTGCAGTGGGTACATGAGTTTTGGTTTGGTTTGGTGACTCAGCCTGCACAACCACAATGGGTGCACAGCGCGCCGCTAGGTTGAACAAGTTGTGTTTTTGAATTTTGTTTCACATTGTTTCTATGCTTTTCTTGCCGTTGAAGTTGTGGTGTAGTCACCCCACTTCCACCGAAGTGAGGCATCTTCGCCTCGACGGGAAGCCTCTGCTTTGCGTAGCTTGGTCAAGGCTCGGGCGTCGGGCGTTACACGTGGGGTTGCCCCCACCTTGAAGCCATACAGATCCATGTGTCTCTTTCAGCTATTGAAAGATGGTGATCCAGAGTTGTTTTTCTGTTTTTTATGCTTTCCGCACTTGAGTGCCACAAAAACACCGTAAGATGTGTACATGTAGTGGGCGATCCCAGGGGTCAGAACAAGCTGCACCGCCGCAACTATTTCTGGTGGTTAACTGAGGTTGAAAGTGATGTATTTAGCTTGGAAACGGCATTCCGGACGACATCTAAACGACATACTTGATCTATAAAAACTTTATAATAAGTATACTACTGTATATATTTGTATATATATATATATGTATGTAATCATATTTATTAAGTCTCCATTTTTCTGATGGGTGATATGAATGACATTCGAAACGACATCCAAACGACATCAGTACTTCTTCAAATTGACCCGTTGACCACATGGTGCTGAAAGTCATAGGTTTTCATCATGTAACAAGCAGCATGGGGAAGTTGCAGTTGGGCGTCTCTGTGAGACGCCTCAGTGACGAGTCATGCCCGTGAGAGGGAGAGAGAGAGAGAGAGAGATAGGGAAAAAAACAGCAGCATAGTACAGATTCTAGCACAGAATCAAGTTCATATAGCTGACAAAGAGACCGCCGCTTGGAATGGCGATGATTTGTCATGATTTAATGGTTTGTCCTTGGGATCTTTACTTAGGACTGGTTCTTTTTTTTGGTTATCACTTAGCATCACTTAGTTGAACTGTTGGTCGCCCCACGCGGATTTCTGGAGACTTTGTGTGATGTTGGCATATCCTTTGGGCTCCGGCTCCTTTGGACGCTCCAGGTCTACATTCTCCAGGGAGATGCGAACTCTGTGCTGGGGAACTGCTTGGATGCAGCGTGGGGCCCAAGGTTTGGTATACTGAGAGCGGAGGGGTTGACATGCTTTGAAGGGCCGGTACGTTGTTTCTCGCAACGTGCATTCATGCGCGTTCGTTGATGTTGCGCTTATGACGAACATATCACCACAGCCCATCCTGCACAGCCCAAACTTTGTTGTTTGATTTATTCAGCACTCGTTGCTCATCCCCTGGCTGGGATCGTTTTGCTTGTCAGAGGGCTCGGGATCTCCAGTGCCCAATTCAGAGCATCACCACCAACCATGAAACAGATTCAGGATTTGCACTGGGTTCGACTCATTTAAAAAAGAAGAAGAGCCCCACGGATCACAGAACCATCATTGAAGTCGTAAGCCCCGTAACACCAGGTGCCATGAGGTCGTTATGAGGTCGAGTCTCACCAGCTGCCATGAGGTGACCCCCGAAGCAGCCGAGGTGTCACACCGGTGACCCGCTAGGTAGCAGCGCTCGATTGGCTCGCCTATATAGGTGTCGCGCTACAGGGACATGAACGCCCGGGAGGCTGAGTAGGGTGGCTCAGGTGGTGTCCGCGACCAGCGGAGCCGAGGCATGGAGATAAATTGGGTGAACTAACAGACTAGACCCGCCTGAAAACTCGTGGCTCAGGTCAGCAATGAATCAATGAACATGTTTTTTGATTGTTGGCTCCGCCAAAAATCAGTGACCCTTGGAAGCTGAGCGGTTCGACCTGTGTTCGAGGTAGAACCGACCGAAATCCCATGCTTGGGTCATAATGACCACAGATCGATCACCCCTTCCGAGATCGACCGAGGATTCAGGATCGACCGATGTGTGTTTTTCCAACCATGTGTTGGTGTTCATTGATCCATAAATTGTTGTGAAAATTGCGGCGTGTTCAGATTCATTGATCACAAACATGTGCAAAGGCGTATTTGTTGTACATTGTTGTGTTGCTTCCTTCTTTCACATGCTTATTTTTGCATGTGTGTCGCCCTTTGTCAATGACTCATGTTTGTTTCGTCCCAGCCATGGACCACATGCCACCGTCACCCCAGTTCTGACGCTGCCCTGGCTCAGGTCCATTGCTTTGGCTGCCCTGGTGGAATGTTCCATTGCATCTCAGGCGAGTGAAGTTGCACAGAAAACATGGATTTGGGGCGCTTCTTCTTGGGAAGATCAAGTCTAGCAGAGGGGGAGGCTGTGGGAAACTCGGGCAACTCTCACTTCAACTTTGGTCAAGGTGTGTCAAGTTGTTGATTTGGGATACTTTGGTGTGCTTTGCAGTCAGAGGATGACAGGCATTAATGCAGTACTTGTTTCTGACTTGATTTCCCAGGAGTTGGACAGCGCTAGGTATATTATATAGTATATCATTGCTTCCTTTCAGATGTCCTTTTTTGCCAGATCGTCACTCGCTGGAGAAGAATCGGTCACGCAGCATGTACTCCACCCCCTGTTTGGGGTTGAAGCAGGTTCGACCCAGGAGTTTCTTGATCCCACACTGCCAGGGCAGCTTGGACAGGACCGGGCTGCGTAGCGCTTGAACCTTCAAGTGTGACGTAGGTGTATGACATGGTGGAGAACTTAGTCATCAGCCCAGTCACAGGCTAATCAGACTAGGATCAACAAGGAACAATCCTCGATATGGCTCAATGTTTGTGCAATCCCACTTGTCTTCTATTTTTTTTGTGTATTGCTAACTCAAAGTCTTTTCTTGTGCTTCTGTTGTTTGGGGGGTGGAGCATCTCAACAAGAGTTAGACCTCAAAGCCTAAGACACAAACAGCAGGTTTTTGCATGACTGCTGTGAGTTTTTACGTGAAAAGCGGCGCATCATGCATAGGGAATCTTTTGTGCACTTGGGTGGCAGGAAAATGCGCGTGTTTTTTACAAATAACAATAATACTATAATACTATATATATATATTATGTATCTCTATCCATGGGCAGTTGATGAGTTTTGAATGACATAATTAATAACGGTGTAGCTGTGCTGACTCGGTCTCCATTCAGCGTTGCTGACTCCAATGATGCGGCTTGCATGCGCCGCTTAAGCGCATGGTCAGGAGCCTGCAAGCAGCCACGGATGCATGCATCGCCTTCCGGGAGCCGGGCGTCGAGCGTGTGGATGCTGCATGGATGCTCCATGGATGCTCCATGGATGTCCTGAAGCTGGGTCGACCCAGTATGGAAGAAATTGGAAAGATACCGGAAGTGGAGTCTAAGTGTGGTTGCCCAAATGATAAGTTGGCTGAGTTCCCCACGCCAGAAAAGGGATATAGTCTACACTAGTCTGCTCAGGGTCAACAACAGATTGAGATAAGCCCTACATGTTACTTTCAGCATGGTTCAGTATTTGGTGTGGCATCTACGGCAACTGTGCAGCAGTTTGTTTGTAGATCAATATATTTGTGCACGGTATATATGTACAAAACATATCTAATAATAGATGGTGTTGCTTTTAGAATAGTTTTGCGCCCACAGTTCTCGCAGGAGATGGGGGATGCTCACCAGGAGATGCACATGCAATTTGGCTTGGGAAGCTAACAAGGACAAAAAGAAACCGGGCAGCGGAGGCATATGGTCCAGAGATGTCCAGAGTACGTGGGTCCCAGAATTCGAATCAAAGACATGTTTGCCGCTCATTATTCTGAAGCTATGCGAGGATAGACACGATAGACCAAGACCCAGACTGGTCACGGTGTTCGACCAACTTGCCGAAGCCCTGGTGGTTTCGACCAGCGTCGGCTTGGGCCTAAGGTGCTGCACCATGGCACGTCTTTGTTTGGAGCATCAGCAGCTGGATCAGGTGCCTGACAGTCACACAGTCATGACTGGTTGTGCCCATGTTAGGAAGACTTGCTTGGGATCCATGATGTTGGGATGGACAGATTCAGATTTACCTAACGACCTGGTGACCTAGTGACACCTGTCAAGGAGAGGAGTGTCTCTGTGGGACAGCTGGGTGATGGCTAGAATCCGCAGAGAGAGAGAGAGAGAGACAGAGAGAGAGAGAGAGAGAGCGAGAGAGAGAGAGAGAGAGGGAGAGAGAGCGAGAGCGAGAGCGAGAGAGAGAGAGAGAGAGAGAAAAAGACAGAGAGAGAGAGAGAGTTAACCACGAAAGCACTCAACAGCGTGGGTTCAGCCCTCTTGTGCCAGGCTGAGCTAGAACCGGGAATCTGTCTCCTCGTCTCCTTGGGCTCTGGTGGACCCGTTTCCAGTCGGTTCACGTGGTGTTCGGGACGGGCGCAGGCTGAATCTCATGCCCGCACTGCACTGCAACTGGCCCGGGGACTGGATGACAGGCGCAAGAGGAACGGTGCTTGCACTGTGGATGGGCTTGAGTCGCAAGAGACACCCCCCTTTGACATGTTTATGTCGGCTACTTACTTGCCGGGACCGGAAGGGATGAATCCAAGATCATAAATGATCATACTCTGTCTTTGGGGATGCATGGCCCGAGCCGGGCCCAGTTGGATTTGCAAAACACCCATACTTGCCTCTTGAACCCTTGGCAAGTACTTTGCACTGACGCGTCACAAACGGTCAAGAATAGACAACCGACAATTGACAAAACATAAACACCCAATCGAACAGCAAAAGATAACCCTCGTGGTTCTCACTATGTTGGAGGAAGCCGAGCTGGCTCTTATCTTCGCAGGGTTGATGGTGCGTTTCAATTACTTTATGTGGCCTTGTTTGCAGCATGGGGGCAGCTTAGAGTTCAACCATGTTCAGCAGAGAGGCAGAGTGCAGTTATTTAAAAAGACCAATCAACGTTCACATCTTGCAGGTTTGCATCCACATCTTGCAGAAATTCCAAGCAATGGCGTTTGCAAGTTTCGACACATTTTGTGGGATGGATTGCAAGCCATGTGTAGACTGGACTGACCATTTCATCATCCAAAGGCTTACGGCACGGCACGGTTTTTTCTTCACAACTTTACGCCAGGTTGGGCCATGGTGAAGCTCTAGGACTTCTTGCGCAGGTGGGAATGGGAAGTAGAAAGATGGCAGCTGGACGTTTGAAAATCCCTGATGCTATATAGCGTTGATTGTGGCTTTGAAGCTTAAGCATGCAGCCCCGCATGCTGTACCACAAGCAGTTGCACGCACCCCCAACGAACATCTAGAGAAAGCACGACGTCCTGGAGCTGACCAATCCTAGTAAAAGTGGAGAGCACAAACATCGACGAGCACGCCTCACAGCGGGCTGTTCAAGGCCCACAGCGGGTTCTCCGGCCGCACTGAATAAGCCACCCTGACCTCACCTGGATCGTCAGAGAAAAAACATCCAACCGAAACAAAGCAAACTATTTGTTGGCAGTGCGCGAGACAGCGAACAGGGCCAAAAAGAGGGCACGGCACTGCCCGCACCCTCCAGCTGCCCGCACCCTCCAGCCGCGAATGCCAAGCAAACGCTGGGCATGCGGGATTCTGCAGTTCGCCGGGCTATAGGTAACACCATTCGACAAACAGAAGTGCTGTAGTCATGCACCGTTCTTAGCAGCTGCGGACATGTTTCGAGTGGCGGGTTCACAAGCAGCTTCTTCTTGGGCACTGAAGAAGCCTCATGCTAATGCTAAGGTTTGAGGAAGGCTTGCAAGACATGTTTCCGTGTTTTTTTTTCACCAGGCATAGTTTCAGCTTGACATTGGCACAAATCCAGAGGACCAGTGAAGGAGTGCTGCTTCTTCAGCATGTTCCTCACAACAGTCCAAATGTGGATTTTGGGGGGGGGCATAGTTAACATACGAGCGGACATTGACCTGAACCAAGGCCAGCTAGAGAAGTTTGCTTCCTTGCTAGCGTTTGATTGCAGAAGTGCATAATTTAGATGCTAGGTTTGGCTGGATGTTCAACAATAAGTGGGAACCAGGAGCTGACACCCTCTTGCCAACCTGCGGATGGGAAGGAACTGATGGGTTGTTCTTCACTCTTGCGATCCCTGAGTCGAAAGACGGAATATGGCCCTGCATCCCTTATACGGAGTTGATTCGTCGATGATCCGTTAGGCTTGTCACCGATTGCGAAGGCCTTCATGACAAAGGATGATGGTTCCGAGAAGGCTTGAGAACCACCAATGTGATATGGAAATGGCTGGGGCCCTCCTTTGCAGAGCTTATACTGTGGGGCACAGTCATCCCCACATGCGAAATAGTCACAGAACCTCACTTAAATGCTGTTTGGATATGTATTCACCCATATATGAACAATTGACTGTTTTGCATGAAGACCGCAACGACCACACCAGCTTGAGGCTTGAGTGGGTTCATGCTTTGGTACTGGTATTTACTCGACTACATGAATGTGACCCTTTTGCTTAGAAACATGGACTCCCAAATCCGTCGCGACTCGCTGCGCAAACTCGCTGCGCAAACCCGGGATGGAACACCGTGCACCTCAGAAACTTTGGGGCATCGAGGTGCACATCATTTGAATCATTTGGATTGTTTTGTTATTATGCACATCTGTGCTATATAATGTGTTTTTCTTCGAAGTTGTACCCACTTTCACTCACTGGTACCGCAACCTGGTGGCCTTTTGCAAGGCATTAGTCCTGCTGAAGAAGGACTGCCGGATCCAATTGCTTTCCCGACTGACTGGGCCAAGCGATCCGGGTGGCTCCCAAGCTTTGGGACCGTGTTGAAGGAGTTCAAATCCTTTGGCACCCATTTGTAGGTCTCAAAGTCCCAATCACCGGATGGGTATGAGCTCCTTTGGCATGGTCTTGGAGGATTTCCACGGAAGTCCTCCATCAACTACACACTGCAAAGGGGCTAGGCAAAGATCTACAAGTCTACAAGTAGCCCACTCTGCCCAGATCGATAATGGATGGCCCCCAAAGTCCCCCAAACTCCACTTACAAGACGCTTTCTTCTCGAAAGGCGCCTTGTCATTCACTTTTGTTTGTCCGCACCAGGGCGCTCCTTTTGTGCGCCAGGAGCAAGTTGTTTGTCAAGATGCCAAGGATCAGCTTGGTGAGGTGGGGCTGAGTGTGGTCCCTTTGTCGAGGAGCCGCTGAATGATAAAGTGTGCTATTGATGTTCATATGTGTGAGTGGGGTGAGTGCACACCAAGGGTCACCAAAGTTGTTTTTTTGCTTTTGCGTTTTCAATACCCCGTGGCGGGCCAAGTGCATTTTGCGAAAGGAGTTTCTCAAACCCAACCCAGCTGGTGAGACCAACCTCAAAAACCGAGTCGCACCATATTTTTGGGTGACCATGTCATTCGTCATCGTCATCCTAAGCGATGTCTCGAGTGGTGTCAATGGACCCACATCAGGCCTTATGCTCCCTCTCTTTGGCTCACGTCTACATGGAGCATGCACCTCAGAGAAACTCGGCGCCGCATGGGCTTGGCCTGATGAAAGACCTGCCTTTTCCTAGCTCCCAAAGACAAAAGTAACAAGACCATCGCGGCAACCGATCCAATGCATGACACAGCTGTGGTGTTGCTTTGACACAGCGACGCCCAGGTTGAGCAAACCCAAAGAGGCCAGAAGAACTGTCATTTGCCAGGATCAAAAATTATTGAGCAGTTGAGTTGGGTCCTTGTTTTGGTTTCGATACGTTGGTTTAGTTTATATAGCTTAATCATGCCTTTGCAGACGCCTCCAACTCTTCCCTGCCTGTTATTGTCACAATGACATCAAAAGACCAATTGACTATATTGGACTATGATAATTATGCCCACACACATGCACATTTTTAGCTTCGTCAGCCCATTGTTTTTGTGTCTATTTGACTGTGCTGGGGTAAAACACATCCCTTTTGCTGCCTCAGGTGCAACTACTACGGATACGAAGACCGATGGTTCATGGATCACGATGGATCCCTGAACATATATATATATGCATACAATGGGGAAGCAGGATCACGACACGTCAGAAAGTGCTAGAGGCCCTGCAACATATACGAGGATTCCAGCTTGCTACATGCTGGGGCCTCCAATCCTTCCCAGTTGTGAGCATCCCTTGAAAGTTCAGCAGTTTGGTCCTGACCACGTCAACAAAAAGTAAGCAAAACTCCCAGCTCAAGCAGCTGCAGTAGGCCTACTGACAGCCGCAAGTTGTTCAGAAGGAGATTGACTCAACGGCCCCTTTGCTAATCATATGTGTGGATGGCATGCATCAACAGACTATAAGATCGTTGTCCTCAGCTGCCCCGTCCAACTCGGCCAGGTCTTGGCTTCAGCCGATGCCGCCAGCCGCTTGTTTCGATCCATTGGGGACAAGTGCGGGAGCCTAGTCGAGCCTGGAGACCGCCATTCATTCGTCCTTCGAGGCTTCCTTCGAGGAAGGGACAACATGACAACCCAGGATGGGAATCGGGTATGTTTCAACTGAGTGTCCCTACATGAAGGGATCATGTCGGTATGGATTTGTCCAGTTTTTGGAAGTTTTGTGTAGCATGTGTAGCCCTGAGAGGATTGTTTCGGATAGAACACCTTTTTGTTGTCACCGTGTTTGACAATAGACAGTGACATGTGGGCGTTCCATAGCCGCACCAAAGCAAGACGCCTGCTCAGCGCTATGACACCCTCGGGTGCCCATGACTATAACTAAAATAGACAGATAAAGTTTAACAGAATTCATGGGATTTATATGGCATCATGATCATCATATGACCAGGTTTGCAGAGCACAACCCGATTTCCGAATCAATGATCTGTGTGTGTTTTTTTTTTTTCCCGGATGGACTTCCCCATGAGGCAACACTCGACTCATCGATGATGTTATGGGCGACTGGTGTTTTTCCTCGTGGTGCACCCATAAAATCTTAATCTTGATGGTCAATGAAATCTTCCGGCCGTTCACCTCAACTATTGAAACCTCGGCATTGTAGGCCGGGTTTGTTTTCATGTTGGGGCCCTAGAAAAAAGAGCCCATCAGCAGTGCACTTCACACAAGGTGACTGACTGACCACAGTCAAGGCAGAAGCTTCGCCCTGACAAGAGTTGAATTGTTTGCCTTGTGTCGACATATCGGTTGTATGCTTGTGTTGTTGGTCCCTGTTTGCTGTGCCAGGCAGTTCCAGCTCAAGGATCGTTGTGGTGTGTTTGGCTTTTAATTAACCAGCATGGAACTAGTTAAGAGCCGTTTCACAACACAATAACAATGTCTATTTACAGTGGGTTCAGAGTAGAAGGCACAATCCCCCCAAATCCCCCAAAGGTGCTTTATATGGACCCCTATCTATAAAAAGTCTTGGGGGCTGTGCCATCTCTGAAACCACTGGAAATTCAGACAAAGCCAGTCACCCCACGGACCAACCCGCTATGCGCGGTCCATGTGGCGTGACGAGCTGCTGTGGCCCTGCCGCCGGCGCCTCCGAGCGGCCGCCGTCGCCGCGGCCGCCGTGGCGAGTGACGCCGCGGTGTCGCTGGTGAAGGAGGTTCATCGGGTGTCCTCGATGCCCTGCGGCCGGCGGCTGGGCAGAGACCACACATCTTCCGCGGGGTGTGGGAAGATGCAGAAGGTCCTAAGGCCCGAAGGTTGAACCGAAGGTACCGTAATGTGGAGAATGGAACAAAAGATAACAAAAGGACCTTGCGAGTTGCAGGTTTCGTTTCAATACTCTTGAGTTTTCGCATTCTGGACCCTGAGAACTGTTGGGTCAGTTCTTTAGGGTCCCACTATCAGAGTCCATGTTTGACTTCGGAGGTGTTCAGGGTGGGACCTGAAACTCTTGTCACAGAGCCAGAGCCATGTTCGCGAGTTTGTTTTCTCCTACGGGGGGCAGCAACCATGCATGACCTGATCAGGACAAGTTCAGGTGAGCACTGAGTTGTTGAGGTTTGCACCATCCGGTGAGTTCAGGAAATGAAGGTGTCCCACTCCAAGTATCTACGTGGTCATGTACGAGTGCCACTCCAAGTATCACGTGGTATGGCCCCCTTCATCTAACACTCGACTCAATGAAGACAACTGACGAGAGCAGGCCATGGGCAGTGGTTTTATTGAAATGAGTGCCAGGCCTTCTCTCATTGCCAGCACAAGGTACCCCCATGTCAGTAGGCAAGTTTTATTAAGGTTTATGCGTCTTTAGTTTATGGCTCCATGCAATCGCCTGAAAGATGCTTGCCATGCACTGTAGCTGCAATGAGGCGGGGTTACCCCTCTCAAGCCTCTCAAGCACACAGCAAATCTCCCAATCACTATGATTAGAGTTGCGTTAAACTGCATAAGGAGTTGCTAATGTCCAAGCAATTGGTTGGGGAACGTGTTTGTGAGACGGCCTCAGCCGTTTGCCATGCAAGGAAGGCAGCCACTTTGCTGACCTGCATTTGGAAGCACGAGGACAGCTGGCTCGTGGGCGCTGCGTGGGGTTGGGCGTCGCGCGGCGCAGTCAAACGAACTCTTTCCCTGTAGAGTCTGTAGAGTTCATGGTTTCTGAACCATGATGAGTTATGAAATTGGTTTGCAAGAGTCCAAGGAGCTTCATGTTGCATTCATTTCAGCTATTGATTTGGGGAGGACTCGAGGACTCGTTGTTACAATGTTCAGCAAAATCACCCTTGCCACGTTTTGTTGATGCTAAGGATCAGAGTCCACCTGAGAGGTACTTTCTCTATTTGCACGGCTTTCCGGATCAGAGCTTGGACCATCGCACCTTCGTTGGAACGCGCGCGCTCAAAGCATGCGGGACCGACCGGTGACCGGTAGTCTCGCATCCGGCCAGTGATAGTCTCGCGTGAGGCTGAGCCAGTGAAGTTTTCGGTCCAGAATTTCCTGGACCATGTTAATGAATGCCTACGTACTATTTTATTCTGCAGAAATCTTTGTTCGCGAGAATCGTCCTTTTTATCGCGAGAATTGTCCTTTTTTTTTTCCTGTATGAAAACAAGAGTTTGGGTATTACAGTGTGTTGTCGTCTGAGGATATCTTCCAAAAGTAATCAAGAGGTTGCCTGGATTTGTATTGCTTGGGCCATACCAATACTGTATTTCACAAGTAGTAACTTTATTGATTCTCTATGGTTGTTATTAAATAATTCAACACTGATTGATCTTGCCATAAACTAACTAGAGGTGGCTTGCCCCTCATTCTATAGGTGGCTTGCCCCTGATTAGTTGCCTGCTTTTTTTTAGGAGGTGAAAATATTGACAGGAACCTTGCCATTGATCCTATAAACTAACCAGAGGTGGCTTGCCCCTCATTCCAACAAGATGTGGCTTGCCCGTCATTCCAACGAGAGGTGGCTTGCCCCTCATTCAAGAAAGATATCCTCAGAAAGATATCCTCAGACAACAACACACTGTAATACCTAAACTCTTGTTTTCACACAGGAAACAGGGACAATTCACATGATAAAAAGGACGTTTCTCATGAACAGAGATTCAGATTATATATATATATAGATAGAGCCAAAGAATGTCAATGTATTTTGCTGTGTATGTTTTTCCCTGGAAGCCTCCACATTTGACATGTGATCAGGGCCCCAACAGCCTCGTCCATTTGAAGAGGTGAAACTTTGATCGTTTCATTTTCCTGTTTGAGACTTTTCTTCCCCTAAAGGGTCGGAAACCTGCCCCATTGTTACAAGAGCTGTACCAAGATGGACCAAGTTGTGCCGCATTTCTTGCATGGTTTTTCCAACGTCAGACTTCGGTTTCAGCCGCTATTTCATCTTACCCAGAGCAGGTGTCGACACTCGCACCGAGCAGGCATCGAGTCGAGCCACTACGGGCAGATTCACCCGCGCTTGCCCCAACGCCTCGCCGAGCGGCTCTTGAGCGAAAGGCCTCGGAGTGCCTTCGTGGCCTTCAACTTTGCTGGGACACCCGGCGCCTCGGTGCTTCGGCGCGGCGGAGTCACCGGTCCGAAGTTGAACCGGTGCTTCATGAAGGACGTATGCGTTCGAACGTGTCTTTGGGTGGTCGGATTGTGTTTGTTCATGTTAGTTCTTCCTGTGGCAACTTGGACTTTCTCGTTCTCGGTTTGGATGCCTGGGCCATGTCAGCATGTCAGGTGTCATCGGTATCGTGCCATGACCGGCGCTGAACTACCGGCATCCTTCAGGTTCTGACGATACTGTGAGTTTCTACGAGAAAACGGTCAGCCGAGAGGCCGGGGTGAGGATGATAGAGGCGCATAGACTAAGTATAGACACTATTTTGGAGCATCTTTGATCATAATTTATCCTCAAACTTCTAAGTTGACAGTGCAGACAATCCATGACAATCCATCCACAATCCGCCGTTTCCGGATTTTTCAGGTGCACCTTGGGGTGAAGGGAATGTGCCGCGGCAGGGGCTGAGGATGCCGCGGGTACGGACGCCGATGTGGGCGTCGATGTGACGCCGCAAGCGGCGGCCGCTTTGGCCATGCCATGGCTGGACGTTTCGGGTCGGTTTGCTTCGTTTTCTGAGTCGTTGCCAGGTCTTGGATGCCCTATGCATCATTGAGTACTTGCGACGGGACAAGCTTTGGCCAATCCATGTCATCGGGATTTCCACTGGTGCCATTGTTGCCAGCTTGCTGCCAGGCAGCTATTGGCAGGCCTTCAAAACACTGGGTATGTTTAGTGGTTCCTTCTGTAAAGCTCAGTTTGCTCTCATCTGGAAGCAGACTCCCCAAAAGGTCAACGGTTCATAACGGTTCACTTGGTCTCTTGGAAGAGAAACGCCCTCTTTGCAGTCGATTTCCGCTGGAGTGGCGCGTTCGTTCCAAGGTGATGGACATGTTTGAGGCAATTTCAAGACATGTCCGCCTGTGATTGAAAAAACTCATTGAACAGCATGACATTATAACATTATAGATATGATGTTCATATGATTTTCATTAACATGTGTTTTAAAGATCGATTCATCGCTTGGCTCTCAAGCCGCCAGCTTGCGTTGCCTTCAGCCACCTAAAGCAAGCCTCCATAGTCATCGTGGAGCCCTCATGCACCAAACACAGTCTTGCCATCGTAGTTGTTCCAAAGGTCCTTCTCAAAGCGCTCCAAAAGACCAGCGTGTTGCGAATGGAATTCTTGAACGCATCAAAGGGTTGTGTATACACAAGAAATGCCTAGCACCTTCGAAGGGGCCTCTATCTTGGAATACACACTACTTGTGGACCTTCATTGAAAACCTCTTTGAAGGTCCTGGTGTGGATCGGTGTTGAACACCCACCTCATGTCACAATTGTCCTTGGTCCACAACTCACCGGCGGGCACCCGCCCAGGCTTCGAGGAAAAACCACGAAGCTCACCATCACTGCGATCGCTGGGCTGGTGGACTTGGAGAGCGCTGGCTGGACGGTGTGACTGTTAGGACGGATGGGGGTAGAATGTCTATGAATGTCTATGTGAAGGTGGGAAGCCTCCTAGTTGGTGGATTTGAAGTCTGGTTTGATAGCAGTTGATGTGTTTAAGGATGTAGGTCTTTTGGATTCTTTTGTATACATGATTGTCTCACTTGTTGGTGTTCCCGTGTGCTCAAAGTTGGAGCCATGGAAGGCAGTTTCTGGTCATTGCATGAATATGAGGTGAGCGAAACGAAGACATCCAGGAATCCAGTTTCGATTAACCTCCATGTTTGGCACATTGCCTGCATCCCTCCAGTCTTCTTTTGTCTATGCCAAAAGATGAGGAAAGGCCTTCACTATGACTTCGATGAGTCGCAGCTGGCATCCTTTGAATCCGACGGCTTTTGCTGGAAGGAGCTGCTTAGCGGCAAGACCCGCTGCTGGTGTTGGGAGATGCATGTCGGGAGTTGCAGGATGCCCAGGGGACTGTGGGTAGGAGACGAAGAGCGGATATGTTTCATTCTGTTTGGAGGACGGGTGTTTTGATCAGTCTGACCGGGGATGAGGATTGAGCATGTGTGTGTGTGTGTGTTTGTGTTTCGGAAGTTTTGTTCGAGGTATTTTTAACAATCGCAAGATGGATTTGGTGGATCCTGCAGATGCCGTCGTGGGTCATGAGTCATGAGCATGTTACAGTACTTCTGTTGATGCCTGTCGTCGTGTCGTCGGTGTTTGTTTGATTGACAGCGCTGTGACGGTGTGATTCAGTACTTCCTGTTGCCGAAGTATGTCAGGGACGAATTCCATACAAAGACAGGAGAGAGAGAGAGAGAGATAGACAGTATATATATATATGCATATTTATATATATATATTTATTGTCAATATTGTCATGTGTAGTGCCCTGCCAGGGTATCATTCATCACTTTCGGAGTAGCTAACAAAATGCCGCCAACATCAAGTGGTTCACTAGCCATTGTGAGGACCATTTGTTTCCGAGGTTCTGGCTGCCACAGTCAGCTTCTAACCCCGGCAGTGCATGCAGCCCGACAGAGGCAGTTGAGGGGAAGACTCAGGACCCGCTCAGCCAGCTCCTCTTCAATGGGACCAGCCAGCTCCTCCCACAAGCCATTCGTCGGGTTTTAAGTTTAGGCGGTGATATTCAGTTGGGACTCTCGGAATGGATTGAACTCCAATAAAATGGACCTTCAACAATTGATTGGATTTCGTTGGATTTTTCAGAGACTTCCTCATGATTTTTGTCAATACAATGTGAAGCCAAAGATGCTGCAAAAGAAAACACTTGACGTGCCTTCTGTGGTGAAACCGTGGTCTCTCAGCTCACCCATTGATTTTGGCGTCCTGCTGACCCACCCCTTTCGTCGGAAACCAAAGCAACGAACCCATGGATATCCACGGATCCAGCGATTCGCCAGGATGTATGGAGCAAATGTGCCATTCCGCTCTCTGTGACCTACCGCATCTTGGAGCTTCGTTGGATGATGTCCTGTGGAGCTAGGTTGTCTTATGATGTCCTAACAGAGGAGCCTATTATATGACTATATATGCAGTGAAGCGCGCTTCTAGCTGGAGCAGATCCATGAACATCCATCAACTTTGGGGGGAGCTCATGACAGCCAGTGGCACCGATTCTTGTTGCAGCCTGTGCGTAGGCGACCTCAGCTTGTGGAGATTGTTGAGGAATGCTGAGGAGTATTTGGTTTGTAGGCCCTTTTGTGATCCATTGATTGAGTGGGTGGGGTTGGTCAAAATAAAGCGTACACATATAAGATAAACCACATAATTAAACCCATTTAATACATTTAATTGTGCATAATTTAGTCAACAAGAACTTTCCAATTGCACTCCAACTTATTTGGCATGGTCATGCGGCAGCAAAGAACTGACTATTATCTGGCTATTGTTCCATTGTATGCTCGGACATGCCCTATAATATATATATATACACTAATTATATAACTGGAAATGATCAACATTCATGCCACCAGGTTAAACTCGTTCAAGATTCAAGTGCACAATACAACTACTCTGCCTGAGGATGATCCAACAAACATCCAGTTTTCCAGTTGTTCCATTGCCTCCCTGGCAGTCAGATCTGAGGGGATGACTTCCTCTCCTTAGATCTGAAGGGCTTTGTGAGCCAGAATTCTACACCAATGCTGATTCTGCACGGAGATCGCGATCGAAACGTTCCCTTGGAGAGCCTTGGGCCGTGGAGAGCTGGCCCCAATGGCTGATGGCTGATGCTTAAAAACTGTGTTGGAAGATTCCTAGATGTTCAAAGTTATTTTAACATGTTTTTATTGTTTTTATTTTTTTTTTAAAGATGTTGTAAACTACTACTTTTTCTTTGCACCAATAGACCCTAGATTCCTAGATCGGACCGTCAGATGTCGCAACTGATGTTGCCTTGCTGACTAAACCCATCCATTGATTGACCAGGTGTGGTTTGCATAGCCATGTATGTTTAGCAACCTTCTCGCACCAAAAGGTGGCCCTCAAGGTAAGCCCCCGGAACAGGGTGGCGCTTCAAAGCTTTAGTGTTTTCCATTAGTCTATATAATCAGAATAATCCATATAATTACACAAAGTGTCTAATATCATGAGACCTCCAGATCTGTGGATGGTCTTGTTGGCCTCATGTTTCCGTCGTTGGTGGTGTCGGCTCCAGGAACGGTGAGGAATTGTTTCGGGTGGCGGCCAAGCCCAAGGAGATGGTGATCATCAAAGGCGAAGAGCTCGGGCGTTTTCGGGAGGAGCGATAGAGAGCGAGAAACACACGGCACCGGGTGGAGAGGTCCTATGTTTGGGATTGTTTTGGGTGGGTTTAGGGTGCTGGGGTTAGGTTACATCAAAATGCGGGGTGTCCCATTTCTACCCTGCAACAGTCGTAAGCAAGCAAGTGACTAGTGTTTTCTTTTGAAGAAGGCCTTTACTAACCATCACCATCCGTTGTTACATGGAATGGGAATGGGCATGCCCAAGTTATATACTATTATATACATTTGAATACTGAGGGATGACTGGTGGTATGGGGGTGATGATCGGACAGAGGTTGCCAGTCGTGTTTTTTGATTCGCGGGTGTGCCCCTCACTGAACAAGCACACACGCACGGCAGAGTGAGAAGACATGGCATGTTGGGTCTTATCCTGGTATGCTCCTCTTGAATCCCGTTGGGGCCCACAAGCCTGCACTGCGCCCTGGGGAGGGAATTCTCTCCGCTTGGGCAGGTGGAGACCACCTGCTCCGCAGCTCCAAGTGTACCAACAAAGCAGCCGCGGCCATCCTTGACTTCATCGCACGACACGACACTCAGGACTGCCATGCAGCTAATGTCTTCGTATTTTTTCTATATATTTCGATTGCTGGTCCCCTTTAGCCTGAACTCCTGAACCCTCATCCTCAGCAGACACCTAGCTGGCTGTACAAACCATTGAACCTAATTATATAGGTCGTTGCTTGGTCCATGTTTCGTCCATTCTTCCTAGGAATTTCAGGAATTTCTAGTTATATATAAGTGTCGACCCGGGCGCCCACAAAGGAACACGCCCTGGGTGAGGTGCCTCACCAGATGCTTCAAACACCAATGCGCCATCCTCAACCTGAACCGTGGGTCATAAGAATATGGTTTCTATTGATCAAGTTACGTGGGTGAACTGTTTGTTGACGGTGGCCAGACGATCTTTTCTTTCGGCCGAGCCAATGCCATGATCGAGAGGAGCCGTGATGGAATTCCACAACCGCCCTTGGCTTGCTTGGAGAGCTTCAAGGATTCTCAGGACGCATCACATCGATCTGTTGGCAGTCCGAAGTTGAAACCAAGAAGACAGACTGTGGAGAGCCAGGACGGGAAATTGCGGAAAAGGCTGCCACTGCTCAGCTCAATGATCGCACATGATCAGTCCTTGGGAGTAGTAAAGTTGGCACGTCATTGAGGATTAGACACGCCACCATGTGACGCCTGTCCATTGGCTCTAGGAGCATGAATTGTCTAGCTCGCAAGTGAGGTTTAGAGCTGAAACTGTATACAGGAAGAGACCAATTTGGTTGGGAAAAACGTTCTGCCAGACCCCAATATGCACTGGGGGATAGTATATAGGGGTTCTAACTTTTGACTGGTAAAGCAACACTTTCTTATTTGGTACCTCTCAGTTCGCTGTGCTGGCATTGTTCTAGCCTGATGGGACTTGTGCAATGTGGCTGCTGCACGCCCACCGTCACAGACGAGATCACTGATGGTGTTGAGGGTCCGGAGCCTCTTTCAGCTCCTCAAGCAGATCCTTTGGCCTCCGCTCAAACGCTGGTCTCGTCCCTTAGAACGGGCTCCAGTCCCACCATGGCTGGTCGGGAAGACAGCTTTGCGACCCTGATTCCGGATCGTTCCAGCTTCCGCACCTTGGTGCCGGACCGGGGGAGCTTCAGCACCATGGTGCCGGAGCGCAAGAGCTTCGATACCGTGCAGCCCAGCCGCGCGAGCTTTGGCACTTTGATGCCCGACCGGCTCAGCTTTCAGGCACCGGTACCAGAGTCAGATGAAGAGGATGAGGGCTCTGAGTTTGAGGCGAAGCCTCCGCTCTATGCGGATTCCTTGGAGGCACAAGCTGCTGTTCCCAAGGCACCGCAGCGAGGTTTCTTGGGCCGCTTTGCATCGATTCGTAGATCGTCAGCTCCCTACCATGGTTGAGCTGCAAACCGATTTTCAGTTTTGGCCGCCGGGCCGGTTGGGTCTCACAAAGCTCCAGCACCGAATGGTGCTTCTTGGTGGTCGAACTATGGACTTGTGCAGGGTGCGCGAAAGGCAAAACTGTTCAAAACAGGTTGCGCTTGTTCGAGCTGCTCACTCACACGCCAGGGCACCCGTCCACGCCAGGGCACACCGCATCCGACGCGTCCGAGCCCCGGCGTCCGACACGTCACACAGTCTCTGAGGATGGGTGAGTTGTCCGCACTTCAGATCACTGCAGATGCCCGGTCCTTAGATGTTGACCGCAAGGTGGAAAGGGGAAGGCTATATATACTAGGAACAAGTATACTTGCTCCTGGCACCTGGCAGTACTACTAGTAGCAAGAAGCTACTAGTAACAAGGGCATCGCTACTAGTAACACATACAAGTCTGGGGAAACAAATTGTGGTTTCGATCCCGACCTGTGTTTGTTTATTGTCCAGAAGTAGGGCAACATTTTGGCAGTCACAGTACAAATTCTAAAAGTTAATAAGTTAGGTGGTTCGCAGGGGTTGTCAAGATTCCATCATTATATATACTAAAAGTAACTAAAAGTATCTTAGTTCTATAGATGCAGGGTGCGTCCTCATGTCCGTATCCATCGTTGCTGCAATGTGGGAACATGCGCCCACTGCCAAGAGGTCCATGCCAGGGCCATGCGGTATGCAGAGATGTCCTCGGCACTCGAGAAGGCCGGCCAATCGGGGCGACACTGTGACGATGAAAAGAAAGAATCGGATGTGGCTACGGGTTAGAATCAGAAAGCAGTGGTTGAACAGGAACATATATATGTATAGTGGACATGGTTTTGGGGCCCTGAGGTGGTCGATTTGATCCACAATATGACCAATATGAACTCAGTGATGGTGCACTTTGGGGCAGTTTCTTGACCCAACACCTGCCACTTCCGGTGTTTACACACCGGTAGGGCTCTGAGATGCACCCGAGTTGAAGAAGAGAACCCCACCCTGCCAGGCCCTGCCTCCCCCCCGAGAGGATGAAGTCATTACATGTCACAATGGTTGGGATCAACGAAAAGATAGCTGGGCTGGGGCCGATCAGGATTCTAATGACGATGGACGGGGGGGAGGGAGAGAGAGCTAGAAGTAGAGCTACAGAGATTTTGAGAGTCAGTACCCCAAAGGCTTGCTGGGAAACGCTGGATGGGGAAGTCTAACAAGTACAAGTATGATCAAGCAAGATGAAGTATTAAGTAAGTAGTTATACAGTTGCAACAAGCTGTCGCCCTAAATGAGGGCCTTTTGGGGTGCTCCCAACTAAAACATTTGCAGCTCACGCAGGCCTTGACGTTGGCCGAAGCATTGGGTGACGTGGTGACCGAAGCCAGTGTGGCCTCCAATGGCTGGGATTTTGTGTTCGAGATTGGGGCAGGAAAAGAATGGAGAAGAGCTGCCAAGAGATGTGAGAGTCGAATCTTGAGACCTGTTATGCTAGGTCCAATGTTGGTGCCTTTGCGACAGATGTATAGTGGCCGCACTTCTCAATCGATAAACCGCAAGTGAAATATGCAAACATCAGATCAATTAACTCTGTTCAGACCCGAAGGAAAGGAACATGATGAAATTCCACATGTCACCATGCGTTTCATGTATTACCATGTCTTTGTTGCACATGGTGTGGTGTGTGTGTGTGATGGTGTTGCTTTTAAATCATCCATTCACAGGAAGATGCCCACCAAGGTCTTAACATCAGCTTGGCGCAGGCAGAACAGCTGTCGTGCTCGCTGTCCAGCCCGGAAGACCGGTGTTCATGGGAACAGCCTGCAAAGACAAACTGAGGGCATCCTCAGGTTTACAATGAGTTCGATAGTACATGTGAAATCAATTTAATATGATATAGATTCTAGATATGATATAAATATAGATATCTACAACGCTGTCTCGATGTATGAGCATATGATTTTAATCCCTTCAGTGTACCTTTCGCCTTTCGCCTTTCGCCGTGACAACAACGCCACACCGCGGCTCGGATGTGTTGACGCTGCGCCAGGCACAGATGGGCCTCTTGGAGGTCTCCTCGATGCAGCCGAAGAGCGACACCTTCCAAATGCAGGGCGCACTGGCGGCGAAGGTGCCGCGCACTGGCGGGGCCGTGTTAACGGAAGCACACGGTGGCTCGATGGGACCGAAAGGCGGTGTTGAGTCACGGTGGCTTCGTCCGAACGTGTTCATGTAAGAGAAAAGGGTTCAGGAAGTGGAAGTCTGACAATTGAAGAATGCACTCTTGAGGTTTGAACTGGCTACTGGTAGCCCAGAGCAAACGGGGAAGTGCAGAGTGGCACTGACATGCGTGGTACAGTGCATTGGCGGAGCTTCCAGCTGTGGTTGGTCAAGCTTTTGCTTTGGACAGTGTCCGCAACGTGACTCACCGTCTTGAAAGTATGCCATGTATAGAGCATTCAGCTTCGATGCTGTGTAATAGGTTCTTCAAAGACCTTGTTTGGGTGTCGAAATTGTGATGGACGTGGCTGATTCCCCAAGGGCAAGAAAGAAATTATGTTGGTTCTGCTAAGACCTGGAACTGGAAAAAAATGAAAGGCTAGAGTCTAGAGCCAAATTAAATATGATCCAGGTAGAGTACAGTAAGGGGTTTGCTCCTGCAGATCAGCAGCTTCCGGGAACTTGCAATCCATCCAGCAAGCAGCCTTGGCCATGATTGAAGATTTCTTAGGTCAAGAGGTAAACAACATTGAAGATACTAAAGGGACAATGCAAATGTTGAGGAAACCTGTTTTCCTCCCTCAGAGGTTCCTTTTGTCACCAGTGTATACTTACGTGAAAGTTGCGTCTCTTGACTCTTGACTGCTGTAGCATGAAAAAAGACAACTCAACATTTCATATGTCATACATCGTCATACTATTTATACTATTTTGCCGTCAGATTTCCACACCTGAAAGCCTTTCATATGGTTTTACAATTCTTAAGTTTAAGCTAATGTCATGGTGTGGACATTTGACCGTGGTGTATTTACATAAAATTCATGACTGTGATGCAAGACCACCAAAAGGAGACGTACAAACCAGCCTTTGTCCTTCGAACACGCCGCGAGGCTGCCAAGAGAGCAGTGGCCCTGGCCCGGCGCCAACAGAGGCAGACAGCAGCGGCCAACGGGGGTGCATGTTGGGTACGGCCCAACCACGACAATATCTCAACACACTGTACATAGGCCCATGTGCGTACCCAAACATGGCAGATGGGCTGCCACTTCAATAGGAATGCGTGTTTCATGGTGGATCCCTACGTTTTCCAACATTCTCCCAAGCCAAAAACGATTTTGGTTCGTCATGATTCAACTTGCTTGAGGTTCAAATATTTGTGTCCTGGATCCCTTCAGCTACAATGGCAGGTCAGACTTGATCATCTCCGCCCTTTGCGCCCTCTCCCAGACTCAGTTTCTGGTTGGTGAGAAGCAGGCAGGAAGCAAGGCTGTTGTTGTTGCAGTCAACCTCATTCTTGCAGCTTTAGTATATTCTTTTTTGTGTGCTTTGGCAACAGTTTTGCTTGCCGAGCAACACTCCACTGTGGGGCCCTGCGGGTTTCTCACTGGGTGAAGATGGTTAAATACTCGTTCCAAGGGGGCGTAATTAAGCAGGTTTGTCAGTGGCTACCACCGCCACTTCACATGGGTACTCGTAGTGTCTATAATGCAGCAATATGCAGCATATCGAGACAATGTTGACTATGCAGGGCAAAGGGATGGTGCCAAACATAAAAGACAACTAATAAAAGTTTGGGCCCAAACAGAGGTCATTGAAACATAATTACATGCAGACATATTGTATAACATACATATGGGTTGGTCCTCACACCCCTTTGATACAAAGGGTCGCTCATCAGGGCGAGTCGAGGAGACGCCCATGTAAAGCCGATCCCGGGGACCTTTTAGGCGTCAAAAGCTCGTGAAAAGAAGACCTGTTTGGCCGAAAAGGGCTGGTGACCATGCCTTTTGGCCCCCAAAAAGGTATAGAGTTTTGGTAGTAGCTTTGGTCCATCCCATGTTTCATATTATCATGAAAGGTAGCGGTTACGCTACCTGAGTTTTCCTTTTGCTTTGGCAAAAATGAATTATAACCAGAGTGGACACCCATCTCACTGAGAATCGCCCTCCGACATTTCATTTTAGAGGCCCGGGGGGGGGCACCCGAGAGATGGACTGTTAGGAACTATGCGACAGTCCAAGCCACGGGCCCCCCCCCTTTCAACTCCACCCTGGCGCGGTTCTTTGTCAACGGCTAGAAAACATCGTAAATACCCGTGTTTTCAGCTCCTCCAGTCTGCAAGAGTGGCCTCAAACCACGCAATTTACAGGGTTTTCTGTGGCTGTCCGGCCAAAAACCTCGTAAAAACCGATGGTTTTTGAAGTGTCTAGGCTTCAAAAATGGTCGAAAATGACCAAACACATGGAAAGATTTTGTCGGAAATTGCTTTTTCGGCTTTTGGAGGCGTCAAAATGGCGCAAAACGACGGTATTTGCACGGGTTTGTGCACCTTCCCGGCACAAAACCCTATAAGTTGCGATGGTTTTGGGCTATGTACGCTTCAAAGTGGCCACAAAACACCGTAAATACTAGTGTTTTGAGCTCCTCCAGTCTTCAAGAGTGCCCTCAAACCACGCTATTTACAGGTTTTTTTGTGTGGCGGTTCGGCAGAGAAACGCATAAAAACTGCTGGTTTTTGAAGTATGTAGGCTTCAAAAATGGTCTAAAAATTGCCAAAAACCTGGACAGATTGTGTCGGAAAGGGCTGTTTCGGCTTTGGAGATTTCAAACTGGCCAAACATGACGGTAGTCTGCAAAGTCCCGGATTACTTGTCATTCCCTGCTACCTTTCGTTCAACCCGTCCTCTCTCAAGTTTTTTTGGTGTTTTTTTGGTTGCTCACCTTCCAAACGACTTCCCAGAAACAAAGACCGTTTTCCGTATGATTCGGTAGAGCATGTGCCCGAAGTCACGCGAGACTGCAAAGACTGTCCGCCAGGCAGCTCGCTCTGCGGCCAAAGCTGCTGCCAGCTTGGCAAAAGGTCAGCCACTGACCGAGGCCGGGGCCCACACGCAGGTGGTCGCTGATAGAAACCCCAATAAAACATCAATGCCCACATACCGTCACATACCAGACACGTGCACACACGACACACACACACACACACACACACGCACATATATACATAGAGATCAAAGTAAGGGTAGGGCCCAAAAGGCAGAATGCAGCCATCCGCGTAAACAAACAACTATTTCCATAGAAGAACGACCCATGACCGAATTATATATTCAGCATGTGCAACGGTCCAACCAACAGCAAATTTGGTCGTAATATTGCCCAACTCTCGATTGAACTGCTTGAGGCTGGCGGCTGTTTTACGGTATCATTCATCCATAAGGGGTTTGGCGGGATAGAACCTGTTGGTTATTAGTTTGTAGCGGATTCCGTATTCCAGCCAGAAGTCATAGAAGCCTGCGGAAACATCATGCACACGCCTTTGTGGGACGACATGGCAATTAAAGCGGATGACATCAGTTCGAAAAGAAGTGAATCTGCGCGAGATCTCCCAATGAGACAATTGTGCATTTGTGTTGCAACGGTGTCAGGAAGGGATGTGTCCCATAATTCAAGGCATACATGAAAGAAGCGCTGTGCAGATAGATTTGCAGATGATTGCAGATGCGACATGATTCGACAATGTGTGTCTTGAGATCATGTAGCAGGTCGCACCATAGGGGCCCCATTGTTAATGAATCAATGGACAATTTAGTTTGGATTCTCAGAGTGTTGTTGGGCGCGGAAGCAGCTCAAGTTACTTGTAACACCCTCAAACTCTTTTCGGTCCATTGGAGGCTTTTGACCGAGATTGGCCGAACGGCCGGCGACCCCTCAGGCGACCGCATTGGTCCTGGCAGCCAACTCGCGCCCTTTTGAGCAGGGGACAGGGGACACGAGGGCCTGAGAAAAACAACAACGACGGTGCCCGGTGAACACACTTGGTTTTGTTGAGAACGGAAGACCATGGGAAACCCACCAAATTCGATTAACATGTCAAAAGGGGGTTCCTTTCCTTTTGAGCAGGTGCAGGGTTGCTGGTGGAATACAATTTATAATATATGGGTTTATGTGTGTCTGCATAATACATGTATGTTATTATTACATACTAGATAGATACTCACCAGATCGACTGTTGGCTGACGTCAATGGTTTTCTGATCACGCTGTTCAATTTGATGACAGATCAGGGAGCGTTGGATTGGCTGTTAGCAACAAGTGCATTCTTTTTGGCATCGACACATGTTTTCTGGATAATAGGTCACGGGCATATGAATACCTGCACCTTTGCATTCAGCAAAGAGGTTGGTTTGGGACACTCAGGTGTTGTTTTCGTCTCATGATCTCCAAGCAATCAACACACTTTAAGGCACGTGAGGGTTAAGCAATTATCATAATCAGCTTACTGCCCTCAAGGCATTCCAGCATCCCACTAGGTGCATTGCCATGGGCAAAACCGATGCAGCCAAAGAAGCCGCCAGCCGGTGCTCCAGAACCCTCCAGGGTGGGCAGGGCCCATATGGACCATATTGATCCATATTGGACTTGTGATTCCATACGTAACCATGATTGTCCCAGCAGCTGCCTCGCCTTGAGCAAAAGAATGATTGAAAGGTGGTGTGCAGGTACTGGTACTAGGCAGTTTTGCAAGACAATATAGTTTACGCTGAGCCGTGCCGTAAATTTGGAAATAGGATCGAGTTATTTGCTTCTTGCGCGTATGAGGCAAGTAGTAAGGCGAGCCGAGACATGGACGGATGATAACGTACGTAGGTTTGTTCAACAGTACTCAACTATACTCAACTGCGTTCAAGATTCAGAATGCAACATCAGTGCAATTTCAAGAACACGCGGCGAAAACTGATCGTAGTTACCCAACATGCTTTTAGGTCAAGTAAACTCGCCTCGGCGAGCCTTGGACTGACGTAAACAATCGGAAACAGCTGGCATCGCTTGAGGCAATGCTCTTTACCTCTTTGAGGACTGGGCTGACTGCGCAAACTGAGCGTACCATGATCACGAAGGCGCAGATGATTCTAACTCAGCACTGCCGATACAAGACTTTGAAATATTTCGACATGCATAACGATCGATTGCATGTTAGGAGTCCAATAGTTGTTCCGGGGGCGCTGGACTTTGGACGCTACTTTGATGTTTGTGATGTTGAATGTAGCTTTGGCATACATACAGTATGGTTACTCTTCAAGCAATTTCGTGCAATTTCTGCGCCTTTGTGTCGCCACCTGAAGATGGGCCTTTTGAATGCACTAAGGAGCTGGAGATTGAAGCCACGTGTAGCATCGGTGCCCATCGTGGCGACAAAATGTCAAAAGAGCCTGACCTGATGAGCTTGTTTGGCTTTGATGGTTCAGAATGATTCAGACCAGTCTTTTCCAGGTTTCATGATGGCTGCACCGCTACACTCCTAGGAATAATTAACATGGAAGCGGAGTTCACCCTTTGTTTCGTAGAGAATAAGTGTCTTCCAGGGGCCTATTCTCCACTTCCATGATAATTTCAGAGAGTGTCCCGTGTCCCGTGTACATTTTCGAACAAGTTCCAGAACTTCGGGGCGGGTTTGCTGGGCTCCACAGGAGGTCAAGGACTATGTGGGACAAGACCTCGCCAAGGCCGCAGCATACGGCAGCACGCAGGGGATTCTTTGGACGTTCGGGCGAGCCTTATCATGCCTTTTAGGACACAAAACTCAGAACTCGACACCATTCTCAGCTGTTTTCAAGAACTTGGGCATGTTGATGAAAAGCGCAGTGAGATGGAAGGACAAAGGTTCCACAAATTGTTCATTTGGTTGTGCTTGGCACAAATTGGGAAGTGGTATGCATTGCATGGAGTTTTGATGTGAACAGGCACATGGGATCCGAACCCTCCAAAGGACCAGAGTGCACAGCTGCTTGAGTGATCCCTCTCTTATGGCCAGGCGACCTTGGATGCAATAGACAACCCTGTGAGTGCGGTGAGCATCTCTGGAAAGGCGTGCCATCGTGATTGGTGCTTTAACATATGTACGTTTTACCTATAATTGTGCCCTATGACTGTTGTATGGCCGGCAATCAGTCACTCCGCAGTAAGGAACGTTTGTGCGTGGAAAGATCCGCCGAATCGCCTACTGTATAGTGTTGCACGGTTGCGTCAACCTTTGCAGATGCGGCTGGTGCGCAAGCGAAAGACCAGTGCAGCCCTCAGAAGTAGTCTAAGGGTCAGAAAACAAAGAAGCCTCCTGAAACATGCTATTGGAAGACTTCTCTAATTTTGTGGCAACCACTGTAAACCGGGAATTGTACCAATGAAGGAGGTTTTGTACTTATTGGAGTTTTTGTGATTCTCTCCATGTTGTTCCCTTATGTACTAATCCATGCTTTGACTGCTGTAGCGCTGACTGGTGTCTCCAAACGTCTCTCCAAGTCCTGGCTGTGTCATCAGGTGTGAATGCAGAGGCTTTACGACAGAAGGCGCTTTTCAGCATCCTGCAGAGTAATGTAGACTCTTAATTGATCAAACTTAATATGAAGAGGTTTTTCAATCCAACTGTGGGGGTTGGTTAGTTTATACATCAAGAGTCTACAAATTACGTATGGGTTGCCAGGTCATTGATTTTTTCGTCAGAAGCTGCATGTGCTTGTCAGACAGTAGATGTAGATCTCAGTAGGTGACCATGACTCTAGCACGGGCACGATTAGCCGTTCCGTGATGGCAACTTGAATTGGCCAGTCAGCCAGTCAACTGCGACATTCCAAGGAAGCTTCATCAATTGAAGCTTCTTTCATTTCCCCCCCACTGCACCAAGCTGAGCTGCATGGCTTGCATGGCCGGAGTTCGCTCAGAACAGCTTCCCTTCGATTCCGATCGAGAATGCCGAAATCTCACCCCCCCACCCCCAGAGGTCCGGAACGTGGTGTCCGAGATCGTTGGTATGGATGCCTTAATGGATGTGGGGCTCCGAAGAAGCTGCACCAAACGAGTCTGAAAGGTTGGTTCAGGTCCATCGGGGCCGACAGGCCGTTGGAAGGTCCATCCAGCTCGAAATCGTCCAAAGTAGCAACAAGCTGGATGGGCCATGTTGAAAAAAGCAATAGCTTTTGCAGGCTCAGCTGTTGTATTTGGGCATTTTTGCAGATCACTCAGCTGCACCGAGGACACCCCATTAATGCAATCAGGCTTGACAAGTCAGTCAGCGGTGCTTGCCTTAGGGTCACAGACTCACAGACATGCTGACATATTTTGAGTATGACCAGCCTTCTCCTCGACAAACAGATCCTTTTGTCGAACCTGGGGGCCTTTGTTTTGAATTGGTTCTTTCGTGCATGGGGCCATGGGGTGAGACGTCCACTGCACCACACTAGTGCAGCTGCCGCGGCTTTGATTTAAAAGCAGCGGCCAGGAGCCATTTTTCCACGGCTTGTTCCAGATGTCGTGAAACTCAGGCGCCGGCCATCGGCCCGAACAGTTCGGCCTGCAGGGCGTTCTTCACGTCAGTCCACTGAGCAGCTCAGGTGCTTTTGCGCAACGCTTTGTCCAATGAGATTCCTGGCCCGAGTCCAGATGCCCAGTCCACCGAGATGTCATGAGCGGTCTGATACATGATGGTGTGGGCGGTGTGCGTTGGGTTGGATGCTTGTGAGCACACAGGACACAAAATGTAAGAAGACACAGTGATAGCTAGGTTCATGGGTCACATGCTAATGATGTTTCTATCAAAGTAAATTACTGTATGTAATTTTCCAATTCCTGGACGTTGCATTTAACATGAGGGGGATCGTTGGGACCCTATTTGTATCTTGACGTATCCTGACTGGTCGTCGAGCAAACTGGTGGCGCCGTTGTGTACCAATGGGATTTGAGGGTGGGTGATAATTCTTCAGGCTTAGGATGGGGCATTGGACATGACAAGGCTTCCCAACTCTACTTCGTTCTTGTGGTCACCGACCAAGAGGTACAACATCTCAGGACCTTGTGAACGATGAATTTTGTTACTGTGATTGATTTGTTCTGTGGCCTGTTTACAGTATACTGTCTCACATAGTGTTCCGAGCTCAACAGGTTCACGAGCACCAAGTGCCTTGGAATCGGCCAGCGGCTGCAGGCCTTCCCTTCACCTTGATGTTCGACTACCCATCGCAGCGACCTCAGCATGCTCACTTGGAAGCAGATGCTGTTGATGAACTGGTGCAACCGCTAGGATGCACGGTGGGTTTTTAACCGACCTATTGGCAGTTGGTGCAAGTTGTTAAACTGTTCCTCAATGATACCGATATGTTTGCCAATATGTTCTAGCTTGTTTAGATTTGTTTAGTGCTCAGTAGCCAGACCTATTAAGCTTTGAGTCATACTGAGGCTTTTTGCATGTGAGACATCTGTTCTATAAGCTATATATATATATATAGATACTCGAGGAGGTGGCCCTCGTCTCATCCTGAAGCTTTTCGTTCCTCGTCTCAGCTCCGCTCCTTCAGTTACGACCGAGGATCACCGACTTGTCGGCCTTCTTCGTAGAGTCAGCTGGTGGAGAAGAAGAGGAGGCATGACGCTGCTCGTGCCGCGCGTAGCTTGTGGCTTCAGTCTGCGGATGGCTGCGCGTTTGCTGTGGGTTTCAGGGAAGTACAACCAGGTCATCCAGGGCTCCTTCGCAATGAGCCAAATCAAGAGGAACCCCTTATCAGAGTCCCATAGTGTGCCCCAGGGCGCAAGAACGCTGACTAGGGATGAATCCAACCCCCAAAAGTCCATGATGGAGATGTTTCACAAATCGTTAGGACTCGAACTGTGTTTAACGTTGAAAAAAAGAATCCAGAGGCAAGAGTATGGTATGGGTATGGACAATTCCATGTGGAGGGAGGGGATTCAAGGTAACAGCTGGCCACAACAGAGTCGAGTGTGCTCCGTGACCGGAGCCTATTGCTTGATGAGCGACGGTGTTTTCTAGTCACGAAGTGTTGGGTGGCAAGATGCTGGAAAACATTGTGGATTCAAACATTTAATACTTAGACGGAAAAAATAACACCAAAAACACACATATATATTTAGATATGTATATATATATATATATGAGCAAAACATTCTCCTCCGGTTCATTGATGCTCAGTTTTTTGACAACTGTTCCAAGCTGTTGTGGGACCTATGGGCCGGACGCTCGCTCCGGCGCGTCGTGGGATCCTGCTAGGTGGAGGAGTGGGTGGAAGACACCTCCGCAGCGGGCGCGCGGAAGGCCGGAGGGAAATACGGGCAACGGCTGTTGCAACGACAACAAAAGGCGGGCGCTTGCCATAATCATCCACCAGATTTGCTAAAGAAGCTGCTGTTAGGACATGCTTAATGAGCATCCAGCAGTGGTTGAGGGGCCACTCAATGTTAACACAGGCTAATGTTTGCTTTCCTTCCAACCTGTGAGAATGGCCCGCTTGGCTGCGGGTTGACTCTACCCATACATCAGAGCCGTTGAGTCTGCTGTTGGTGCGAGCATTGATTCTGCCAACATTTGCCAACACTTTATGGTAGACAGGAACATAAATGAAGGTCAGCATGGTCGAGACAACAATGGCAATTCTTTGCAGTCACTTGCTGTGTTGATTGAAAGCGAGGGATGTGTGACCTCCCATGTTTGCGGCAGTGTTTGGTGTTTTTGGGCCCACTTGCCCAAAACGTGACACCAAGCGAAGGGATGGTTTCCGGAGGGGTAAGGTTGAGACTCCACTTTTGTTGAGTCAGCAATGAAATGACCAGTGTGTTCATACCCCCTAGCCCTCCACCTGCCAGTGAGTGGTTGCAACTGCCTGGGCTACATAGTTGTATTGCATTCCTTTGCCACATTGACAGCTTGGAGGCACAAGCTCGATCAGGCGAGCGAGCGGACAGGAATTGCCGGGAGCTTGCTGACCTGAATTGAGTTTATGATTTCTTGCTTGTAGAAGGTCGACAATGGTTGACATACATGCTACTTTACACATGTGAAAGCTTCATACTAAGCCCCCTTTAGGCCCTCAGCCCTTCAATCGAGATCTCTCACCCAGCTGGCCCCACCATTTCTGTGGCCTGACCCCACGTCCACAGGCCCAAGTCCAGACGAGCTCAGGAAGCAGGCCGACTCACGCTGTGTCAGCAGCTGCCCCTGGTTGATGGAGAGGATACTTCCTGAACTATGACCTAAGAACCTCGGTTTTGTGCTCGAGACACCTGCACTCCACATCAATCCATTAGTTGTTGATATGTGTTCACCGCAGATGCATTGTTTGTGGCCATACAACCAGCATGTCCAACGGATGTAGGATGCTGATGGATTTGGTCCATCAAGTGTAGCAGCACTCAGAGCGAACCAACATATGGTACCTGATGCCTACATATACTGGTTGCAGTTGGTTTCAAATTTCAGGGGTCACGTTTTCTGAGTGCATTCTTCAAGAAAAAGTGTCCGTATGATGCTTTGGTGTATGAAAGGGTTTGGTGTGTATGAAAATGTGTAACTTCACCAGTCACCCTGAATGTTGGTTCCGTGTTCACCGTTTTGAATAGGTCCGTGATGTGGTTGCGGAGATCGTTGGCATGGATGACTTGGTGGATGCCCGATCCCCAGCTCAACCCCAGTGAGGTCTCAGACCGAGGGTTTTTTGCATGTTGGCATGTTGTCAACATGTTTTGCAATGCGTGTAAGATTGATAGTCATTAATTACATCTAACTCAATGTTCGCAATGTTGCTTCATAACAATGAGAAATGCTCAGTTTATGTGCAATGAGTGCATTGGGTTCTTACATTTGATTCTTGGGTCAACTACGCGATCCTTTTGATGTTCATCACTGGCTCTTTAGTGCGTTCTTGAGCCATCAACAAAACGGAGCCCTTTGGAATTAGCAGACCCGACATAGAGGGTGCCGGTGCATCCAGGACACTCCTTTGATGCAAGCGGGTTTAACGAGCCAATCAGCAGCTGTGGCCTCAGCTCAGTGTGCGAAGGCCGTGAGAGTTCTTGCCCAGGCCCGACTGAACAAGTCGTGAATCATATGTTGCATCACTAGACCAGAGCGGAGCTGGCACGATTCTGTAGAAAGTCCCGAGGTTCTCTTGAGGAATTCCTTGAGCAAGGAGTTGCCTGGTGCCAGCAGTGGCCCCGGTGTGACAGAAGATGAAGCACAAGAGGAAGAACCACTCTGTGTAGGCTGTGTAGGCCAAGAGAATTGCCTTTGTGAAGCTTCTGGGTCAGTTGAAAAAGTTGCCAAAGTATATACATGGGATCATACTTGGGCTCTTTGGGCCTTGGCCCATAGCAACTGAATTCCGATTTGTGAACAATACAGAAATACATATAGGGAGAGACACACTTTTACTATTTACCCTGTTCACGTCCATCTCAGTTTATATATATATATGTATATTATATATAACTATATATAATATAGTTCATCACATTGCATCCATACACATTTGCACAAACATCCCAATGACAATGTGCTATCTTGACCATTTTGCAGCCATTTTGCATTCAGTATCATTCAGTATTTATTCCAGGCTAGTCAATGCCTCTAGTCTCGTTTGGCCTTCGTTTGCATCTCTGAATCAGTACTGCTTGCCCCGTCCTTTTGGCTTGCGGATGGTTTCCGCCGCCTCATGAGCCCCGACACCGATACTTTTTCCGGCTCAGATTTTGCTTCAACGGGAGGGGTTGGAGCCCCACGCGTGGCGCCGTCCGACTCGGAGACGCGTGGGACCGGCGTAGGGCCGGTGAGACGCCACAGCCATGGCACGCAATGAGGAGAAGGCGATGTCGGCGCTGAACCGATGGACAGCGCAGAAGAGGGACTTGGAAATGCAGAAGAACATGGGCAAATCCACCTACATGGGAGGCCATTGGAGCTCGGGAAGCAGTCACACCAATTAGTAATAAAGCCGCATGCGAAGCATGAATCCCAAACATACTGATAAAAGAGGTTCCTGTCCATACTCCAGAAAACTCGATCTGTGGCTACTTGGGTTTTGGGCTTTTGGGCTTCGGTGGCACGCCTTTTTCGCGTCGGAACAGGTGCTTTGCCGGACACCGCCCTCTATGGACCTTACAAGAAGAACAAACGCCCGAAGATCGCCTCCGAAGTCACCACGGTGAAGGAGACACGGCCGGTCAGATCCAGCACGGCACATCCGCGTTGTGGCGTTTTCATTGTTTCACGGTCCGCTTGGGGCGGTTTGAGATCATTTAGATCACCCACTCAGGTCTATGGTAGTAGGTATTTGGTATGTATATACTACTGTATATATATAATTAGCTACTATGTTATTATTGTTGTTTGATATCGCTGAAGTAGTTAGTAATTGTTGACTTCCCCCAATAGATAGTGTTGATAGGGTAACCTTGCTGAAAAATCAGAGGCAACACGAGGGATTTAGGTAGGTCCTAGGTCCTAGGCCAAGCCGTGATGATTCAATCAGCGGTGGGTTCCATGTTCTGGGGGTCGGTCAATCTAAGGTTTTGCGCAGCAGTGCAGGTAATCAGAGAATCCATTGTGAAGCGTTTTTCTTGAACCAGAAGATGCTCTTTGTAAGCCTGTGAGATCGAGCTAAATATGCTGAGCTGGACCTTCAAGGATTCTTTCTGCCGTCCTGATGGGAAATGAACTGCTCACAATCTGACTTCAGCGATGTTGTTTATGATTCATGATCCAAAGAAGGAAAGTCCTTCCAGATTGTGGTTCGGAGGTTTTGAATCTTTCCCAATAATTGCTTTCAGATTGAAGTGGGACTGTAAGGTAGCCACCTGAGTTCTCTTTGTAGCAACGTTCGCTTAGGGTGGTGTTTGCCCACGCCGTGACTTTTGGGGATCGTGAGTGGCGATTGAATTACCATATAAAATATAACCGCCTTGATGGTCCAGCTTGGTCGGATTGATTGCCGCTTGCCTTTATTGCGTTTCCCGTCTTTCGTTCCTTCCACGTCCAGCCGAGCCGTATGAATCAGGAGTGCGAGCACTGGCGAGGGGAGATCCTCAGAGGGGTGGCGAAGAAAATCGCAGAGATCCAAAACGCCGCCCTAGGCGAAGATCGAAGGGATGCATGTTGTGTACGTGAGGACCCTTTTCTGTCCATCGTTCGAGTACCCTTTTTGCACAGCAGGATTTCATGATTGATAGAGATCTTGTAGTATGTCTTGTAGAGTCGCTTTGTACATGTCCAGGTGTTGTCTTCGTTGTTTTCTTTTCCTCTCACTTGACTTATAGGCTATCCGATCGAGCAGACACAGCAGGAACGTGTGGGCAATAATTGTGTGAATTCGTGTGTTTTACTAAGCCATTATATAAACAACTTGATAGTCCGCTGTGACTAGTGTTGACATGTACATTGGATGAGCACTCGCCGTGCATAAAACCCTTGGCTCGTCCATTGGCTCGTGCATAAAGACTGTTTTGTGGTTTTCCATAAGGATTTGTTTGTTCTGCCTTAAAGTGGCCTCCATTGTTTTGTTTGGAACCCTGCTGTTGAAGGACAACATCCAGTATGTGTGTGGGTTGGTGTGGGGATTTCTTCATTCTACCACCCCTGTTTAGAGTTTAGAGGATTCCTCTCGAGAAGGACGTGGCTGCCTTGCCAAAGTAGTGTTCTTTCCAGTGGTTGAGCATTGGTCAGGTGAACATCGCATTCGAGACTTGAATGATGAAATCAATAAAGATCTTCGGGAGAAGGGCTACTGGGAAGATCAGAGACTTGCGCTGCATTTGTTTCACATGGGGGGACACCCCGGCCCTTGCATTTGTCACGAAAGCTAGCATGCTAGCTGAGTTCTTCTTTGCTTTAGCAATGTTGTGGTGGGAGGGGCTGCGTGCCTTAAAGATTGATATATCAAGCTAACCCCCCCCCCCCCCCCCCCCCCCCCCCGCCCCCTGTAGGGGGTTGGTTGAACGTGGTTGGTTGGGTGTAAACGGTGGCTTGGTGTAAAGGGTGCTGCTGCTGCTGCCGGTCTGCTGCTTGCTGCTGCTGTTTGCTGCTGCCGCTGGTTGCCGCTTTTGTAGCTGCTGCTTTGCTACTTGTTGCGGCTGACGACGCCGCTGCTACTGCTGCTTGCTGCTTGCTGCCGGTGGCGCTTGCTGCCGGTGGTGCTGCTGCTGCTGCGGCTTGATGCTGCGCTGCTGCTGCGTGGTGCTGCTGGCTGGCTGCTGGTTGGTGGTTGCTGCTGGCTGCTGGCTGCAGGCGGCTGCTGCTGCTGCTGCTGGCTGCTGCTTGCTGCATAGGACTTGTACTTCACCGTTACAAGTTGTTTACCCCTATTTCTAACCTAATGCATGCATAAGCGGGTGGTAAATTTACCCCCCAGGCTTGCTATAACCATGCACCGGCTATTTTCTCAAGGCACTCTATTCTTGATACCTTTTACCAGTGCTTATCCTACACTACGGACGCCCTAGTGTATGCACAGTCCTTGTGATGCTTACCCCTCGTTCCGGCTCAAGGCATACATAAGCGGGGGGTAAATTTACCCCCCAGATTTGCCATAACCATAAGCCGGCTATTTCCTCAAGACACTCTACTCCTTATACCTTTTACCAGTGCTTATCCTACACTACGGACGCCCTAGTGTATGCACAGTCCTTGTGATGCCAGAAATGCCTACCCCTCTTTCCAGCACAAGGCATACATAAGCGGGGGGTAAATTTACCCCCCAGATTTGCAATAACCATACACCGGCTATTTCCTCAAGACACTCTATTCCATATACCTTTTACCCGTGCTTCTCCTACACTACGGACGCCCTAGTGTATGTACAGTCCGTATGATGTCAGAAATGCTTACCCATCTTTCCGACTCAAGGCATACAAAAGCGGAGGGTAAATTTACCCCCCAGATTTGCCGATCACGCATCTTCGTGCCTGCCAACGAGTGCACCCGGGTTGTTCCAATGTACCCTTCCCAGTCAGCGATGTCACATTTACATTCTTTAGCGCAAAGTATGTACATAGCAACCTTCCTCCCAAAACATGTAATCCCTACATGCTTTGCCGACTATGTAACTAGTACATCCGGTGCGATTCGGCTAGCTTTCGACCTCTCCCCCCTGGCCTCAAGTTTCACATGGGGGGACACCCCGGCCCTTGCACTTCATAGTTTCCAGATTCCAATAAAATTCACACCCATGCGTGTTTGCTTATTATGTTTGCTTATGTGTTCCTTTTCCTGCTGCCTGGAATCTTCGGATGGGGCTTCTGGATTCCACAAGCGATACCATGTGACTCTCGTCGTGTGATTCTCGCCGTCCTGATCACTTGACCCAACATGTTCAAGGGGAGTTGTTATGTGCTCATGCCTTTCTGGATCCCACCCTTGAAGCGTTTTGTGTTTCCATGTGGTTCCATGGGCCCTGGTGCATCAACCACACAAGTTGAGTGGGAGTACAACTGCGGATTGAACACAAGTGCGGACGATGATAAGTGAGGATGAGGATCGTGAATAATATGAGATACACTGCTGGTTTGTTTCATGTCAGTTCATTCCATATCCACACTGCTGGTCTGTAACACTCCCAGCACCGTGCCAGCACCTGAGGATTAAAGCCTTAGGTGGCGCTGACTACAAGAACGCGCCCAAGCGCGATGTCGAGACCTATGGCGCTGAGTTAGCGGCGCACAGCGGATACAAATACTTTGGCGCAGCCAAGGTGCGGGCGCGCAGAGCTGGCTCAACGGTCGGCCCGGGTGTTATTATAGATATATAGATAGGTAGATAGGTAGGTAGATAGATAGATAGATGTGTGAAAAATGTGCGAAAGATCGAACCACACGAAACCTCAGATCGAACAAGATGCTGGGTCATCATTTCTCGGAGATGGGAATGGAATGGAGCCTGCAGATCTACGATGATCTAAGACAAGCGAATGGCCCTTAGCATGGACCTTAGCATGGTGGTAATGCTAGCCTCTGGTTTCCAGGGGGGGCGTCATCAAGCCGAGACCCAACCGATTGGATCACACCGATTCCACGCTCGTCCGGGAGCGAACAATGGCCATCAACCGACCCATCTCAACGACCCGGCCTGCGCCACAGTTTGGGGATCCCCAAAGCGTGTGTCGGACCACAACCGACCAAAGCGTGTGTCTTATGGACCAACATGCCATCTCCTGTCAGGACCTCCCTGGGGTGCGGGAGCTCTTCGAGACAGAGATCGTCCCGGATGCGCCGCGGAAGACCAGGAGAGGTTTCTACTTGTCGTGAAGATCCTTGAAATATCTGGAACTCCCAGAAAAAGGAAAAATGATGAAAAAACATTCGCACACAGAAATGATCAAATATGTATATTCAAGGGGGGTGTGCCAGGGTGATGACAGCCCCTTTAAGAATTTGTTCGTACAGTTTTTCGAAGATGCCTTACACCCTTTGTTGCGAGAGTCAATGGGCCGCCGCGGGGCTTCCATTCACTCTGGCAGATCCGACCACATATCAAGAGGACGTATCGCCTGGCAAAGGGAAAGTATACAGTTTTCCTAATTTGTGTGTGTGGAGTTTGTTTGTTGAATGGGAAATCCAATCAGAATACTGTGTTTGACTTAGCTGGTGAACATCAATGAACATCCGTTGATGTTTGTGATGGTTCCTTGGTGTGGTTGGTACTGTTTGGGGATCGCCAGCAAAGCGAGCCCCATCCATTTCGCCCAAGCATGTCACAAAGACTCTCAAAACAGCATCTACATCATGTACATATAGCAAATGTTGACGAGCTCCTTTTTTGAACCTAAAGCAAGCGTTAAGCTTCGTTCAACCTGTTTAACTGAGCCCAGCGCATTGGAAATGACTTCGGGTACCATGCAAGTGATTTGCCAAGCCCTTTTGGTAGGCGCATGGTCGCCAATGAATGTGATGTTCTTTCTCTCCTAGTTCAGAGGGTCGACGCGAGAAAGCACCACAATATATTTTATGTATTCCAGCACCTGTTAGCACCTGTCGTCCAGCCAGCTTTCGAAGTATGTGTTTTGTGCTTGGACAGGAACATGTGTTCCTTCTTGTATACCTTTTCGCACCATGGAAGGTACACAGGAACATGATGATGGGCCTGGCTTATAAGAGTAAAAGCGCAGAAGTGCTTCTTCTCAAACTGAGAGGATTTTTCTCACAGCTATAGCTAAGAGCTCCCCCCCGTCGAAGCCACACCAGAGGAAGCAGCTGTTCCAGTACATTCAGCCAGACTACTATGGCTGGCGGGATGAAGAAGATGGGATGCTGGTTTTATCCGAGCAGATGTTCGAGGAACAAGCTGTCACTTATCCCTCCACTTGTCACTTTTTGGTTTTGCTGCCTTTGCTAGATTGATATTTGGAGGGTATATACTTGCCCATTGCCCCAGCATGGTGCCCCCTGAAATGTAGAAAGTTGCATCCTGAGTTGCAACCTGACATGAACTGGACAGTGGGTCTATGACCTCTATTGTGCCTTTCTGCATTTCCCCTAACATACTGTAATATGTTGTTTTTATTGTTTATATAATCACTTTGTGTTTGAGAACCTTGTTGGTTAGGTAACTTTTGCAACTGGATTCGGGGCCAGCTGGGCCGTTTGCATGGCCTAGCTCAGTATACCGTATGAACACGTCAGACCCACACTTGTTTGTTGTGCGAAGCTTGGATCATTGATTCCTAATTCCAAGTCCAACCTGTAGCTTATGACCCCACATCATTTGCATGACATGTTGCATTCTCCAAGCAGCCCAGTGGGGTTCAAACAGGTCAAGAAAGCGATGGAAAATTGGAAGGAACCGATCCCTGAAAAGACAAAGAAGCGAAAGAAGGCTGAAGAGGCCGAGAAGAAAGAAGACACTTGGATCCGGACCAACCAGCATTTTTGGGGCAGGCTGTTAGCATGCGTTCTTGTTCTTGTTTTTTGTTAGCATGTGTGTTGGGTGGGGGTTGGTGTTGGTTCTATATCCATGAAGCTTCATGCTGTTCAATGGTCCACAGCTTTTAGCCTGACCTATATAATTTGAGCGTTTTGAGCTCCCTGGCCGGGGCGGTCGCTTCGGGAGCGGAGAGAGATCAAGAAAATAGATCAACATGGACCAGGATCAGGCAGATGTTATTACTCTTTTCATGTGAAGAAAAACGAACGTCACAAGGCTGCGGATCAAGTATTGCAACCTGAACCGAGCGGCCAGTGGCGCTTGTGAAAGACATCTAGCAGCTCTAATCACTTGCCAATCTTATTCAACGCATCAAGTCTTGCAGGAATGCCACGTTGAGTGGAGCCATGTGAGTCCCCTTCCTGGACCGGTGATGTAAAGCGGTTTGCTGTTGCTTCTTGAAGCTGTGACCCAGCTTTGTGAAATCTGAGGAGAAGCTTCCAGAAGTCGTCGCTTGGGCAGATCACGGGAGCGGGACGCAGGTTTGGTTGGTCTCGGAGAGGTGAGTGCAATGGAACCAAATGCCCGATGCTAGGTTGGAGGCCATCGCTTCTAGGTTAAAGGCCATCACTGCTATGTAGTCAATGTAGTCATCCTTGCTTCAACATGCGACCACTTTGGAGCGGCTGGGTGAGTCCGAGAGAGGTCGGAGTTTTGTTTTTGCTTGGACAGGTATAATTTATGTGTTGATTATGTACAGTATATGTTATTATGTTATATTATATATTATGTTAATACGTGGGTGCTGTGTGAATTATAGTTAGACTGAGGAGAAGCCGAAGGAGCAAGACTTCAAGGATTTCAAAGCATATGTGGATGTGCCCACGATGGAAGACATTGAGCGTATGATCGTTCAGAAAAAGAAGGAAACATTGCTGAAGAAGTATGCTCCCAATGAATCTCAAGACTGAGATAAAATGTCTCAATTAGTGCAGGTGAAATGACCTGGATGCGTGTTGGGGCAATTTCGTTTGAAGCTGTTTGTTCTTCCTGAGGGTTTTTCTATCAACATGCTCAGGCTATAGACATACTAGGGCCTTTGTGTCACAAATTCCAGCGAGAGCCCCGACCCAGCCCAGCCAGACGTCGTGATCACACAAGATCGGGCGTTTTCACGCAGGTCGGACCCCTCCTATCGCGCACAGTGAGAAAAGGCTATTTAACTGGATGCTGGGTTGAACCAAGGGCGTTCATCCAATGCTTATGGCTTCTTTGATCTCATTTGGATATAGATTAAAACTATATAGTTTACAATAGTTTACATATTGTAATATATATCAAAACATACAATAACACAAACACACACATATATATATACACATTGACTAAGTTGGCTTTCAATATATACATATATATATAATATATATATTACACACATTCTGCTTTGTGCTGCAGTGTCCCTCGCCGTGCTCACCATGAAAAACCTGATGGAGGGCCCAACCACGACTGCCTGGCCCAGCTACGTCAATCTTGAGCTTCCGATTGTCCAGCTACTAGAAGCTACTAGTATCTCCCGGCATCGCTACTAGTAACAAGGACGCTATTAGCAGCTCACCCGCTTTCTTCTGATCACACAGCTGGTTCTTTTTTCCATTTCGGGTCCAGTGTCAAGCAGCACTCAGGCCTTCCGTTCACCATGATGTTCGACTATCCTTCGTCCAGTAGCCCCAGAGGGGTGGGTAGAACAAATAGCTTCATGTGCGGCAGCTTGCCGTCCTTGCTTTCAGGAAACTGTGTTTTGGTGGATCCTTGAGACCCATCCTCATTTTTGACCCGTCCACCTGAGAAGTGCTACACCATTTTGCACCGGATGATCTCGAGTCAGGTATAGATCTTGGTGTAGAGGTTGGGGTCAGTTTGCCAGTGTTGGCGCTTGAAATATCTTGAACGGTGTTCTTTTGCTATTGTGATGGTGATGTCCTTTCTAATTTGCTTGGGCTTGTTACATTGTTCAATCTCAGTGCAGGAGGCAAATAGTGATCAACATACGGAACCAGAAGACTTGAAGATATTTGTGAAGCGAAAAGGGTAAGGTGCTCCGTGCCAAGATGATGTGTTCTTTCGCCCAAGGATCAATGCGCTCACCGAGTTCTTTGTTGCTCGAAGTGGGCCCCAGGCAGGTTGGGTGCAATCTTACCTCTTGACATAACTTCCAAGAACATGTCAACAATTATGTCAACACTTAGAGAAGTTATTGGATTCCACCGGTGCAATGCTAACTGTTGACAGTTTATCACTTCCCGGTGGGATCCAATCACTTCCCTATGGCCCCATCCAGCACCAGGATGGACACATAGTATCATGGTCCTTTTCCTGTCCTGACACCCATTTGTCCTAGGGCTGTTAAGGTTTTGGGCTTGCAGCTCGCTATTTGCATGGACTTGCTGAGAGCTTGATTGAGCTTGATCATTGTTGAACCGTCAAGCACTTGGACTTTAATTGTTCTATATAATGTTATGGAACATCCTTCTTCCCATCAAAGGTGTCAGTGAGACGTATCCTAGTTGCGCACATAGGCCGGACGAGTTTGAGAAATGCTTTTGATTGAAATAAATATTAGCCTCCCATACAAAGGGTCTTCCCAGTGGCAGCACTCATGGCAAGAAGACACATGACAAAATATGCGCCAACAACTATAGCTATGCTAAGCCTTGCAAGCAATAAACTTGTTTTGGTGGTGGCGGTGGTGGTGCGGAGCGCACTCCGTTCTACCAGATCCACCAGCCGCAGCAAAGATCAGTACAGTTCTTGTATATAGGTATGCAGCGGTACGCATGCAAATTCATAGACTATGGCAGGTAGACATGGACATGATTGAAGATGAAGATGAGGCCCTGAAAGGGGGGGTGCTGTGGCGAAGATGCAGTCTTCTTTGTGACGGCATGTGACGGTGACGGCTGTGATGAAAAACGGTGTTTCCAGGCCGTGGAAGAAAAAAACACATGTTGTCAAGCACAAAAGAACCTTTTGAGAACTCCATGGGTCGTGGGACATGGGACGGGACCCAGCCCGCCATGTAGGCTGACCATTGTAGGCTGAGCACCTTGTAACAGTTGTCACTGAGCTGCGCGTTCTGAACGCGCTCCACGCTGGTGAGCCCTCCTTCGCTCGGCCAGGGTGCTCCCATGATGCGCACCGAGCTCGGCCAAATCACACCGAGCCTGGCAAGTGGCACAGTGTGAGATCACATGCACACCATGTGGAATCACGTTGGGAAGAATAACCGCCCTCAGACATGCCTTGTCCTTTTGGAGGTCAAGAGACAAGTCTACATTCGGCGGGATAGAGACAGTCCACTATAAAGACACATGGTGCATTTAGTGGTGGATATGTGTGTGTTTTCTTGTGCATGGTTGATATGTGTGTAAATACTGTGCTCAAAGAGCAGCAAATCGCATGTATGTGTGTGCATGTGTTAATCTATGGGTACACCGCTGCACACCGATCATCAATACGATGGTAGACTACACTATGATGTGTTTGTTCTACCCAACCCAAAGCTACTGTTCCTACTGATCCTTTGGTTTGACTCGGACCGGTCAGGCAGCTGAAAACACACGTGCCGCAGGGACCTCATGGTCGTCTCGCTGATCCGCACCCCTTTGGTTGGAAGTTAAGTTGCCTCTAATATGTTCCAACATCTTCCAACCAAAGGAGGCACCACTTTAGATGGATGTAGATGGGAAGCCTGCGGCTATGTTTACACCTCGTTTTACTGATTCCTCGTGGTGGGTTTGGCAGCACACGAGTTATACAAATATATATATTTATATACATAACGTTATAACTATATATATAGATATTGTCTAAAGCAGCAAGCACATATGGGCTATACAACCAGCATTAGGATCAATGCATGTAGGTAGATCGTAAAAAAATCACAGAACTCAGAACCAGCAATAAACCAGTTCAAACTCCGAGCTCAGATGGGCCTAAGAATGCCTAAGACCGAGCGTTCCCATTGCCATTGGTTTGCCCAGGCAGCTCACTGGACCCGCAAGTCACACAACGGCAGGTGCGATCAGGGAACAAGCATTCGGGATTTAAGCAGTCTTTAGTGGCTTGAGGGCACTTCTGAGCAGATGATACTGAAGATGCTTGGATGAAATTGTTTATAAACCATTTCTAAGGATTCCACAGAATGTGGAAGATGGGGAAGGACCAACGTCGCACATTGTGACGCGACTGTCACTATCATTTAGTCTCTTTGTATCGTATTGTTGGGACTTTGCAGTCCCATGAGAGCTTGCTACATGAAATTTTGGGTACGGTCAACATCACAGCGAATTACTTGCTGAAACGTCCTTGATATCTCTATTTGTTTGGCCATTTGAATCCTGGTCAAGAATGATCGATCAGGTAAGGCAGATCGTGGAGGACATCGTTGGTATGGACGACTTTGCAGATGAGTTGGCCTTGGTGGGGCGGTGGCCAACGACGAACAGACCTGGCTGTGTTGCAAAGCCACTAGGTGGAGGTCTGTTAGTTTTGGGTTGTACAGACTTGTGCACGAGCCAACAAACGCCTTTGGCGCCAGCTATGCGCAATGCACACTTGAAACCCCTGACTTAATGCAGGTGTTGAAGCTTGAGATTCTGGATACATGATACAGACACAAAGTCCCGGCTCGAGTGTGGCCGTCCGTTAAGCGGAGGCTGCCCCCCCTCGGGCACGTGGCAGTTATCCAAGTCGGGCCCTACGGAATTTGCAAAAGCCAGCACAGGGGGGTCATTGAGCACAGGCGGCGCATGGAACATTAGCCAAGAAGAAAAGACACAGCGGATTGGCCAGGTGCTTGGGGTTTTAACAACCAGAAACTGGCAATGAGTAAGATAGTAGATGACAGTAGTAATTAGATGTCATTAGTATATATTTAGTAATTGATAGTAAGAGTGTTGGAATCAGTCTGAAGGTTTGGACAGCATATACCATGTACCATTGGTGTTCCATTTTTCCTCCACGGTGCCTCTCATGTTGCCATGGCGGAGTTTCCAGAGCTTTGGCGGTCGGAGGCCAAGGAGCAAGACTCGACTGAGAGGCGAAGTCTTCCGCCAGACTTCCTGCTGAAGCACACGCAAAGATGTGGCGGATTTCGACAAAGATGTTGGGGGCAGAAGCTGAAGCAACTTTAGAACAATGTTGTTCAAGGATCAGTGAGGTCAAACGCAGTCTAGTACAAGTTTTGCACCATCATCAAGCAACTGTTGCTATTTTGCCACAGTGTTGTGAAGCGCTGACCCACGTCCACAACGAATTTATCATATGTGTCGAGCATGCCAGTTGATTTCTCAGTCGCTTACTTTAAGATGCAGCATCCACATAAGCAGTCTTCAAGCCCACTCCCAAACACCCCGATTGCATTCCAGGACTGGTAGGGGAGGGTGACAGACACGATTGCTTTTTTGGGCGGTTCTCTTGCACGTTGCTACGGCCGTGCAGAAGGACAAGAGTTGACTATTGAACAAATATGCATATATATAAACTTGATGAAACTTAAAACATGCATATAGAAACTAGTAGGGTGTCGCTGGCATCAGATCTGGACCACCCCGTTGCTTTCGTCGGCTCCAGTCGTTCGGTCCGAGGTCGGCTCAGGAGTTCCAGCAGCTGCAAAGCTCCGCCGAGGTCAGCGGTTCGTTGGCACCAACGAGTTGAACGGGTTCGGTTCGCAACCTTTGAGGGCCCGGTTTTTTTGGCCTGCTATCATCCACAGGCACTGCGATTTGTCGTATATATACTGCAACTGACAATGAATACTGTATGCAATGTAGACACTGAATACAGTCATGTTGGATCCTGATTCGTAAAGGGGATCCCCCCTCTAAACAACTGAACACGTTACCACCAGCGTGCGCACAACAGTGTCTTTGTGAGCATTTGTGAGCATCTATGCAATTCACAAAAACGATAGAACACCTCAAACAGAACAAAAGCTTTTACAAAACCAAAGAAGACGGCAGACTTCAGACATAGGGTGCGCCGTTTTGGCTATTTTGTTTGTCCTTCTTTTTCTTTATATTATTTTATTTTTTGGTTTGCTCGAGGTTCTGGAGAAAACCAAAAAACAGCACAAAACTGCACACCTTGATATTCTAGTTTAAATTGCAATTCAATCTCCAATTTGATGTTAAATCAATTCCAATTTAGTTCTATTGCAAATGTCACTTTAAGATATTTTAAGTTTAATTCCCGTGGCAGCCTAAATTTAATTCATTATTTATTGAAATTCTAGTCGATCTATGTTTGTTTGAAGTTAATGCTCAGTCAGGGATTATATCGTCACCGTTCATGATGTTTGGGTTTATATCGTCACCGTCACGTGAACGCAAGCTAGTGGGGACCGACTCCTTACACAAACGCCACATACCATCAATGGCACCGCTGTGGATGAGCAGCTCTCCTGACCGCAACCTTTTCTTTACACAAAACACTCCTTTGGATCCGCCAAAACATTAGCACACATGGGATTCAGAATTGTTTGTTTGGAAAATTGAGCATTATAGAGGATTCTTTTACTCATTAGGGTCCAACATTAACCCCCCTACCAGAATGGTCTTTCATCTCCATATCATTTCATATCGGTGGCTTTCGTTTTTAACAGTCAACATGACAGCCAATTGTGACCGACCTGCACCAGTAGCAGCTGTGTAGCTTTTGGCTGTTTCACTGAACCAGACGACAAGGACTTGCTCCGCTTGTGGCAGGCCGCGGTGCGAGAGTTGCGCGACATCGCTGCGGCGGTTTCGGGTGAATTGCTGGTCGGGGCACGTGGTATCTGAAACACTCCATGTATGGACAGGTGATATAATGTTATATAATATATATATACTGTACCGTCGTCCAAAAGGTTCTTTTGAAATTGATCCTCTTTGGTCCAGTTGAACACGATAGCCAGTTCTGTGGCACCTGAACAGCAACAGGGACTTGATACCTTGCGACCTGAAAACAAGTGTGGACAGACCCCAGGTGGATCCATCACAGCCAGGTCAAAACTTGATTCCAGCTTTGCACACGACAAGAACAAATTCCATTTGCCAGGTGGTGGGAGTCTCCATTGAAGCTCAAGATGCTGACGCCAAGGCCGCGCCGATGCCTTGTGGAATCCGTGCCGAATCCGCGCACCCATTATGCACCGGGCGCCCGAAAACACCGGCTCAGCCAGGCGATCTTGGCGGCGGCATTGGAGACCTGCGAGGGCTGCTGCTCCAGGTGGGTGGATGTTTCGATTCGTCTGTCATGTTGGAAGACAACCACCACTGATGGACTCAACCACTGCTTGTTCTATGAGACTTAACACTGAGTCGTGAACAGGTATACGAATGGAAGAGTTACGAAGACTGAATTGATTGCTGCTATGGGTGCTGCCAGGGTGCTCCGCAACAATATCAAACAATGAAACAAAACATTTATATATTTATCACTTATCTAAACATGGTTTTCATGTACTGGTATCGTATCGCTTTATAAATACATCAGTCTACTACGCCAAAGGGACCCTTTTGTTGCAGAATGCCTCGGACCGGTGCTACCAGGTGGAACCTTCGGCGTGCGGAGTTAGAGAAGGAATGCCAGGCAGTCAGGGCCAATGGTTCGATGGCAGCACGGTCCCAAATATAACACACAAATAAGAGGATGATACAGGGACTTCAGAATTAGAAGGCTTCCATCATCTTCCATCTACAATACCGGTGTGCCATGTGGTCGTTTGGAAGAGTATACTATACCCGTGGCATTTGCCAACAACTTTGGACTTGGCACGCCTCAGTCAGAGCAGTCGCAATGTTTGAATCGGTTGGGTTTGCGGCGTTTTATGAGGGGATTTGTTGTGCAGAAGCCAGCGCCGCGAGAAAATGCAGAAAAACCTCGTCGCATAGGCATGGTCTCTTTTTTTAGCGGTGCCTGTGCCTTGTTGGTTGGGCCTTTTTCGAAACTTTGGCTACACTTTGGTCGGGGCCACATGCACACGAAATAGTTTTGATCAATTCCGTTCGCGCTCACACTCTGGTTGTTTCATGGCTGTTATGACGGCAATTTGTGGAGCTTGCCTGGCAGATCTGGCAGGCCAAGGCAATATATGCCTTGCTTCATGTCCCAGCACATCCCCATTGCCATTGATTTGTGTTTTGAACTGAGAAGCCTGCAGGAGTTAGACATTGCTCTTCGAAAGAGTCTTCAAGAGCTGGCAGAAGGAAGCTTCGCTGAGGACCTGACAGATTCCCCTGAGCAGAAAGAACCCAAACGTGTCAGAATGTTTCAGAGATGTCCTCAGAATGAAAAAGTCTTCAGCATATGCTTGAAGAAAATTGAAGGATCTCTAAAGACTGTCAAATTCAAACCTCTTTGATACGATGGCTGTCAGAGGCCGACTGGCCAGTCGCTTCTCAGTACGTAGAGCACATCTTACAGGTTGTTGCCGGGGTCTTGACATGGATGGTTTCTAGATGTTTCTGGAGGCGGTCCAAGGTCGATTCTATAAGCAAAACGCTGTTGCAAACCATTTTTTGTTCAGAAAGTTTGAACCAAAAAAGTTCGATTGAACGCTCTTCCCATGGCTTCCAACAGTCTTCGACTTCAGTTCGTCTCAACAAAACAAATCTTCGTTTTCGACTTCACACGTCGACCGTCGAAGGAGTTGCGCCGGGCCAACGACTTGGCGCTGCAGCCCCGTGCCACTGAGCTGAAGGGGCTCGTTCAGGCAGAGATGGCGGACGTGGAGGGGGACTTGCGATTGGATCTGAAAGAGAAGGCATGCATGTTGTGTTTTGTAATTGATATATATATATATATCACTATATATCTAGTTATATAGTTATAGATCTATAATTAGACTGTTTTTGTGTTTTGTAATTGATATATATATATATATATTATACACTTTATACCGTGCTGTTTGTTTGTCCATTGGTGGATCCAGATTGTACAGAAGGACAGAGGGTGATGTAGCAGAAACGCCTATATGACGTGTTGTAACACTGGCTGACTGGGTAATATGGGTAATGGTTTAATCATGCGCCCGGACTCTTGGAGTGTTAGTGCCCCGGCACCAACCTGCATTCAATTGGGCATCATTTGCCTGTCTTTCAACGTGCCAGGCTGCCTCAGGCGCATGGGAAGAGCAGGAGCAGCTGCGGAGGGATTTGGCGGAGGCCTGTGCCTGGGCCTGGTCCACTGGTGGTCGTAGATCTTGTGAGGCGTTGGTCTAAAAGCACCCGGTAAGGAGACCTAGATCTTCCATGGTCCTCCAACTGTGCAACAATTCAGCCTTTTCATCTGTAAAACAAGGCAGGCAGACCTTTTGCACAGCTGGAAGACCTAGGTACACTAGTACAGGAGACTCAATGGCTGCAGCCGATGGATTGCTGGGGTGCCCTGGACCTCTCCTGACCAGGGCTCCATATCGATGGGGAGCTTGGTTGCCGCGTAACCCAGCATTTCACTCAGCATGTCGGGCACCGCAATGACTGTCCTTGACTCAGAGAGCTTCCCCATGGGTTTTCCAGGCCAGGCACCCAGGTCGCGCCGGTCAGACTGCGGAGAAAATAGCTCAGGTGCTGCTATGGGTTTGGATTCCTCTTTGATCAATGTGGAGCAACTCACTCCGGAGCAGCTGCAGAAAGAAGTTCAGACTCCTTGCCTTCAAGAAGTCCGGACGAGCGCAGTCGTTGGTCCGACCGATCGGGGCGCTTCCGCCTCTCAATGGGCACCGTTCTGTCCGTGGGTGTGCACGTGGGTGTGCGTGAAAAAAGGGAGACCCTGGACAGACCTTTTGGAGGAAGGAACATTGAGACACAATGACAAATTGAACATGAAGTCTCCTTGGCGACCTACGGTGGCCTTGCAGGGGTTGCGCTAGCGGCTAGCGTAGAGTTTTATATACTTGTTTCATGTACCATAGGACCTTTGTGCTCACCTTACGCATGGCTGAGGGTGATCACATTGGTTGGAGGTCTCCCTAATCCAATGCACATCCCAGTGTTATGGGATGCTCATGGATGCTCCATGTGAAGCAGTACCGGCTGGAGCGGAACATGTTCGGCTTCCAGCCACCTCAGGAGACGGAAGGAGCAAGTGCAGCAGCAACTGGAGGAGATGGCCATGGCACTGGGCTGCTCGGAGGGTTGATGTTATTTGAGCGACTGCCCAAATTATTGCTTGAGTCGTTGACTTATTTTGTCATGGCATGATCCAAACATGTTGAGGGCTTTGTTCTAACAGAAAACAATATGTTCCCACATGGCCCCACCAAAACAAAAATATTAGTTAAATATTACAGTAAGATGTAATTAGTGGGTACAGACGTTTGTTGCTACAATGTGTTGTTGCAGTTGCATGAATGTTTATTTAAATCATGTTTCTTATTTGAGCTAAACTGATGGGAAAAGGTGTTCATCAACAATTCGCCTTGCCTTGAACCAAATTAATTATGTTGACAAGATCTGACAGGATTTGTCCAAAGATTTTTCTCGGACATATCAGCTTCCCAAACGATAATCCATTCGATAAAGCGAACAATAACCTAAACGTCACGCAAGGCACCCTGTTACTAGCCATGCATCGGCCGAGCTCCTAGGTCTCCACTTATGTGTTGTGATCAGTTGTGATCCTTCCGCAGCCAAGCACATAAAACACATGCCGCGCCATTTCCTTGCAGAAAGCACTGTAAGCCCCTAATTTGAGGTTGTGAGTGGCACCATGATGTGTTTTGTGTTCAAGTCTATGTGCAAGTATACTCAATTAACCAAAAACAAAACAAATGGTGTGAAGAAATATTGGAACACGATATGGGTACCCCACCAAAAATGATATCAAATGGTCTTTGCCTACAAACCTATTTTGTTCCGCATCTCATTTGGAGAAAGAAAGCGTTGGCCGGAGGAACATCTGAAGTCGTGTGGTTGTCGTATCGGTGCGCAAAGAAGGTTGCGGAAATGAGACCGGTCGCCAAAGGTGATGGTTTCTTGGAAAGGCGTATTGCGTATTGCCCACCCCACACATATATATATATATATAGATAGTCATAGATATTCATGTGCTCGAGAGATGAACAAGTCAAGAGCCAGGGGATGAAGACCCTTTGAGGTTTGTTTGGGCTGTTCCACATACCGGACAAAAAAGCATTGACTCTGACACATGCCGTTTTCACCTGCGGATGTCCCCCAAAGCTGGAGCACCATGGGGCCTACTAAACTTAGCCATGAATTCTGGTGGATATTTATGGATCATCTACGAACGTCCCCTTGTTTCAATGGATTGATCTTCATAAGCCTCCAGAACCCGAAGCCCTCGCGATTGCGGGCGAGGCTTGGACCCTGAAGACTTCCAGCTGGAGGACCTGGCCAGCATGGATCCTTGGCGGATGAAATCCGCAGCACTGGATTTCAGCAGTTCAGGTGCCCACAATCTTCCAAACCTCAGCGAAAACTATTTCTGCAATGCCAGATCATGCAAGACTTGAACAAAATTCTTGTTCCAACTTGTTCACCTTTGGGTTTTGTCGGAAGTGTATAATACTTTGCGTACGTTGGCGCTTGGTGGTACTTGGTGCGGTTCTTGGCAACAGGCTTCGGCATGGGCACCAGATGGATTAAGTTACTGTAATTAGTAATTAGTCGAAGGAAGGCGTTGAATGATCAAGAAATTGACCGCTTGAGAAGTTGACCAAGCTTTCCGCTTGTATTCAGCTAATTCGTTGGTCCAAGGCAGCCAAGCTTAAGGACTTCCAGACGGAGTTGTCTTCCTTGAAAGACACTGCAATCCAAAATGCCTGCCGTGCTCGAGACATTTGGGCCCCTCGGTTACACTGAAAAGGCCTTTGCCAGAGACTAAAGCATCCTTTATTTCCTCGTAGCCTCAAATTTGTTGGCCGCCAACATGTAGAAACTCAATGAAACTCAAGTCGTTTCAGGGCATTCCACCGCTTTCTTCAACTTCTTTCAGTTCCAAAGCCAAGCTTTCGGGGGAGGTTGGTTGAATGATGCCCATCTTGGTGCTCTCTCTCTTTCCGCATCGCCCAGGTGGAGCTCCGCTTGGCTCCCCAGCTCCTGCGTGACCAGCACGCCGCCGAGCTCAGCGAAGCCCACGACGCACCCGCCGTCACCGCCGCGGTGGGCGCCGCGGTGCGACGGAGCCTGGACGCCTGGGAGGCTCAGCGCTCCTTGGCAAGAAGCTACGAGTAACAAGGGTCATCGCTACTAGCTTCTTGTTAGTATTTAGGCACCTTTATACTAGTAGTAGCTCCTCATTGCTTTGGACCAAACACTTTGCCAAAAACATCCAAACACTTTGCCTTCTCCGTTCCCCCATACCCAGGTGAGGAGGCTGTGAAGGAAGCTGAGTCGGTGCACCAGCTCATCCGTGGCCACGCCGCACCACCAGAGGCAGAGGCCTGGCCGACAAGCACGGCCGTGTGCAGTGCGGGTGCCAGTGGCACAATGGTAACGGATGCAACGGCACCGAAACCAATCCAGATGCTTTGCCCTGGCATTTGAGTTCCTGCTTGTAAACATGTTACCCGGTTACCCGTCTTGAGTTGTACCGACGGAGTTGGAACAGATGGAAGTGCATCCAAATCAACAACCCAGAAAGAAAGCAGTAAGCTGTGTGCATGAGAGCTGGCCACTAGCAAAATTCAATTTGGCCCCAAGTCGACAGTCAGGGTGATGGAACTCTAGCTGGAGAGGTGAAGGAATTTGTAGTATGTGACGAGAACTGAACGCTGAAGTGGCGGGTGTTTATATATGTATATATTGCACTTGTGATTAATCACAGTTATGCACCCTATTCTGTATGATTTTAGTTTCCAGCCAAGCCAAGCTCCCTTTGTCTTAAACTGTCGGTTTGGGTTCTAAGTTCCGTATGTTGTGCTTCCCACAGTTAAAAAGACACCTCCAAGTGAAGTTGGAGCTAAGGCGAGCGTGCATCGCTTTCTTTGGGACATGTTGGTTTCAATGGAGGACGGAGAACACAGCAAGTCCTCCCCATGGCACCAAGCTTGCTTTCATCAGAATACAACACTCCTTTGAAATGGAAGTGGAATAGCACTTACTATTTGTATATATAGAGACAAGTAATCATTATCCAAAGGGCCATGACACCCACTTCGATGATTAGTTCAAGGAGTGTAGTGTAAGTGATGTTTCAACTTGCGGACAGCGAGTGGGCACACCACGCGGAGAATATGTTCATATATATATATATATAAGATTATTTGATATAACCCTTGGTCCAAAGAAACTGTTTCGGCCGGGCGTGTGCAATTGAGCCTTACCTGCCCATGCACACATGTGTTTGTGTACAAGTGAGTGCTCCAGTGTATGGACAGATTTGGAGACTTGGCACCTGTCAACAGCCATCCAACGTGCCTCTTTTAGTCTATGAAGAGAGTTGTCCCCGTTGTTCAACGATGATGGGACTCAGAAGAGCCTAGACATCGTGCCCGTGCCCCAGGCATTTTTGGCCGAGCATAGTGGTCTTCACCAAGAGGATTTGGAACGCTGTGCCTTGAAATGCACTAAACATGCCCACCATCCAGAAATGTGGCAAAAAGTGTAGTTGAGTGCAATTGCCTTCAAGCGCAAGGACTCCAATGTTTGATTTTCACGTGTTTCAACTCTTTGTTTTACCAGTCATGGAGCAGACACAAGCTGCTTCGAGCTTCCTTGAAGACTACTTGAGCAAAGTATTGTATATCCTCCAAAACAGTATACAGTCTCCTCCGCAGTGATCAAAACAACAACAGTTTGCTGTGTTGCGTTCACTCAACCCACTTAAACACGTGTTCCCTCCTCCCATTAACCCCCGCAGCCAGTCCGAGTCGGTGTGTTTGCTCATCGAGGCCGGTCGAAGGTCCAGGATCTGCGCAGAGCCTGCCGCGACGCGGAGAAGCCCATCCGTCAACACCTTCGTCAGCTTTACCATCAGACGGGATGTGTCCCGCTTTCTTAGACTTCCGTTCAGTGTCGTGTTGGCGCCCCACCGACCGGGCCAAACTGAAGATGACAGGGAGCTAGCGTGAGGAAGGCAGATGTTTAAAGATGTTTAAAGACATTCAAGGCCTGTAGGACCAAGCATTGGCCAAAGGGGGCCGCCGCATACGGCTCAAAGACTCAAAAGTCCCGAAGCGAAGCCTTGAACAAACCATGCACCAAACATCTCCAGGTCCCGCACTTTTTGAGTTTGAAGACACAACGGCATTTGCACGGAGATGTTGGCATTTGGGGTGTGGTCCATAGGTTGTGGGTTGACATCGGCGGGCTGCCTTCAAACACCCTGAGCAACCCTGTCATGATTAAAGGCTGCTATGAGGCCTAGCATCCATGAAGGCTTACTCAGAATTCAGTCAGTAGCCGTGAACCTGATCACAGGGCTGTGGGTGAGCTCATCGTTCTTGGTGCATCAACGTGATGGTCCTCTCTCTTCCGAGCCTTCCATTCAAAGACCAATCGTTTTGGGGATGAATATTGCCGGGGTGTCCTTTCATAGCACAGAGGCTTGCTCCCACACGCAGAAAACAGTCGTCCATTTATACTCCCCTTAGGCCCCGCAAGTCCTCAAATCCTTCGGGAAGCAGACCATTCAGTAGGGCTTGCCCCGTATACAAGACGATTTGGTGATTTACATGGAGTCATCCTTCTAATACCTGCACTAGCTGATACTGATGATATAGGTATACAATGACATATTGTATATAAGTAAACAGTGTTTGTTGGTCATATACTAGAGACCTTTCTCGCGTTTGTCTCATGTGCTCAAGATCAGGTGCCCTAGAGAACCTGGAGGCCTGCTACCAGGAGGTGGAGCAGAGTGGCACGTCGCGGCAGAGGAAGAAGATCCTGGAGAAGGAAGTCGTGGGGCCCGTGGTTGAAAGAAGTAGGCCAAGTGACGTTCGCACACTCCCAATCGGACGATTACTATCAACCATTTGATAGACGAGAAGCGGTGACAATTGCTATCTCAGTTTCGTCCTGGTTCAGCAATGTTCAGCAAACCGCACTCACTGGCTTCTGGAGCAGGAAACGCGGCGGATTGAGGATTACAAGGAGTCCGTAAGCGAGCCTTGGTGAGGCTTCTATCTTTGAAAGGAGCCCCCTCTGGTCCTAGTTACTAGTTTCTACCCCCTGACGTAGATTCTGGGAGAAACAACACACTCACTCGGTCCTCGTTTGGTTGGCTTCTTTTCATTGCCAGCTCCTTAGGTTGCTTGCACCCCCCTAGCTTACGGCTATGCAGATCGGTGAACATGCTTCAAATTAGAGAACAGCTGGCAAGATGTGTGCCATCGCAAGCCCCGCTTTCTTAGACAGGATTTATTGGATTTGGTAGGGCTGAGCATGGATTTGTATGCCCATAATGCAACACCCAAAAACTGTTTGGGTATTCTGAAGCAGGTCGGTTCTTAGTAAAGCTGACAGAAGTCAAAGACTTGAAAGATCTTGAAAGGGACTCCACTTGAGATTCGAGACCAGCTTTGTCAAGCATTTTTGCTTCTTTGCTCGTCCACAGTTCTAGAGTCTGGTGAGGCTGGGTTCCCAATCTTGCTCTTCCATTTCCACAGAGAGAGGGAGGGAGGGAGCTTGTAAGGGTCCAGTGGCTCTCCCGTTGGCTTTCCCAGGCGATCCTGGGGCAGCGGGAGGAGCTCAAGGCCTTGGTCCTGGCGGGCGAAAGCTTCGAACGCCAGGCGCAAGCGGGACCAGGAGCAACTCGGAGCCCGGGTGCGAACGTCCCGGGCCGGAAGCGGCGCAGGTGGGTTGAAAGGAAGAATGGGGCAGAGAAGTTGACGAGCATGTCACAACTGATTGGGTGAATGAGGATATATAACAAGGTGAGGACATGTTTGTGATTGCACCTCAGCAAAGCTATCACCAAGTTCCTGTGCTCAACTGCCATGACAGCAAGCAAGTCAGCAAGCAAGTCACTAAGAATTTCAGCAATTTGTGCCCAGCGGACTGCAACCCCCAAACATCCCCAGGGCCTCAAAACCATGGGTATCCATGGAGTCGGCATGGGTGGGGCGCCAGTTCGCGCCCCAGGTGTTACGCTGTTACGACGTGATTCTTCTCGCCTGGATTGACTCACTCACTCCAGGACGCTGGGTCGGAAGTTCCAAGCACTTTTTGGAGGAGGAGAAGTTCCGCAAGCGTGGCCTGGCGTGAGGAGAAGATCCTGGTGAAATCCTCCATAAGCGTAGGTTGTGGAGGGTTGTGGATTGGATGTCAGGGTAGTTTGTGTGTATATACTGCTCCTTGTCTCCAAGGGCTTTCAACAACTTGTGACATTTGAGTCATTTGAGCTTTATATAATGACACGGATTTAAAGCAGATTTTGGTGCTTTGCATGTGCTATGTTCATTCAGAGTGGCTTTCCGAAAAGCCTTCTTGGGTTTTGAAATGCCATGCTGCTTGACTCATGCCGGACACAGATCGTATCAGATCGCTACAACATTGTACAGTATTGATGTGAATGGAGGGACCAACTATGCCTGCGCTTCATTGGAGTTGAATCATCAACGGGGCTGATAGCGCCAGAGCCCAGTTGGATGGCCTTTCAACCATTGGTTCGATGCGCTAGATGGCCGGCTCAGCATTCCTAAAGCGGTTCATGATGAAGGACTGCCAGCACCCTCAGATGAAGGCCTTTCCACCCGCCAGTGCCCCACAATCATATCAATCATGATCATCACCAAATGACAAACAACGTTCCATAGAACCATTCACTACGGCGATGGTCCCACAGGCAAACCTTGGCCAGTGCCGTCTCTCCAGGTTTCTTGAAGCAATACCCGCTGCTGCGTGATAAGATCATTGAGTCCATCGAGGAATGGGAAGGTGCCACACACTACGTCCGCGCGCTTGGCGCGCGTTAGCGCGCGACGGACGTCGAAGCAACGGGACCGGGCCGCATGGGTGTTTAGGAAGGCCGCAGGCGGTTTCTTATGATAGGAAGAAGATACGACCGGGGCCTCGTTCTTTGAATTGGAGATAATTGGGGAGACCTTGTGGTACGATTTTCGCACGGTCTGGCGGCACATGGTCAGTCTTGGAGGGGACTTCTAATGGAGCAGGGTGGGGTGTTTGTCGGGGGTTGGTGGACCATATCTACGACCTCACTTCACATCACCTCGGAGAAAAAAGACAACGGACGACGTGAATTCCAGACAATTCGGATCTTCCCACATTTCTCAGGTAGCAACGAGAAGATCTTCACCCACAAGGGCATCGGGCTGGGCGCCTCTTGGGTCAACATGGGGAACCGTTGGTTTTTGTATTCACAACTTGGTCAGGCTGCACCTGACATACACTACACACACGTCACACGTGACCCTCCAACCAAGGACCAGTTCTACTCTAAACATATTCTAACACACACACACACACACACACGCTGACATTGGTTTGCTGTTACTCTATTCCCAGGTCGAAAAAAAGGTGGGGAACGGAAAGGTGGAAGGTCAGAAGACTTGAAGGTGTTTGAACAATTGTTCGGTGCAAGTTTGCAGCTCCTATGCATTAGCCGCTTTACTGAATACCTAGCAGACCGCCTATGCATTAGCCGCGCTTTACTGAATACCTAGCAGACACGGAACGGCAGTTTAAACAGTCATTAAAAACGCAGGTACGTTTACACGGGTCCCAGAGCATCCCTGTCCCTGCCTCTTTGTTCTGAATTAGTAGCGATGCCCTTTTTTTCTAGCGGCCTCTTGATCCTAGTAGCGAGGCCAGAAACCACTAGTAGCATCCTTTCTTCAAGTAAAAACCTGCTGCATGCATACTTGCCGGGCACGAACCTTGGAAACAGGTGTTGGCACACACATTATGCCGCAATCGGCGCTCTGCACCCCCTGCGTTAAACTATTTTGTTCAGCAGCTTTGTACACACAACGCCGATAGCGGCGTGCCGGAAGATTACTAGTCACCTAAAAAGCCTTAGAAAGACAGACAAAGAAAAACAGAAAAAGAAAACGAAGAGGGCAAGAGAGAAAGATAGGAGTAGTTACGAGGCCGACTAGTTACGAAGCCTGTTAGTTACAATACATGCAGTAGCTAGCGAGCGGGACTTTTGTTCTATACCGCCCGGGTAGCTAGAAGTAGGACAGGAGAAATAGAAGGAAAGGCACCAACACACAAGTGTGTTGAGTGCGATTTCCTTCTATAACCCTAGATAGCGGGTGGGGTAGCAACAGAGGCCAGGGGCAGGGAGGGGAGCCCGAAGGCATTGCCATCACTGACATTCAAGTAAAGCCGATTTAGGGCCAGCGCACCCTTGTCGGAAAGGCACCTGGAATTTAAAGAAAGGCCTCAAGAAACGAAAAGCAACAGAAAGAGAGAAAGAACCCAAGAGCGTGACAAACGCATGCAACAGGAACAGCTACCTAGCTGCTAGCTTGGTGACCCTGCGACATGTACCTCAAAAACCGCATGGGTGAAGGTCATGGAAGTTGGACAGTAGCTTCACTGGTCCCAAAAAAGGTCATGAAGTCGAACTTGAAACTGAACACTGGCAGCGAAAGAAGTTTGAATCCATCAATTGAACGTACAGGTGGAGGAAAATCGTGGGCCCGACGGCATCGTGTTTTGAGAGTCCAGTAGTGAGACCAATTCAGTTAAGAGAATCCAACGCATGCAGGAAACAGTTGAGTCCGTTACACGATATTCCGGAGTGAAAAACGCCTCCTTGCGGAGGATCACGCCCTGCACCCAAGGGGGACGACTGAGCGGTTCACACTCTGACATTGGTTTGCTGTTACTCTATCCCCAGGTCGAACAAAGGTGAGGGAACGGATTGGTGGAAGGTCAGAAGACTTGAAGGAGCTTGAACAATTGTTCGGTGCAAGTCTGCCGCTCCTATGCATTAGCCGCTTTACTGAATACCTAGCAGACCGCCTATGCATTAGCCGCTTTACTGAATACCTAGCAGACACGGAACGGCAGTTTAAACAGTTATTAAAAACGCAGGTACGTTTACACGGGTCCCAGAGCATCCCTGTCCCTGCCTCTTTGTTCTTAATTAGCAGCGATGCCCTTGGTTCTAGCGGCCTCTTGTTCCTAGTAGCGAGGCCAGAAACCATTAGTAGCATCCTTTCTTCAAGTAAAAACCTGCTGCATGCATACTTGCCGGGCACGAACCTTGGAAACAGGTGTTGGCACACACTTCGAACTTGGATTTTCAGTTAAACGCAATTGTCTCGTTGG